CTAGTTCCTCTCAATCCAGACAGAGCACCTGGTGTGTGGTTCACACTCTAACAAGCCAAAAATCACAGCTGATCTTGTAACAGATATTAATACGGAAAAGCATCTATGACAAAGACTCTTGACTAGCAGGGGGGAAAGGCTGGAAGTGCCTTCACATAAAGGTCAAAAAAGTCACAATGCAAATGTGTGTCTTTTCACAGTAGAATGCACCTGCACCGAAGAGCCTGCAGAAGACTGAAGGGAAACACCAAATTCAGCACACAAGCAGCTCTTCCCACACAGTGTGTCAGGTTGAGAAACCAAAGTACCAGTTAGAAAGTTAAACATTACAAGAAGCACAATACAGTGATACCTTGTTTCACGAATTTAATTTGTTTCATGATTCTGGAAAAGATGGCTACATTTGTGGTCTTGTGGGAAAGATGGCTGCGGTCGTGTTTGTCACTCGATGCAGAGTTTGCAAACAAAAACAAAATTTGTGTCAAATGTTTCTGTTTGCAAGCCAATTTGTGCAGTCCATGACTGAGGTACCACTACAGTAATACTAATAGGTGTTCAATTTAAGGCTCACCTTTATGCGCCGAATTGTGCCCCTCAACAATTTTTATGTTGAAACTCCAACTCCTACTACTTCAAATGTGACTGAAATTAAGAGCAGCTGTAATCAGTTACTATGAGGACATACAAGCGTTGGGGAGGTCCTTCATCTACTATGATTTGTGTCCTTATAAAAAGGGAAAATTTGCCTGTGGCTGTGTGCTCAAGGAGAGTACCATGCTAAGATAAAGGCACAGATTAGGGTGGAAAGGCGGAAGCCAAGGAAAGGCAGAAGATGCCAGCAATCTCTAGAAGCATGAAAGAAAATATTCTCTGTGCCCTTTAAAAATGTGAGATGGTAAAGTATCATTTTTTTTGGTAAATTATCATTTTTTAAAATTACCCAGCATGTGATATTTTGTTAAAGCCATGATCAAGTGTCTTACTACTATTTGTGGGGAAGATATGGAAAGAAATCACATTTGTTTAATACTAACATGGTAGTGATTAAACTTAGGCCATTTTCTCTTGCCTTTGCCTCAAATTTTATGTTAGTAGTGGGTAATGTTGAAACTTTAGGGTAGGTAGAATGTTCTCAGAACTCAGGCCATGTTCTCTGAAGGAAGCACAAACCCATAGGCCCTCGCTTCTACCCAAGGACTTTGCCCTTGGGCAGGTAATTCAAGTATTTTCCCACCCTACAGAGCAATGAGGTAGTTACCTGCCTTTCCACATAAACGAGGGGAAAAGATGAGTGACAGCAGCATTTTGCACACTTCCCCTAAAGTGTGCCACTGCTTTTACACTAGTCTTTTAACCTGGAGTTTTTTTCTTCTTCTTCCTACTAAATACTGCCTCCCTGGGAAGTCTTACAGGAATTACTTTAACCAGAACAATGGCTCATCCTTTGGATATCAAGATACCATTCACTAGGGAGTGTGTTAACATCTACCTGTGTCTCACAATACAGCATTAGAACATTTTTGAGAGAAGCACCATACTTTGTAAGTGTGTGTGTGTGTGTGTGTGTGTGTGTGTATCCTAGGTATCTAACTTGCACATTGTAGACAAGCACATTAGCATTTTACCACTAAGCTACATGCCTAGCCTGGCACCATATTTTTGTATTCCCTTTTGCACCTAGCAAAAGATTTCAACAAATGTAAAACAAAGTGTACATTCTTAAATTGAATAGTAATTTCCCCTTACATCGAGCTCTTCCAAGAATGATCATTTAGAAATGCCCTTTAAGAATCCATGTAAGGGGGCTGGGGATTTAGCTTAGCGGCATAAGCGCCTGCCTTGTAAGCAGGCAGTCGTGAGTTCGATCCCTGGTACCGATAAAAATGAAAAAGACAAAAAAAAAAAAAAAAAGAATCCATGTAAGTATTCTGAAAATTCCCTTCAACATACATGGCGATGAAATTATTACAGCTTTGTGTTGAGGACTTTAAATGAGTGTTTTCAAAGACTGTTTTTATTTTTTCCTGAATTGTTTAGGATGGTTGTTTTTTATATTTATTACTTTGTATGACTTTTTTCTTATTTTAAATACATACTCATTTTAATAAAAAATAAGAAAGCTGAATATTAGCTCCAAACAGCTCCTTGAGAGTCCTTGAGAAGCTTCTCTATGGCTGAAGTTGCATAATATCCCCTCTTCACCAGTCACCAGACTTGTTCATAAAAACATGAAACACATTGCAGATATAAAACATACCTGCGTCAAACTGAATCAATTTCGATGGAGTCACGGTGAAATCTTTTCCAACTGTAGCTGACACTTGGTTGACCTTAAGGGAAAATAAAGTCTTTTTTTAAAATAAAAATAAATACTCTATTATAGAAAAACATTTATTCTCCCCATACTAGACTAAACTCAGGGCTCCTAAATCTGTTTTTAATATTAAGGGTTTTTTAAAAAAAATTATAATAAACCATTTTAGATGCAGGGTACGTAGATTGTTCCGAAAGTTAACTTTCTGCTTTTCCTCTTTAAATGATTCAAACATTAGAGAAGACAACAGAAATTTTAAAATTTTATTTTTCTCTGTCTTATAAGTGCAATCTTATTTTACTACTTTCCCTGTACTCCAATTTGGTTTTGAAAACATAGGAGAGGGAGGAAAAGAAATGAGGAGGAGGAGAGAAAATTCACTCCTGTTGAGCTGCTCAACTGTGAGTGACCCTGTGGCTCCAGGGCCCTGAAGTCTTCACACTAGAGGAACCCCAGAAAGTCTGCTCCATTTTCCTATCTGGGTGCCATCACCTCTCTTCCCAGACCTGAATGAGAACTTTGTGGGACTGAGGAAGCTGGCGAACTGACCAAGGTATAGAAGCCCCTGCAGAGTAAGCTGTCAAAGAAAACACTGCTGAGGCCTGAAGAACCACTGACCACCTCCCTGCTGCTCAGCATTAGGACTAAAAAACAAACGGCCACATTTAGGGGTCTAAAGTCAGGGTCTTAAAACTCACCCTCTAAAGGGCACCTAAATATATGTTAGCAAGTATCGTTGGCTGGTATGAAAAAGAAGTCATCAAATGAGACTCTGTTGAAGCATAAAAGGTGGGTGTTACTTTGCATATTTTTTAAGATGTTGAAGATAGAAAAATGAGTTAATACAGTTCTACACTTTGCTATCAAGGTGTGAAATGAGCATACAACTCAAAACTCTAAAATCTGTATTTCCATAATCTCAAACAATGACTTCGTTTCAAGTCAAAGGCTCTAACTTGTCTTAGTGGATCTGCAGTAGAAAACACTTTGCTACAAGGTGTTACCTCCTTGGCTTCCATTTGCTCTTTGTCTACAATGCCAAGGCTCCCCCAGACCACCTTTCATTGGGAAAGGGAAGCCCATTGTACACCTGGCTCCACCATATGCTAGAGGTTATTTTTCCCTGCATGGTTTTCACACATGCAATTACATAGTATTTACCCCCACTGAGTTTACAGAATCCTATATGAGAAAAGCTGCAGTCAATCGGAGGCAAGGTATTTGGAGAAATCAGTCAGGTAAAGGTGCACAATTCAAATCCAGGCAAACAGCATGGGATGAAAGCACTTCCCCCCTTCTCTGTTCCTAGTCAAATGGCCAACAAGCTCTTGTGCAAAGTGGCAGGTTGTGCTCTAGGTACTTTTCTGTAAAGACTCAGACACTGTGTTTGATGAAGGCCTTCTCGCTCAGCGGGCAGCCTCACACCGCACATTCAGCTTAAGTAGCAAGATGAGCACCAACGTGGCCGAACTCCAACTAAACCACATGGTACTTTGTACGGGTCTGGTGGGGGGATTATTAGAAAGCTACCCAGGGGGATTCTTTCCTTTCCATAAGCCATCTCCTGGAAAATTATAGCACACCCTATTTTTTTTTGCTGTTTTTACAATAGTAAAGTACCAATGTGTCTAGGGCAAGGAGCACCTGCATTCACTGAAAGGTACATATGGAGTCTGGATATGGTGGAATTTATGTTCACAAGGTTCTTTGGGTGATTTGAATGTACTATCATATTTTGCCTTTCTCATCAAACTGAGGAAGAAAGTCCCTAAGTCCCATGCTCCATTATCAGAATGTGTACCCTTTTCATGGTCTCATTCTCTTGATGAGCTGGTATTATAAAGACTCCTAAAATTCTTTCAATTCCAGAAGCCATAGTTTTGCTCCACAGTGATGGAGGAATAGCAAATTGACTAATCTGTAAGCAATGACCTGATTTTGGCAGGGGCTGGTGGATGGCAGAGCTAGGGCTTGAATTCATGCCAGGGAAGTGCTCTACCACTGACCTGCTGTTTTTATTTGCTACTTTAAGACAAGGTCTCACTAAGTTTCCCAAGCTGGCCTTGAATTTGTGATCCACTCGCTTCAGCATCCTGAGTACAGTAGCTGGGGTTATGTGTAGCTCAGGTTACCACTACGGCCAGTTTTTGATTTTCTTTACAAAGCAACATTTAACCAGTTTCATTAACTTGGATACATATCACTGTGAACTCAAACTTCAATAAGTACAGATTTCAAAACTAAAACTGGGCTTTACAAAACTCCTCTAGGGACGGAGAGTGTTGCTTAGTGGTAGAACACTTTCATAGGGTGTACAAAGCCCTGGGTTCAATTCCCAACATGGCCAAAAATAAAAACCTAACAATCCAGGAGTTAATGAACTTAAATGAAAGGTGAAGGGACAAGGAAATTCTATACTTGAAATCTATAGAATTTCAAGAGCCCTGACATTTGAAAATTTTTAGTCGCTCTGAATTTTTCTAAGAAAATCATCATCAACCAACAACATGAGTTTCAACTTGATGACTTTTATTTTTTTAGATGTTACCTTTATGCCCACGAAGGCAGAGTCCATGGTATGTCCTCTCCTGGTCACTTCCAAGGGCAACATGCCCACATTCTCACAGACCTCATACTCTGTCTGTGACCATTCAATGTGAGACCACTTCAATTCCAAACTGTACATGAGAGGAACAAAGAGATTACAGGGACTAATACAAAATATGCACAATAAACTTCTGGTGGGATTTCCTGCTTTATGGGAGAGTTACTGGTTTCCATCATGGTGGCAACAATACACCCAACACAGAAATTCATTACAATTATTTGATGACTTTAGTTTCCAGTGGACTTTCACTAACATTATCTCATTTGATCCTCACCATAACCCTGGTGGGGAGACACAGAAAAGATTAGAATTTTATGCTACAAATGAAGAAACTAAGAGGAAAATATTGTAGAAAATCTCACAGTTACTACTGACAAAATAAAAGAGACTCAAACGTAAGTGCTTTCAAGGAAAGAAACCAGCTGTAGTTAAGTTCAAGGAGCCACTTATTTTTAGGAAGACATTAATGTGAAATCTTATCTTTTGGCCCTCCTCCTGAGTACAACAAGATCTGTTCCAAACACGCATCTTCTCAGAACCTTTGTTCAGTTTAAAGCATTATCTTTCAGGATGTGCCTAGGAATTACGATGTACGTCTTGTAACTGTTATCTGTGTAACTGCTATAGGGTTAGAGGTGTAGATTGGTAGTAAACAAGGAAAGAGAGAAAAGGAAAGAAAGAAAAAGAGGAAAGAAAGAAAGAAAGAAAGAAAGAAAGAAAGAAAGAAAGAGAGAGAGAGAAAGAGAAAGAAAGAAAGAAAGAAAGAAAGAAAGAAAGAAAGAAAGAAAGAAAGAAAGAAAAAAGAGAAAAGAGAAGAAAAGACCTACACTGGTGAGTAGTTTGGCTACAATTATAGCTGCTCCTCAGTGTCCTTGGAGGACTGGCTCTAGCACTACCCACCTCAAAGACACCAAAATCTACCTGCAGTTGCTCAAACCCCTCATATAAAACGGTGTTAATACTTGCACATAACCTTGCCTATCCTCTCGTGCACTTTAAATAATCTCTAAATTACTTACAATGCCTAATATAATGAACATTCTATGAAGTTGTTGTTATACTGTGTTGGTTAGGGAGTAATGACAAGGAAAAAAATCTGTGCATGTTTAGTGCAGATGAAACTATTTTTTTCTGGATAATTTTTAATCTATTGCTGGCAGAATCTGTAGAACTTGAGGGATATGGAAGATCAACCACATGCAACTGAATAAACCTAATAAATAGGAGGTGATCTTTTAATCTGTATTTAGTAAGTTCAACATTTGATAGGAATTATCTTTTAATACTCATCAGCTAGAGAGGAACTTTATTTTTTCCCAAAGAAGGAAACAAATCAAAATTGAGCCTTAGGGAGGTTAAATAACAAGCTCAAACATAAAATAAATAAATAAATAAGCTAATAGGTAGCAGAAATGAAATTCAAGCACAGATCTGATACCAAACCATTTATTCCTCCTTTACCATTCCTGTTTCCAACTGAAATTCATCATGATTCTTCTCGACTGAGCTTAAACAGAGCAGCACGATTTAACTGTTTCTCTGAAATATTTTCCTTTTTAAGGTAAGAGTACTTAAACTATCTCACTTACATACTTCTCTCAAATGGTCTTACCATTTTTGTCCTCTTTTACCATCTAATACAACGATACAAAAACACAAGCTCTATACTGATTGTTGAGGGCCTCAACATTGCTTTTGTTTTATTCATTTCTCTTTTATTCTAGAATTTCAAGACCCCCAATGGTTATTGCCTTGTTATCCTTCCCAAACTTCCAATCAGATTTAGATTTTCCTCACAATTTTAAAATCTACCTTTTACAACTTTTTTTCGTAACTACAATTTTGGGCCAATTGTACAAACCAGGCATTCACACTTTTCACAGGCTCTCCAGACCTGTCTGGGGATCAGAAAGGAAGGTTAGCCTCAATCTACCACGTTGTGTCCTCAAATGGATCATGATCACAGTCACTTCTGGAGCAAAATAAAATCAGTATCACTGGTTCATACGTGAGGGTCACGGGCTGGGGGACAGGGTAGCAGGGAGTACGGACTTACTACAGGTACATGCATCTCTGTGGTCAGACACATTTATTTAGTCAACAGACCAGTGTTATAATGTGGTTACTGTATACTTCATAAAAGTTTTGGACGTGAGAAGACCCTTGTATTAAAAATATTGGGACCCTAATAGTATTTGATGCAACTGAAATTAAATCTAGCATGATACTTATCAAGAAATATGAATAAAATAACTATGCTAAAGAATTATACGATAATACCCAACACGGATATCATAAATGCCAAAAAAACTCCTGAAGGCTCCAGGTAATTGCATAGAAGAAGTTATCAGCAAGAGGAGTTGGGGGAGAAGACAGCAAGATGTAATGGGAAGGAAGGGCAGGCAGGGGAAAGGAGTGAAATAGATAACTCCGGATGGTTTTGAGTTGAGTCTAAGTAAGATCCCAATGAGCTTTAATGTCCAGTTCTCAGAATCTATCAGTTGCTCATGCTAGCCATCATGAACACAACTCCTTCAACACTGATCCAAGTAACCTCAAGACCTAAAATGAAATGCAGTTTGTTTGCTAATCTAGATGCAAAAGGCTGTTCTGCTTCAAAGCACAGCGGGCCTGAGTATTTGGGAATCCGTGTGGGTTTCCTCACCCACCATCACAAAGCTGCATAATACTTACAGGTTAAGGTTGTCATTACACAATGTTCTACTTATTTCCTTTAAACCATTCACTATAAATAATAAAGATCTATTGAAAGGCCATGAAATTTAAGTCAAGCTATATATTTCCCAGAAAAATATTTAAATAGCAAAGCCCTTGCATACCTACAGGATATGTGTCACATATGCTTGAATGTGATTTTTGTTTTTTGTAATAGTGTATCTGAGATCTTTCTAGGCTGAGATTGTGACAGCTTAAAGCCTACACAAACACCTGGAAGAATATCAAGAGATACAAATGATCACTTGAGAATTCTTTGTGCAAGAAGCTACACAACTGCATGTTTGAAAATCAGTAACTGTCCAGATGAAAGGAGCCAGTGGAAGCAACCTGGGAAATACTGGATGCATAGAGAATAAAGATTGGTTCATGTCTTCATCTTTTGACAATCCCTCTGTTCTCCACTGAGTAAAGTTCATTCTATAGAAATAAAGTTTACCAGCACTTGTATGTGAATCCCATTTGGCAAACTTTTCACATTTTTTAATGGGAGGTGATAACCTTTTAAGCCCTGAATTTGGGCTCTCGACCTTAGCACAACTGACATTTTTGAACCAGATAATTCTTTGCAGCGGGAAGCTGTCCTGTGCGCTCAGATGTTTTCCACACACTGATACACTGGCACGCTTTCCTTTGCCACAACCACCAAAACTGTCTCCAGATTTGCCAAATGTCCCTTGAAAAAGACTCACCACCAGGGGAGAATTACAGCTTTTAAGCAGAACACTACCTAAAGCCTATCATTGCGACAGAAAAACCAATTCAAAGTAAAAGCTAAACTTTCATTTCCAACAATTACTTGGGGGGTAGAAGACATAGCATGGAGGAGTGAAATTAAAATTGGGTTAGACGCCATGAGGTCTCCAGCATCCTTCTGCTGCTCAACAGCTCTAAGTAGTCAGGCATTTAAAAAGCTGTTTAGACTCCCAGTTTAACACTGAAACCTCATTAGCAAAGCTCTTGCCTTCAGTGCCCCTTATCCTGACAATCTTTCCATTCCAAAGCACACAAGATATGCAACATACTGTCTAGTTTACTTAGACAGTAGCTACGCACCAAGGAAACATGAGTCTTTGGTTCACAAATGTTTCCCAAATCCCCTGCCAAGGGTGTAGGACAGAGTAAGTGTTCAGCAAATATTTGATAATTGAACTTTTTATTATTCACAGTGCTGGGGAGTCTAACATAGGGCCTTGCACATATTAGGCAAATGTCCTATGACTAAGCTATATCCTCTGTCCAAATGAATCTTATTTAGGCCTGTACTTCTTGAGCGCTGATGACTATTGTGTTTTATAGCTAGATGTCCCCTGAAACCTCATGAGCTCACAGGCAGGAGTTGAAAGGTGAGTGGGTTGTGGGGGTGTACAGTCATCTTGCTCTTATAAGGTGCGGTCTGGTAGAAGGTGGGGAGCGACCTGGTATGCTGTATCTCCTTTCCCTGATCCTCTCTGCACTCCCTCTTGCTGTGAGTTGAGCAGTTTTCCCAAGCTAAGCCCTTCCACTAAGACATCTGACTATGCAAAGACTTAAGCTTCTAAAACATGAGCCAAAATAAACCTCCTCCTTGCATTTATTAGTGTCTGGTATTGAGTCTTCGCAATGAGGGAAATGACTAAGACAGTGACCAACAAATCTTTCACCCAACCTTATTAACATAATCATTTCTATACCTTGAAAAAAATGCAAGGCTAGAAGACTTTGTCCGGAGACAGTGTTCACTTGTCACAATTAGCAAGGGGAGGTACTGGCCCTCAGTGGACAGAACATCAGAAATGCTGATCTCACGACATTGGCCCAAAGAAATATTTGTCCCAAAATGCCAACAGTGCCATGATTGAAAGGCCCTGTGTTAGAGCAAAAAACTTTGTACTGTCTGATATTTTATTTTGTGTCTACTCAATTTAATTATTACATTGTTGTTTTTGTTGTTGTTCTGAGATAGGGTCCTGCTGTGTGGGTGACCCTCCTTCCTCAACCTCCCAAGTGCTGAGATTATGGACATGCACCATCAAGCCCAGTTTTGAATCATTTATATGAAGGGATAATTAAGTAAAAAAAAAAAAACCCAAGAAAACATTTGGGGTTCAAACACCAGTTTGAGATTTGGGGTGATAATGTCATGAGTGAGAAAAGGTACTTAAATTCTCTAAGCCTCAGTTTTCTGCCTTCCCAAAGTGTAATGTCAGTGAGATCCAAACTTCAAAGGGCTTGAGTGAGCCTCGATAAGGGCTCTACAAGTACTTTGAGCTTCTCAATAAAGATTTTATAAAGGCTAAAATTGTGACTATTCTTCTTACAGCTAGATCTTTATTATTAACACATGTCTTGCAAAAATCAAAACATTAAAATACATTCTTCCAAATATTCAGTCTCAGGCTTATCAGTTAAGACGATGCTACTAAGCTCCACGATCTAATGCTTTGAACACCTGTGTTTGCAGTGTTCCCAGTTTCTCTCGATAATGGGGAAATCGTGTTTCTCTAAGAGTTAGCATAGTGAGTCCCTGAAACAACCACTCTGGAATCAAACACACCTTGCAGCCACTTATTACTGTGTGAATATGGTCAGTTCCTCTGTCTCTCTGGGCTTCAGTTTTCATTATCTTAAAATGAGGAGAATTACACTCACGTCAAATGATTGGAATTAAAATCAGCTAATATGTATTCAGCACCTGAACACAGTGGGTGCTTAACAAGTGTTGTTTTCTTTCCCTTCCTCTGTGCCTCCCCAAGATCTAGCCTGGAGACACACATGTTAACTCTTGGCTTGCAGAGGTAAGGCGCTTGCAGGTAATATGCAGGCATTAGTGAGCCAGTAGTTCCAACCTCTCCGCCTACAAGGTGTTTCATAAAAGCTGTTAAAACATTGCAAGCTCTGCCTTAGAGATTTTCTTTCTCTCCTATTTCCCTTGAACCTTCCCTTTCAAGGTCAGAAACGAACAACACCACAGATAGGATGTGGGTTTCCAAAGAGAGAACAAGAGTCTGAGGGTTTGGAGAAGCAGCCACCGAGTCACAGAGAATGTGAGCATGGATCAGCTTCCCTCTGGAAATCTGTTCAGTGTACACACATGAAAGCTATGATAGGGAGCATGCCTTGGTCAAAGTTGTGTGCCTTCTGTGATCTGCAAAGCTACATTTGGTGAGACATGTGCTCTGTGTAACTTTGGAAGCTTTGAAGGTCACCTTGGAGATTCAGGTAGGACTTAGGAGTCACTTTCCACAAGGCACGAGCCAGTGAGATGGACTCTCTGAGGGCTGTCTTCTGGTGACTTTGGGATAGTTACTAAATGCTTAGGCTTGATTTCCTTATTGCCCTTGGAGGACTGATTTGTAGGTCAAATGAGACAACATGTGGGAGCACCTAGCACAGTGCCTGAATTTTAGGCTTCAGCCAAACTCGATCTTTATGGAAATGTCCGTGAATTTCAGTGTTATAAAATAATTTTTAGTTGTAATGAAGTGTTTTCCAAACGTGCTCCATGAAGAACTTGTTTCCTGTACTATTCTGGTTGTGAGGAGGTAGAGAGGGTTCTATAGCATTAGACTGATACTGCACAGTGAGTCCCTCTTTCAGAGATTGCCAGTGCATACAAACGTCTTAAAGATTCTGGAATGTGGTGCAGTTAAGTAAGCACACAAGCTAGTCAGCTGGCAACAGCTTGATTAATCTCACCTAAACCAACATTTTGTAACATTTTGTAAAATGGAACATACATTGATCTTTCAGGAGATCCTGCATAGAAATGCTGCAATAGCAAAGCATCACATTTAGCTCTTTGATGAACAACCACATTGATTGTTCACTTTGTGAATTATCTCAGAATCAATTTCTAATTAGAGGTGGGTTTTCTAATCCACTGACTGTTTCAGCATAGTTCTTCAAACGGTTGAATTAACATGAATTCCCACATGAATTAACAATAGTAATCTCAAGCACTGTGTTCTTTAAGGATTTCAAATACAGAAGATGTGCTCATATATTTTATCTCACTTGTTTCTCTAAAAAGAGATTATGAGATTTGTTCCCACTTTACAGATGAAGTAACTAAGGCTTGAATAATCAGAATGGCAGAGCTAAAGCTCACTCTGACCTGCAGCTCCAAATCCAGTTGTTTATTATCTACACTATGTTTCCCAGGATATTAGATACGGTGCACACACTAATAATGACACTTGTAATTCACGTTTTTTAAAAAACCCTAAACTTTAAGGTAAGTACCCCTTCTTTCTTATTCCTGGGTAGCCAAAATCTTCTGAAAAAAGAGGATGGTAAATCTGTTGCTCTATTTCCTCGGCAGCCTTAGCAGTCATTAAGAAGAGGTAAGAAGTTTGATAGCAGTCACGAGGGAAGTAATATGCTCAAAAGCTCACTTGCTGGGTGGGATCGTACCTCCTTCACTAATTAGCTTCATGAACACAGAAAAGTCACTTCCCACTGTGTGCCTCAGTATCCTCGTGTACAAATTCTGGATTACAATGGTATCTAACTTGTAAGTATTAGCAGTGATTATACGAATAGCATAAAATAGAACAAACACTTAAATAGCAAATATGCTGCATATTGTACATGTAGTAGACTCTTGCTTATTGCCTTGAGACGTCAAACTGCTACCATTCCTAACATTTTTTTACTAGGAAATATGCATCCAGTCCTAGAAAACATCTGCTTTTGTTGGAAGCAACTATTAAATCCCTAAATTATGAAGATAAACATTGAATAATTTCTAGCTCCCAAGCCCACACTAAGAACAATAACCTAAACTGTGTCAGAGTCAAAGCCATTTTGCACCACTCCGTGATAATACCAAATGCTATGGCATTTTGTTCCTTTGGTTCTACTTATTTCTGGTTGACTCAGAATGTTCTTCAGCATAGATAGGTACATAAAACCTGATGGCCAGTGCAAGCAGGTGCCTATTCAAAACAGCCTCCTGAAACAGTTAAGGTTATAATTACAGTAAGTAGTTTCTCACGTAACTTGTAGGGTTATTTAAAAACATTAATCCTCTTCTAAAGGCGAGGTCCTCAATCACCACCAGGGATGAAAGGTCAAGCGGGTGAGGCAACATCAATCTACTGCCACAGCTGCAGGAAAACTTCTCTGTGTCTATGCTATGTCACAGGTGAAAGGCCAGAGGTCAGTGTTAGGTTAGGGGCAAGTCTGACCGATAGTGTGTGTTTTATTAGTCAAGCTATTAATAAAATTATTAAACCACATATTAATATTTCTGGGCAGAATTTAAAACTCTGAGGAATTAAAACACCTGTCTGAAACTGTAAGTAGCTGGCATGTTTTCTTTAAAGACGGTGATTCTCAGGAATTATTTCTCCTCAGTTTAATGAGTAGGATCATCTGCTTTAGTTTTACAACCTCCAGATTATATTTTAATTTAAGAAGTCAGGTCTTCCTGGCTTATACCTATTTCCCATCTCCCAGGACTTTGTGTCTGTGTGTGCTTAACAACAATCTGCCTAGTTAACAAACCTGAGTGAGATAGAGCGGTGGGCGTGGGACGGTGGCAAGTGTGGGTTTTTTAGAAAACTCTTTTTTCTCTAGCTGGGACTATAGAGACCTCTACTGGCAAATGTTGGAACTACAATTTGGGACGGGAAAGAAAAAACAAGAATAAAGAGCACCGAGACAGGTTTCACACCCTTTCCTCTTCCTTTGTCCGTACCCTGTATAAAGGAGCTGCAGGAGGCCACGCTCACTTAGGGTGGTCAGCATTCCAGGGTACGATCCTATTAAATCTCGGCTGAACGCAAAGCTTTTCTTTGAGGTGTGCAGGAAAGGTATCAAACGAAAAGACACCAGCACAAAGAGCAGTGGTCTAATGGACAGAAAGGTCCATGGCTATCTGCCTGGTGGGAAATTGTTCAAGGTCTGCATTCAAGAGAATTCCGGAACAGAGATCCAGTGGGTGAAATCAGTATGGTCTGTCAATCCTGCTCATCTTGAGAATGTTTATTCTTCGAATTATACTCTATGTATTTTCGAATTTCACTCAATGCGTTCTCAAGTCTATTTTCCTCCATAGTCATCTTTATCTAACCCAGGACGGACTTATTAATTTATAAAGGTAGTTTTATTATTTAGTAAAGGAAGAGAGGTTTTGCCAGCCCTCCCTGACTATTTCATTCTTCCTCTCCTGAGCAATCCTGTTAGTTTGGACTCCGTAGTTACTATGGTCCTAGAGTGACCTCTGGCTGCAGCGTGCACAGGAGCAGGCAGGTTCCAGCCTGGAAGCCAGGAGCTCCCTCTCCTGTGCGAAGGGATGTGCATTCCCAACCTGTTACTGTCCCATACCTGTAAACTGTTGGTTTTCTCATTACTGAACAGTAATAAAAACAAAATGATTTCACCAAAATAAAGCCTAGAGCTTATGAAATGGTCTGTCAATTTATCTTCTTAGAATTCTGTTTGAAAAAGATCGTTTCAGTGTCCTAATCAGATACACGCTGAACATGGCATGCAGGACATTTGAATAATCAAAATAATTTACATTTGAGGAGTAGCAGAATTCCCTGTGGGGTCCATGATTTGAAATTCCACGATATCTGAATTTACTTCCAAAGATGGGTTTATGATGTAAAGAATGGTCTTACTGTTTAAGTCCTTTTGGCTAAATTGCTCACAGATAAATTCACCTACAAAAGAAAACAGTAAGTGAATCTCATGAATAATCAAACAAACCATAAGTGAGAGCTGATAAAATAATGATTTTTATTGAAAAGTTTTACTTTATTTGAACCATTGTTTTAAAGAACAGCCAAAGAACATTTAGATAGTTGTGACTATCTAAATAGGGGCCAGAAATATAGGTCAGAAACACAAGCACCCGCCTGGAAATCCATGGTACTCAGTTCAATTCCCAGTGCCCAAAACAAACAAGTGAAAACCTAAATAAAATAAGCTAAAAAACAGATAAAATGGTTTGGAATAAAAAATGTAAAATGTTTTAATAAATTTATTATTAAGGGTGTTTTTATATGGTAGCACGTGCAGGTATTTATTTCATTCCTAACTCTTGATTGATTTTTCCATAATTACTGTGATTTCATTAAATTGTTTTGTAAATCAGAGCAAAAACAAAACTCAAATGCAGTGAACTCCAATTCAGGTTTAAATACATTGTGCTTCAGAAATATTTTTAAAATACAGAAATAAAAATAAAGAGAGCAGGAAGATATAAAAGTCTATAATTCTGTCCAATGCTGCTTACAGACATACTATAATCATTGTCTTCCTAAAACAGAAATAATATATAATCCAGAGAAACAAGTAGGGAAAATAATCTCAGAATTTCTTAAAGACCTAATATCACTTAGAACTTATGGTAGAAGAAAAAACTACATATATATGAATCTGGCCCAGGCAGTGTGTATATTTCTGAATGTATTACAATCTGGTTTTAGAAAAACTGCAAACAGTAAACAATCATATATCAGCGCTTGGTTCCCCGGTCTGGATGAATTCAGGAAGGCTCAGCTTCAAACTCTCTTTAGCACCAATATTGATTTATAAATGGCATGTATCAGTAAACTCTAGGGAATGTTTACCAACTGGTTCTTCACTTAATTAAATTACTCTCTAGCCTTGCCAGCTACTGGGTATTTTTAAATGAACAATTATAAGGATTAAGAAAGCCAGTACCTGTTGTTGTGTTCTCCAGATGTCCATGAAGTGGACCTCGTAAAATCTTAAAGATAATCTCATCGTCCTTGGTGTCAGGATCTGATGCCTTCAGCACATGGGAAGTGATATAAATCCCGTAGCAGCCATTTTTGAGGAGTCCCACTTGGGAAGCCGAATGCAAGCGAGTGATTCGGGGTGCTGTTTTGTCCAACTGGTCCACCTGAACCACCAATAATTACACACAATGTTACCCAAAGACTTCCCGCCCCTACATGTCAGGCTTTAATGGTTCAACTATGACAAATTCTCCCAAATTGCAGATTGCTTAGATTCATTTCTCGATTTTTGCTGAAGACTGTCTTGTACATGACATCATGTGTAACTATCACAGTGCTTGAAACAGAGGTCAACTCACCTTTGCCAACCTTGCCTTGACTTTGTTAAATTCTCTAATGTCTGATCTCAGGATATAAGCTTCATGAGTGTAGACACTGTGCCCCACTCCTGCCCCAGTTTCCTGAACCTAGCACAATGCCTCAATCTTAACAGGAGCTCCAGGAGTATGTGTTCAAATGATACATTAAAACTGACCTAAGAAGTGTGTTGAAAATTTATTAGCACCACAGAAGAATTTCCCTATTTTCCCAGTATTTAGTGATCTATAGAAACAAAATTAAAAGGGTTTACAAGTACAGACACTTTTTCCCCACATACACGCTTAAATGGGAAAAGTATTAAATAAAAATAAAGTACTGGAGCAAGAAAAACCTGAAAATAATTCATTTGAGACTTTAGATATTTGTTTTGAGAATGAGGTGGCTGGATTTGCAGGGGTGGTAGATGGGCAGTTAATCATGAGGGAGAAAAGGAACACAGATTCAGCACTGCAAAGGGCTTAATGCACATAGAGTTTACTATGCTCTTTTCTGCCAAAAGACTACCGTAGGCCAGGATGGAGCGGATTTGGGTGGTTAGCACCAGTTCATCGTCGACACTAGAAACAGGTATGACGGTCCTATTGCCATTCCCCTCATTGCTATGCTCCTATTGCTTAACTCTATCTGCCCCTATATTATGCTACTGTGATTCTTGCTTACCTTAGTAAAGTGATGTCATTGCAAATTTCATTATGCATTTTCTTATAATAAATTACTATATAGGTATTAAACAACAGGGGAGTGGAGGGTGGTGGTGCATGCCTGCAGTCTCTGCTACTTGAGAGGCTGAGGCGGAAGATCACAGATTTGAGGTGAGTTTGGACATTTTAGCAAGATTCTTTCTCAAAAATAAAAAATAAAAAGGAATGCAGGTGAAGCTGAGTTGTGCACTGCCCCTGAGTTCTACCCTAGTACAGCAAAACCTCAGTAAACAGCTAATAGTAAGATGACTAAAAATGAAAGTTCTCCATAAATAAAGATGACTATAATGCTATTTTAGTTAAAATATATATATGAACATTTGTATGAAACCGGGGGAAAATAATAGCTCCATAGCTCCTTCTTCCTTTATTTCTATTTGGAATTTTGTAACAACCAATCATTTTCCCCCCCTCACAAGTAGAAAAGTTGTTTTTAAAAAACAAAATTAATCATCACTAAGGATGATAAATATATAAATAGATATTTTAATATTTTCCTGGTAGAGAAACAAAATAGTGAAATTTTCCTCTGCAGAAAATATCTTACAGAAATAGATGTGTGCAGAAAAATGTGTGTGAATGTACTAGATATATATCTAAAAAAATATTATTTATAGGGGCCGGGGATTTAGCTCAGCAGTGGTAAGTGCCTGTCTGGCAGGTGTGAGGTCATAAGTTCGATCCCCAATGCAAAAGAAAAAAAATTGTGATAGCAATTAACAAAAAAAATCCAAAAAACATAGAAGTCCAGCAGAAGATTTATAAACAATCTCTACTTGATATTGAGTCCAACATAACCTTTAAAAGTCCTGTTTGTAAGGAATATTTAATGACATAGAGAAATATTACAATACATGAAGAATGGAAACAGGAGATATGCAAGTGCATTAGTTCACATCATCTAATTATTATTGCCCTGAGTAAAAAATAGAAGAAAGCCACCAACATAAGTGGTATGATTATGAATGATTTTGTCCCTTGTTCTTTTCTACAGCTTATGAATTTCCAATACACAATTATTTTATAAACTGAAAAGGCAACAAACACTCTCAAATGTTGCAGGCACTCTGCTCTCCTGAAAACTGGAGCAGCAGGGCTCAGAGCCGAGAGGCTGGATCTCAGCCGGGGAGTCGGCGCTGTGGCACTCAGGGAGGAAAGCCCACAGCCATGGCGGTCAGCAGGAGGGATGCTCATGCAAAAAGAGAAGAAATAAAAGTACTCCAAGCCATTCCAGTCTCAAAGATGATAAATAGTTGAATGTAGAACAGTCGTTTTTTATGATTTGATGTTACATTTCCCTTAAAAAGAAGCATAGTAAGAGTACTTAATGCCTATTCAGTCATTTGTCTTGTAAAATAGTACCCAAACTTAGCTGTAGTCTTTTCTTGTGCCTCTGGTCATACTCATGTTAAAATCTACTCTAGTCTTATGACATTCCTGGCTTCAAAAGCACATCTTCTGGCCTGGGCTGCGACAGTTTTTAATAGAGAGAAGACCGTGTCCCTATGATGACATGTATTAGATTTGTGGAAACCATCCCAGACATAGCAAAACTACAGAGAGCAATGGAAGGGTCCCTTCTCCTCCACCCTAGGCTCTGTCCCATTTATAAGAACATTCCACGTTGTATCAGTCTTGGTCAAAGAGACAGGATTTCCTAACAAATGAATCTTGGGTCGTTACTGCTCGGATCAGATAAGTTCACCTGTCTTAGGGGTGCAGAACTTCTGGTATTTTTGCCCCAGACACCACCATACAATTTTTCAGTTGCTTGGTAGACAGATTTGGATCTACACATCCCTCAGTGGTGGTAAACATCTTATTGCCTTGGCGGAAAGAGCTCTTGAAGGTGAAACTAAAGATGTCATCTTTTATACACTACTAACGGGATAAGTCACTTCAAAAGTTGCTTGACCTTAAACGAACTGGGGTTCAGGGGAAATTGAGGGGCAAAGTCTGAGGCTTTCCTAAGGAGGCTTTTTTTTTTAACACAATGATATCTGTCTGTGCCTGTCTGCCTGTCTTTGCAAGGAAAACTTTGAACTTTTGATGAAAAAGATACTTTATAACATGCATCCCATGTTTACCTATCGATAAACTTCAGAACTCCAGAACTCCAGAGGCCAGAACTCTCTTACAATAGCCATGCTTCCTAGGATGTGTGCTGCAAGAGACCTTATTTAAATTCTGGTGCTTTCTGCAAAATCTGCCCCTTTCCATCTCTGCTGTGGAGTGTGGGAAGGAACTCTTCATGGCTTCACTCAGAATGCAAAACTCTCACACATTTGCAAACAAACAGACTCAGAAAATTATTCCAAGTGGATTATACAGTGACATTTCTCAACCCAGAATGGGGAATTGAAATCAAGAAAACAAGATAATACTAATAGTCTGACAAGCTGGATGGAACTAATAACAATGAAAACATTACAAAAAATAAAAGCAATAATTATATCAGGTGTGTACAAAATAGTTCTTGCATGTTGTGTCAGTGATAATACTGTCTCTGTCTTCTCCCGGTGCCTTATCATTTCATTCTGGATCTTCCTAATGAGAAAAACTCACCCTGCACCTACCCTGTATTATAGAGACTCTTCACCTCAGAGACTATTAGATGTAAATAAAAGGCTCATTTTATGTGTAGCTTTGCTAGGCTATGCTGCCTAGCTATCCAGTCAACCACCAGGGTGGATGTTTCTATAAGGGTGTGCTTCAGATGCAATTAACATTTAAGTGAGTAGACTTTCTGTTCAATGGTTTTTTTCTTTCTTTCTTTCTTTTTTGATACCAAGGATCGAACTCATGACTAGGCAGGCATTTATGCCACTGAGCTAAACCCCAGCCTCTAGTAGACTTTCTGTGAGGCAGATGCTTTCCATGGTGTGAGTAACCTTCATCCAATTCACTGCAGGCCGTCAAAGGCTGAGGTCCCTCCAAGAGGAAGGAATTTTATGTCTGGATGACTCTTGTCTCTTAAAACCACAATGTCAACTCCTGCTGAAATTTCTAGCTTGCCAGCATACCTTACAATTGTATGAACCAGTTGTTAAAATCAACCTCTCACTGTCTTTCCTGTCTAGGTAGCTATATTACATCAACAGTTAATGTATTATTTATTATTTATACATAATATCTATGCATCTTATTTGGAATTATAGGGGTACAGACATGCATAGTACATGCAACATACATGCATGCACACAGATACTCTATTTCTCTGGAGATCCCAAATATAGAAATTAAAGAGCAAGAGAGAAATACTGATGACTTTACTAATCAGAGAATATTGTGAAGTAAAAAATGAAATTATATCTTTTGGGCTGTTGGTGGATATGTACAGAACAGGGGTGAATGACATCTAAGGAGAGTAGATTTAAGAGCTTCAGAGTCAGAATGTACTTGTGGTGCTTTGACTAAAAGAAGGAAAACACATTACAGTCTCCAAGAACCATACAGAAGGATAAACTTGAGTCACTGGTAGGAAAATAGATGCACTGTAAAATCACAATGTGAAGTGCAGTAAACACAAGCCTAAATATCCCCTGGTTTCTCTTATATAAGAAACTCAATATATAAATGAAGTGCAAAATAAAGACGAGAGGAAAAAAGAAAGAAGAAATCATTGTAACATAGCATGAACAATGTATGTGAAAGTGCACCCTGACTTACTAAAACTGTCTTATGTGTTTTATAGGTTTTTGGCATGTTAGTCTGGCTATTAGTTTGTATCTGTGATAATCAACTTTATAAGGTCTTACAAGGTAAAGAAATGAATCTGATGCTGGAAAAAAAAAAGAAAAAAGAAGAAAAGGGTAGGGGCGGAGGGAAAGGAGAAGAAAAAGAATTGAAATGTACATGTATCAATTTCCCCCACAATGAATGTAATTATTATGTACTGCCAACATGCACTAATAATTTTTTTTTTTTACCTGTACTGGGGATCGAACTTATGACCATGCGCTTGCAAAGCAGGCACTTACGCCGCTGAGCTAAATCCCCAGCCCCACTAACAAAAATTTTAAAAAATACATCTACAATCATTGCAAGAGTCAACAAATGAGGCAGAAGAAAGTCATAGGAAGGACAAAGAATTTGAAATCAGGAAACTTTGAGATCTTTATGTGTATTTGATCACATCTTTCACCTATAAAATGTAGATAATAAATTTATCTTGTAGGATTTTTATGAGAATCAAATAAGATTTATGTAAAGTGTGTTCACAATAAAAAAGAATATGGCTTCTGCTTTTATCATCTTCATCATTATTATATGGGTAATGTTAATAGCCTTGTAACTTTTCATCTGCTTAGTTGAAAACGGTGTAAGATTCCAGTAGTTGACTTGGGCCAATAAGTATCAGCCTAACAGCATAATCACTAATGTCTTCTGACTGATATCAAACATGTTTCAGGAGGCACGCCAGTGCCTTGAACACTTAATCTTGTTTGATTCCCAACACAGTGCTATAGGCGTGTTTTCCAAGGAAGGAAACATAGATGCAGAGAGAACTCTTTTAAGGTGACACAGCTAAGAAATGGCAAAACAGCAAAGCAACTCTGTTCTGTCTGACTCTAAAGCCCACGGCCTTGCCCCTTCCTATACTCCCACTGACACTCTCCCATTCCCCCAACCCCACGATGATACAGGAGGTTGAAACTACAGTGAACCGAGCTACACCCCAGTCCCTCTTTCCCTAAGTCACTACAATGCCCAGGCCAGGTTTGAACTTGCAATCCTCGTGACTCACCCTCCCACAGTGCAGCAATTACACATGCATCTACTGCCACCAACTCTTAAGGTTAGTCACTAGCCTGTGTGTGGGGACGAGGTCCTTTCTCAGACTCATTAATGTGCTTAGCGTGCTGCGGCTGTACACGCCACATTGGAATGGAAAGGGAAGGAAGAACGGAAGTCTTAGAGCTGTTTTCCTCACATCTCTGGCACAAACTGGATCTCTGCAATACTTGCCTGAATGGTGAACGGAACAGGGTCTTTCCAGACTCTCCCATCCACCACGAAGCCTTGGTTTGTCCTATCTGTGGCCACAAAGGTAAAATAATCAACCTGCGAGTCACCTCCTGTGTGCTGATAGGCCACATTCCTGCTGTCCACGTCCCTCTGCGTGAAACTCTGCTGAAGCAGCACTGCCCCTCGAAGATAGAGCTGGCCGTGCTGTGGGAGCCGGGCCAGGAGGAAGGTGAGGTTCTCGGCAGGTGTGTCAGGGTCAGTCAGCTCCAGGAGCTCTGGGGAAAGCACACCCACAGCCCCTTTGGCCAGCCTCAGCCCTTTGTTCTTAGTCACCATCGGCAAAGCTCTGTCCTCAGCCTTCAGTGTGATCTCAAACACTCCATGTTTGGTCCACAGTCCATTGCTGACGAGGAATCTGGCAAAGAGAGGCAAGGCAGCCTTCAGCATGGATTCTTGTGTCACCATCTACTGAAATGAAATGATAACAATACACACCTTTACTAAAGGACAGGTCGTATCGTGACTCAAATGAAAAATCAAGGACAGATCTCTCAAAAGAATGCCTTTCTATCATCACACCAGTCACTGGGTGACACGTTCATTGTCCATTTTATGCCTGTGGGTATTTTCTCAACAGTATTGCTGATAGACTCATGGACTGGAGCTGACGGGTTCTTACTGTAATATATTCCCTTCCCCAAGTAGAAATTTCCTATCAATTGGAATCAGCACATGATGCCGAAAGGTATATTAATTTTATATACTTATAATTTTGCATTTTGTTTTGTTTTCTGAGTCAGGGTCTCACTAAGTTACCCAGTCTGGGCTTGAACTTGAACCCCTATCTTAGCTTTTCAGAGTGCTGGGATTACAGGTTGACCCGGTTATGACTGGCTACAACTGTAATAAGCTAAACTTTTCAGATATATAATTACAGAACCAACGCAATGAAGTGCTCAATGGGCTGAATTTGGTTAAATCACTGTTCTCAGGTATTCATGAAAATTTTCTTTTCCCTTTTTTTGGTACCAGGAATCAAACTCATGACCTCACGCTTGCCAGGCAGATGTGCTGCTGAGCTACATCCCAACCTTCATGATAACTTTCTTAAGAGCAGATCACATTATCCATTCATGTGTTATCTAATTCATCTTCCCTCCCTGGGTGGCTTCCACTCTTCTGTAGAATGAAAGCCATGGACCAGATGATTGTCAAATATCATCCAACTCTGTGACCTTATGTGAGGCTCTGATCTCTTACAGTTGACACAAATGTGCTTCCACACTGTTCCTTTTGTGTATGTAGGAGTTATGCTAGACAAGGGTTTTTTTCCTGCTTTAAAGGAAGGTTAGGACACTCAGCCGGCGATCCCAAGGCAGGTGGGAGATGGAGCTGGGGCTGGTACCCAGGTCTTATGACCAGATACCCTCTCCCTGATTGAGGTTTTAATAAATGCTATTTAGAAATCCACCAAGAAAGCGTATGGTACCTGAGCACCAGTGCAAAACTATAAGCCATTATGCCAGAGCTGAAATAATACACATTCAAGGTCAGCCAATCCTCTTGAAATCTTGTGCCTTTGATTATGTTGATTGCTAAATCACAGTCTATCCACTGCAGTGATTTTCACAGTAACATTAGTTTAAACGATCTTTACATAATTTTAATATATTATTTTTATTTTAAAGAAAATTGTGAGTCATGAAATTATACATACAAAATACAAAATTGAAACTCCAAAAAGTTAGGAAATCACTACTATCAAGTAAGATCAACAAATTCACCATAGACCAAAGAAATGTGTTGTACTTAGAATTAATCATAGGGCTGTGTCTTACTGATTTATCTCTGTATTCATATTTGCTAGAAATATTTTGGAAGGATAGACTCTTTTTCTAAAATAATATTATTGGTATACTTTAGAGGTACCTAATGATAACGTTCATTATGAGGAATTTGTACCTGTACATGATGTATCTTTGATTCTCCTTTTTACCCCAGTCCCCTCCATTCCCTTCAACCCCTTTTCCCCTCCTAATTTACAGAAGCTTTGTATCCATTTTTTCCTTCTATTCTCTTTTTTCTTTTCCCTGCCCTCTTTCCCCCGTCTCCCTTCTTTTGTTCCCCTTCCCATTAGAACATTTCTTCCCTTTTCTCTAATCTATTATATATTTTGGTCCTTATTTACCTAGGAAGAATATGCTCACATTCCATGAATGTAAGAATTTCTAGAAATCATTTTTAGTGGAATAAAATATTAAATTATTTAATTTTTTTTTCTTTGGAGGTTCTATTTATTAACTACAAAAGGCATGGGGTGTATTTATTTTACTAATCCAGCAAATTTGACCAACAAATTCTTTACTTTTGGCCAAACTATGTCTTATCTTTCAGGATTTAAGCACGGATGGTTTTTCCTTTGACCATGAAAGTCCTTGAAATCAGGTCAAGGTACTGTATACAGCCAGTCACTGAGCCTGCCAAGGGCAAAGAGACAGGGAGAAGAGCAGCTGGACAAAACTTAAAGGGAGATGAGGGTGACAAATTTTGCTATGAAAGCAAAGCTGAAGTATTAAGTTTTCTAATCACCTAGTTACGAAGACTACCTTCAAGGGAAAACAAAAGAATGTATGTCCCCTCAAAATTAAAACTGCTGAGGGAAATATAGCAAATAAAAATTTTGATGTGTTTATACAGATAGACTTATAAAGAATGTAACCTCTTGTTTTCTACATCATCTCTTGTATAGTCTGAATGAAGTCCTGCATCACCCTCAGAATTGTAGATTAAGCAAAAATAGCAGTTTCTCAAACAAATTAATCAATTTTCTTTTTGTAAACAAAAACTTTTGATAATATAAAGACTGGGCAGTTTCATTCCTGGAGCATGAAGTATTAATGAAATTAGTATTTTATTAAAAAGAAAAAAAGCACACCTAGAAAGACAACCGTATGTTCTTCAAACTCTTTAATTCAAATAATTTCAAAGGTTCAGACAGATGAAGTCTTACGTATTTCTCAGGCAAAGACTCCCATGAAACCATACCTTAACTCTGTTTCTCCCTCCCCTAGACCTATCATTTGACCCAGGGTAAAATAAGGAGGCTAGCCTTTCCTTCAGGGCCGCCAAGCTTTTATTCCACTTTACTCCTCCTCTATTATATTTCACCCTTCCCATTCCACCGTGCCTCCCGCAGAGCAGCTCTCTATTCCCTACCCAATGCCTGTAAAAAATGTGCTCTTAAAGAGAGTTCTAAACCAGTCATTGACCATTAGCATCAATGTACATGAAGGGACCTGAATCTTCAGTAACTGTGGAGTAAAAGACTGTACCCATTAAAAGTTTATCAAAAGTCAACAAAAATGAAGGAAACAAAAGAGAAACAGGAAAGGAAGGGAGAGGATCGGGAGGGAACAAGATTCAATGTGAGCTACAGTGAATGATGGGTTCTATACCACGTGGCCCATTTTGAATACCTGATTTTGTTCTCTGGAGAGTCAGTTCTGAAAATGTCCTTTGAGGACAGGAGCCTCATTTCTCAGTCTCAGGAGCATCACATTTACTGTGTGTGTGTGTGTGTGTGTGTGTGTGTGTGTGTGTGTGTGACCTCTGTGAGGGCACTGAAACTGTCTCATGATCCAGGCTGTATATCTCAGACTCATCTCTGCCTGATGATTGGGATCTGACCATGCTGGAAATAGGCAACCTGCCATCAGACAGATGGGAACAAGGGCAAGCAGGCCAGGGACCGTGGAAGAGTAAGAAAGATGTTTACTGAGAGACGCGTTCCCAGCTGGGACACCAAGGCAGCTGTCTGCACTGACCTAAAGCTAATAAACCAGGGGTGGAAAAGATGCCATTTCCAAATGCGACTAGATCAAATACATCATTCCACTTTCATGAGTAACAATGCAAACTACTCACAGGCAAGGCAGAGTCATTATGAGAGAGAGAGAGAGAGAGAGAGAGAGAGAGAGAGAGAGAGAGAGAGACTGACTTATGGTTGGGTTCCCAGTCAAAATAAAGCTAGCAGAACAAGTGAAACAAGATCAGTGCTGTGCATGTCTGCAAAAGTCGACCAGCTGATCTTGCAAATGTCACCCTCCCCCACCAAATTCCTGTAAATACATCCTCTCAAGGTTTAACGTAATAGCACCATTGCTATGTTGCTATCCATACCATGGCGAGGAAGCTGGCAGAGCAGAGGTAACAGTGCCTTCTGTGTGATCATTTTGTTCAATACCCCTTACTGCACCCCCTGAGAAAGAAGGTAGCCAGGATGACCACCATTCTCATGAAATTTAGGAAACGATTCTCAGGTTTGTCTGGGGTGTCTGCCTGGTCTGATTTCACCATTACCACGGTGCTTTCAGGCTTTCTGCATTTCCTGGCAATAGAGTTGGCTGAAGAATCTGCCATCTGTCATGGCATTTAAAAGATAAAAATGGAATCATAAATAGAGCCAGCTCCTCAAAAAAAAAAGTCCAGCCGGCATGTCAAAACGGAGGACATTAGCATGTTCTTTTAGTACCCGGCTGCCAGCAGCTGAAGTCAGCTTGCTAATCACTTGGTGTCATCTGTCCTAGAACAAGCTGCCAAATCTCTCTTCCAGGCCAGCAGCACCAAACAATGCAGGAGAAATTTATGATTTACAAAATATTTTTGCACAAGGTAAAATCTGACCATTAAACTCCCCCATTTAATTAGTGCTGCCATATCTTACAGTAAAAAGGGAAGGGAAAAAAAATCCTCTGCCACAGAATTTATCTCTTCCACCCTGCCAAATTTCTTGCCAAATTTAACAGCAAGCAACATAAATTTAGGTGATTAGATTGGTTGCATATATTTAATTTTTAAAAAGCACCATGATCACACTTTCATCAAAACAGGCTTTCAGCTTTGGTTTAGCGCCACTTGACAAACAACACAGCAGCCCACGATTGGGTGAGCGAAATGACAGGATTAAAATGCAGGTCTTGGGCAGATGCTAGGCTCTTCCACTATAAATATGTAAAACTTCTGGCCAAAAATCAAAGTGATTCATCGAGGAGGTTCCTTTGCACAAATAGTCTCCACAAATTTTTCATACAAGGAGGAATAATGGAAAGAACTCTCCACGGAAATGAGTTCTTAGTTCTTGGCCCCAAACTCAGCACTGATACTCAGTTACATCAATTTATGCGACTTCCTTTGCCTCCTGGAGCCTTGGTTTTTATCATGCATAAAATGATAGCAACCTCATCCCTCTCAAGGTATTGATGTAAGACTTAAGAGAAATAATATAGTTCAAAAAGGGATGTGTTACACAGCCTCATGTAGTGTGGACCTCCAACTGATGCTTGCTTTCCGGTATGCAAATGAAGGGACTGGACCCAACAGTGCTTTTCAACCTTTTGTGTTTCTCTCTGTCGCCCTGTTTGCTAACCTTAAGTCATTCAAAGTCCTCCCTCATATTTACCATGTGCTTAGATTACCTATACAAAAATACCCATACAAGAAGACAGTATTTTTAATTCTCGCTAGACATTGTTGCACACTGGCTCAGAGCCTGAGACCTGTGCTCCTTTTGTTATCAAGGGGAAAATAAATGTGAAGCAATAGTAAATACACATTAGCACCAACCTGAGATTTCTCTTTGAAAGAATCACAAGGAGTCAGACACCATACAGGCAATACTGACTTACTGCTTGTTCTTGACCTGCCCATGTGATTTCACATCTGCATCAGCCGGGGTACAAATCACTGGCTTTAGAAAATGGAGCCACAGACTAGCTAAAAGAAAACCTTGCTCACAAGTCCAGTGGGCAAAACAAACTGGAAAACGGAAGTGTCAAAAAACAGAGTGCAGTCAGTGAATTGAGGTGGGGGCCTCAGAACCCCACCAATTCAGCTTTCTCCCTTCTGTCTCTGGGAGGGCCTGCAGGGTTTCTGAAGATTCTCAAGGCTTCACAGGATGCATTCTGAAAAAAGTGATTAGGCTGGCCCAGTAAGCGCACCAGAATTGTCTGTAGAACTTTGTAAATAGAGGTTCCTAGACCTGAGAGTAGACTTAGCAAAGTCACCTCTGATGGGGGGGATTCCAAAAAATCATAGACATAGATAACCTCTAGAGTTTCTCCTATTTTATTTTGAATCGAAACAAATTTCCATATTTTAAGTGAATATACATTGTAATTCTCCCAGGTAATTCTGAGGATCTTGAAATGTAGAAAATCTTGTGATAAATAATTTCTAAAATACTCTCTAACATGACTTTCTGGTTATGAAAATTAAAGAAGTTTTACAGTATCACCAGTCCTTACAAATAGAACTTTTGTTTTTTATCTCACAGTCTGATAAGTTTCTAGCTTTCACTTCCGAACATTAGCACATTTTCATCCACTGGCTCCTCCATAAAGGCCACTGGATTTGCCAACACAGTCCTCAAGGTCTTCAGCAGACTCTCCTCCAGGCACTGATGGAAGAAGCAGGAGCAGAGAAAGGCAAAAAGGTCCAGCAATCGGTGTAGAATTAAAAGCTCTGGATCTGATAAACACGGGTTCAGCCAAGAAGCATCTTAGCTCCCTAAGCAGACAGGAGGAAAGCAACAAGCATCGCTCCTTTCCCTAACTCCTTTCCTCATTCCAGATTACTCTTAGAGTTGTAAACATGGGAGGTCAGGGGGCAGACTAGGGAACAACATGGTAAGGACCCGGAAGAGCAATAATGGTAACGGCAAACACTCAGATCCACACATGTGCCAGGTGTTGTTTTGTATATCGCACATAAAGGTGCTTCTTGAAACCCCCCAAAACCTGCTTTGCAGGAGCAGTGAACACCATTCCATTACATGGAAGGAAAAATCACAGGGGGCTTTGCAACCTGATGACAGCAAGACCTGTGAGTCACCCAGGCAGCACACGGACCTGAGCCTATACTTTAGCAACTACAATACAGCACTTCCCACACACAGGAAGCAGCTCAAAGAGGATGTACATCTCGCCACTAGTATTTTAGCTAGTGCCTATCAACATTCAAGTAGTGGTTAAGATAATCAGTTAAATGATGGTCTGCTTGTTAAAGGACATGAGAGAGACAGACAGACAGACAGACAGAGAGAAACAAAAAGGGCATGAAGCTGCATGCAGTGGGTATGGTGGCATATACCTGTAATCCCTTGAGACAGGAGGATTACAAATTCAAACCCATCTCGGGCAACTAAGTGAGACCCTGTCTCAAAATAAAAAATAAAGAAAGGGCGGGTTTGAACAATCTGGTTCTCAAACAGAAGCATTTGGAGAAGCTTTGGGTTTGTTTGCAAACTCTGCACTGGCTATTGAACACACTATGTCCATCTTTCCCACCTGAACACAAATGAACTGAGTCCTCCTTTCCAGAATTTGGAACATGTTAAGTTCATGAACAAGGTACCACTTGCATATGACAGAAGGAAGTGGTGTTTGAGCATGGTGTGTTGGTAATTCTTGATAGTCTATGGAAACCCAGAAAATATACGAGTTTGTGACATTTATGTCATTTTGTAGTGTTCAGTAGGTTGTATTGTTCATGGTAAAAATTGTCCTAGAGGCCAGGAAGCCCTGGGTGCTGGGTAGACAAGTGGATGCTCTGAGCCTCCTTCTTAACTGGTGAAATTCTGGGTTGGATTATAAGTTCCCCAAAGGCTAGCCCTACATTTGTCAGTCGTTACCCCTACCATGGGATCTGCCTTTCCATAAGGGACCTCAAGTCCGGCCCGCTACGTGGGCTGCTAGATAATAGCTCTTCTAGAGTTTCTTCTATTTTATTGTGACTTGAAACAAATTTCCATATTTTAAGTGAATATAGATTGTTATTAATGTTGTATCTTTGCCTTTTCACCAGATTGTTATTTGTTCCAGTGATTTATTTGATACAGAACCCTTGAACAGGTGCACAGTCCTCAATTGTAACATTGTTTCTGTGGGGAAATATGATCCACTCTGTGACAACATGATTTATGATATAGCTACAGGAACACTTTGTGTCAAAAGGCAGTGTCTGCTATGCCAAACTTATTATGCTAATAAATGACTTCTGCTTATTTAGAAAAACATACTCAAAAACCAGGGGAATCCTTTTCCATGTCTATCCTTGGTTGGGTACACTTAGCCTTCACACTCCTCCTCACAGAAGAGCTTGCATTTGTATCTGTTTATTGCATTTATTTTTCAGTACCAGTCCCTAATTTCTTGCTGTGCTGCTGTCATTTTAAAATGTATGCCTTTACCTCTCATACAATGAGGCAGTATAAGAAAAAATAGCTAGAGTAGAGCTGGGAAAGGACTCATGTTTTCCTCTTTCTTCTTTTATTTTTAAATAAATTTTAATATGTACACTTAAGGCATATGACATGATGGTGTGGGGGTCAAAAATGGTAAAATGGTTACAATAGACCACATTAGCATATTTCTGTTGTTTTAACCATTAATCCAAAGAAACAGTTCCGAAAAGTTTCCACAGGACTCACCTGAAGCTGTCACTGGGGGAAGCCACCTTGCTCTTATGCGCATAGCAGACTGTCTGTCCTGCTATGTCCATTTGGCTGAAGCTTGTAATGGAAACTCCAGGATAGTGGACATATTCCACCTGGCCATATTGCGGTGGGGAGGTGATGACATAGAGCAGTTCCTCAGGCTTGTTTGCTCCATCCACAGCCAAGAGAGTGGTAGTTGTCAAGATGCCTCTGTCACCTTTAGACACCACAAGTGGCTTTGCAATAATGACAAAATCACCTGTGTGAGGTTATAGTCAAGAATCATATTTTAAAATATGTGATATTCAAGGTAAAGGTAAAAGGTGAGGGCCAAGGTCTGCCAAAGTCAAATCAAACATGACGTAAAAAAAAAAATAGGGGCTGGGCATTTAGCTCAGTGGCACAAGCTCCTGCCTTGTGAGCAGGCAGTCGTGAGTTCGATCCCCGGTACCGATAAAAAGGAAAAAGACCCCCCCCAAAAAAAAAATGACGTAAAAAGGTTTATAGAACTATGGGAATAAAAGGAGAAGGCAAAAGAAGTGAGCAAATGCTTCACGAAAGAGGAAGCAGGTGTGCCCAATAAGGATATAAAAGATGCTCAGTATCATTAATAATTATGAAAATACTGTACAAGATTATAATAAATTGCCATCTCATAATTCTTTGATGAGCAAAAATACAGAAGTCTGATCATATCAAGTGTTAAAAAGGATGCAGCTCAAGATAATCTTGTACAGAAATGAAAGAGAAGGGTAAATTGAGTTGAATATTCACATTTGCTGTACTTTGATGATTCTGCCCCTCAGTGTACCTCAAAAACTTCTTGCGCTTGAACCCCAGGAGACACATACAAAAATGGTCATTGTGGCACTGTTTATGATGGAAAACACTGAAGGCAGCTCAAGTGCCTTTCCAAAAGGCGAATAGATAAGCAAACTAGGGATCTAATCATACAACTGATCTTAGTCTAGTAGCAAAATGAATGGAATACAGCCACATACAACAATACAGACACAGCATATGAATACCTGTTAGTTGTACAAGTCAAGAACATCACAAACAAGAATTAGAAGACAATACCAAATTTGAGATGGTAGTTTTTCAGGAAGATGGGAAAAGAACACAGAGCAGCATCAGTTATTGCTAATATTTAAGGTCCTGCTGTGTAGTAGTTGCACAGGTGTTCACTCTGTGTTCAACAAGGCACGCGGTAAGGTTATTCACAACAGCCAGAAGCTAGAAGCAGCTCCACAGATAAATGGAGAAACAAAAGTGGTGTACACATACAGTGAAGTGCTACTTCGTCTTAAAGCAGGAAAGGGATTTGTGTGCATGCTACAGCATGGGTGAACCCTGAGGACATTATGTCAATGAGGTCAACCAGTCATGAAAAGACATACACTAGATGATGCCCTAAGGGGGAGTTAATGCATCAAAACAGAAAACAAAAGACAGTTACCAGGGTCTGAAGCAAAGGAAAAGGAGGAATTGTTATCTAGCAGGCATAGGGTCTTAATCTTGCAGGATGAAACATTCTGAAGTTTGTATATTCAGCAATATGCATATAATTAGCACTACCCAACTGTATATCTAAAAAAACTGAGATAGTACATAAGGAATGCATATTTAACCACAATTTAAAAGAAAATGCATAGACAAATGAGCAAAGCATAAAAGCAGGTCATACGTGGACCAATAATGCAGTTTCACCAACTAAGTGTGATAATCAAGTTCATTCATTCCAGATCTCTTAAAAATGACCACATCTAAAATGTGGAGTTACAACTTTGTGTCTGTCAGGCCCAGGACTAAGGGTTCTTAAATATTCTCCCCACTCCTGTGTGGTAGACCATTATCATATTTTCCAGATCATAAATGAGGAAATCAAAAGGTAGAAATGCTGACTAATCTGCTAGCAGTTACACAATAAAAGGCAGCTTTAGAATTGTATTTAAGCCATTGAGAAACGCTATAGTATATTTTTTCTCTTCTTATTAATAACAAATGATTAGATAACCAAAAAGAAAAATATGTGAAGTAAATGTCCAGCCATCTCTGGATTAAAAACTACAGAAGCCCAAGAAGACTGAAGATTCTGCACAGTTTCATAAGAAAACAACAAATGGAAATAAAACATCAAGGTGTTATAATTTTAGATGAGGGATTCTCAACAGCGGTTAATTTTGCCATTCTCTCCCTCCATCCTGTATATTTGTCATAATGAGGTTGCTCTTAGCTTCCAGTGGGTAGAGGTCACAGATAGTGATAATTAACCATCCTGCAACACACAAGGAAGTCTCCTACAACAATGAATTAATTATCCACTCCAAAATGTCAGTAACACCAAGATTGGGGAACCTTGTTTTTAGGTTGGTCTTTTATCTCAAATGGATCAAAGATCATCCTCCATTTAAATACAAAGCTGAGCTGCAGATATACAGAGGGGACCAAGATGAATGCATCAAGGAAATAATAAGAATGATCAAGGCTGGAGAGAAAGGAAACGCCCACCAGAGCTTTCACCGGGAGCAAGCACTGGATCTCAGGGAGGAAGAGCCTTGGGCTCAAGCCTTGCTGCAACTTCTGGGCAATGTAAGGACAGGGCATGGATTAAGACTGACCTTAGCCAGGCCCTCCTAGGAGTCTCTCCAAGATGTCATTTTTGCCCTTGACCAAAACATAACATACGGCACAACTGAAAGATTTAGTTATTTATGATAGCTCCCAGATGGAAATAAGCAAATGCTCAATATTAAGATTATAATTAAATTTACACAACTTACCTTCACTTGGAGATAAACAATTATAGTTACATGGTTATCAACATGAGTTGATAGTTAAGAAAGCTAATGTCAAGTTTTTAAAAAACAACAGGAAAGGGGCTAGGGGTTTAGCTCAGTGGCATAAGCACCTTCCTTGCAAGTGTGTGGTCCTGAGTTCGATCCCTGGTACCGATAAAAACAAAAAAGACAAAAAAAAAAAAAAAAAAACAGGAAAATAGCATCTAACACTGAACAGTGATAAAAGCCAGAGGAAGGAAGGAAGGAGAGCATGCTGATATTGAGCTTCTGAAAATGTTAACAGATCAGCCCATTCACTTGGCATGGGTTTCCATTAAACCTTTTAGGAAATGACTACATGTCAATTGTGTGGTTTCTGATGAGGGCTTTGCCAGCCTTATTTAAGCCTTTCTGGATTCACTACTGTAGTTTCCATTGCCGACTTTCTCCATGATTCAGGCACTAGGATATGCTCAGGAAAGGCACATGGAAATCAGCCTCAGTGGATGAAACCCTACCTTGTGAAACTTACCTCTGCATCTCAATTCCAAATTCTAAGACTTTCTGAGAGGAGGGAATGTCTAGACAAGGACAGTCCCCAGGTGACAGTATAAAATACAGCCTACTTCCATTGCCCTGAAACTTCACTGTGCTAAGTCAACCTTAATATAGTAGTTGTCTGTTCTAACATTACTTGTATCACTTGTGTACATTTTGATATACAGGTAAATGAGCATAACTTTTTCAGAAAGAAATAAAATGTGTTCAGAGATATCTAGCTTATCTGAAAGTCACTTGTTAGATATTTTTAAGAAACACATTTTACAACAGAAAACAAGCTAATAAAATATATAGTCAAAAATAAGTATCAAAAGACCAATCAAACTGAATTTTTAAAACTTCAGGACAACTGTAATTCTACCACACACACAAAACAAGACTCTTACTACAGTTAACATCCTATTTAACTCTGAGCTTCCTAGCAAATGAAGCAAAACAAGCAATCATTCAGTCAACGAATCAGGTATGAAAATCCAAGACAATACTTCATCTGGGAATGTTTAGATACGAGGACTATGTCACTGAGTAAGTTATAATACTTGCTGTCTTCCTATCCAGTAAGCAAAATTACAGGTAGTGATAGCTGAACATCAAGGTGTATGTGTGTGTGTGTGTGTGTGTGTGTGTGTGTCTCCCTAGCTGAGCTTTGGTTTTAACATTTTACCTACGATTTATAAGCTGTTGACTCATATTATGCAAATGAGTTGCTTAAATAATTCCAGGGAAAAATCAATGTTTTATGTGTTTTCCTTATCCTTACAGTGTTTGTACTAGCACTTTCAAAGCGAAAAGAATGACAGCTTCTAATTTTTCAATGACAAAATTCCTTTGTGTTATTTTTTAAAATTTAAAATATGTTTATTCTTCTTCCTTTCATATAATATAGAAATATTTTTCTTTGGAGAATTTATGTTCAAATGATAATTTACTTCTTGAAAATAAAAGTAGAGTTTTCACATCAGTGTAGTAAAACTTTACTAAAATAATGAAAGTAGCCTGTGTTGCCATACTGTGGGCAAGACTGGATAACCTCCTAGGAAAGGCAGTTGGTTACTCTTGTGATCTCATGCATCCCTTAAGAGGCAGGTGAGAAGTCAAAAAGATGGAATTTTATGGTGAAGGATGGAAGGAAGAAAAGAAATGAGGGAGGGACAGAAAGAGAAAGAGATAGATGGTGAATACTTAGGCCAGGTCATTTCCAGTTATAAAAGTCGATCCCAGTAAACATAGCAAGCATATCTTTACCTTTTCCCATGTCCTTGATGACGATATGACAATCAAACGCAGGTGATCTGTTGTCACCATCCCAGAGGTGGAAGGTGAAGCTGTCTTGATTCTGGGAATCCAGGGCCCCAGTGTGTGTGTATCTCAGCAGGTTCAGATCCACGTCCTCCTGGGTGCACCTCATGCCCGGGGAGAGGGGAGCCCAGTCCCTCCCTATCTGAAAAGAGCCAGAATTAGTTCACTGCCCATGTTTGTTTTTTTCTCCAGCTGAGTTAATGGATATTTTACACATTCCCTAGAAATTTCCAACAAAAATATCTCAGGGAAATTCTGAATGATTTTTTACCACATTGTTTTATTTTTTCTTTTCAAAGAAATATATTAAAATAATTTAAGACTGTGGGAGAAAATCGGCTTAGACCAAAGGGTTTTTGACAAAGTCATGTGACAGTTCAACAGGAGCAATACTTCCAAGGTATTTACCACAAGCAATCACAGCTGATTAGATATTCCAAATAATGAGAGCAGGTGGGTAATTGAGATGCTGGAATGGGTTCTTTAGAAATTCAATGTGTTTCTTTTGGAGTTTCTTTCTTTCTTTTTTTCAGTTCATATCATTGTACAACTAATCAAATCTTTTTTTTTCTGGGTGGTTCATTACTAGGCTTCACTGATAAGAAAGAACAGAATTAATGCATTTATTCTCTAGCTCATTTTCTAGCCTTACTAAAACCTAAAGCAAATGGTCAGGATCCTTATCACTTCCTACATTTATATAAAAATATAAACTGCAAATATCATACATTATTTTTGTCTGGATCTTCTAAAAACATGCCAAAACTAGTTAGGAATATATTCTGCACATAGTTTAGTGCAAAAAAATATGGCATTTTCAATCAAAAGAGGTTCTTGTGTTGGAGGTTGGCTAACACTGAGACTATTATAACTGAATTAATAAAATTTTATCTTCTTAACAATCCCATTGTTATTGTCTTTAGATATATACATAGTTTTTCCTAAAAATATCTCATAAAAAGTTATTTGATATAATTCAAGGAAAATATCAATTAAAATATTCACAGTGTAAAATCATATTGTGCTTGTCTTACCTGGCTTAAATGACCAGACAGAGACCTAAATCGCTCACTTCTGTTTCTCTTTCATATACTGTGCTGCAGACTTTCACCTTTTGGCAAAAGAGCTTTGCCTTCTTCCCTCCTTACTGTGTTACCATTTCTCTTTATGTCATTCTATTTCATAAAATTCTTGCTCTTTAATATTTTTGCCCACCTTGTGTTCACAGATGCATGTTCTCCCCAAGATTTAATGGGTAAAAGTAATTGTATTGTTATAATTCAGTGTTTGTTTCCTTCATAAAATTTATTTGCAAATATAGTTTGTCAAACAGATTCTCCTTCAAGTTTTAAACCAGACAGCCTATGATTTTAATTTTCCCTCTTTGCAATCTTGCCCAAGAAAATAAAAACAGAAGACACCATTTGCTCTCTCTTACCTCCATCTAATATCATCTCTCTTAAAGCCCAAAATGTGAGTAATATAATCAACTGAGGAAGCAAATGAAAGTGAGACTCAAAATGAGAAAACCAAGGAAAGCTCCAAGAAGCAGAAGTCCAGGAAGCCTGATTCTTGTTCCCTTGTCTGAGACAGCTTTGGGGAGCCCCACAGGAGGTGCAGAGAATCCTGTGGAGCCCCATGGGGAACACAGACCCATCTGGATTTTCACATACCCAAAACAGTTCTGTTCCCAAGCTACCCAAATGTGTGAGCTCTCGCTGCATTTCCGCTTCATTACTCTTTGAAATGAAATAAGGACACAGCTGTACCTCAATTTAAACCAGTGATTGCTCTTCACTCTGATTCTCTATGGTGCCTACAGTCTACGACAAACAAGCTGCTGTTCCACACAGAATGAATCCTTGCTGTTTTTCTAGGACTGTGCCTCATTCCATTAAGAGTCAAGTATTCAGTGAAATAATCACATTGGGGATGGCTAGTGGCTGTTGCTGGTCTTAATCCACCATTCAAATAAACACTTTGACTGACTATTCAACTGACCTTTCCAAGAGACTGGTCTATAATTTGGAGCGTGCACAGTCTGAATCAGACTGAAATCTTACTATTCTAGAACCAAAGAGGTCTGATCTATAAACAAGCTGTTGGAAAGTTAGCAATAGAGCCATGTGATTTGACCTCTAGTATCCCCCAAAGTTTTCATGCTTCCTTGCTTTCCGTGAAAGCAAGTCATTTCCAGGATATACACAAATCCATGAATGTTAATTCACTGTGTAATGTTGGATTTTACTGCAGTTAAATACAACAGTTATTAAAATCTGACAGATTTTAGTAGGATGGGATGAGCTCCATATGAAGTTTCCCCCAAATGTGCCTTTTGCTTCTAAGCTTTGCCCACACCAAACTTAAGCTGAAGACTTTACAGCAGCAGAGGATGTATGACCGCAGAATAAACATACTAACCTTTCACCTTTTAAGTTCATCCCAAACAGGATACCAAACAATGTGGTACATGTATTGTTTGCAGTAGGGGCTGTCTCCCTGGATAAGGGATCAGGCTTTTCCAGCTCAGGGAGTAAGATGAGCATTGGAAAAGAATAAAGAAAGCTACTGCTTGCTGCAGGCCACTGAGAAGACAGGCAGTGATAACACCCAGGTGAGATTTTAGAGTCTTAACAAAGAGTACTTGCTGCCCTGGTCCCACACTATAGTGTCATGAGGACAAAAACATTATTTGTTAGAAAACTGGAGCGGAAGGAGCTTCAAATTTTCCTAGGCCTAACTGTCACAAAAGAATGATCGATTTTTTCCTGTTCTTCAGAATGGTTCCTTACCTTAGAGGGAGAGAGAGGATGGGAGGTGGGGAGAGGAGAGGGGAAGAGAAGGGAAGACGGAGAAATTGATTTCTTGGACCTGAAGGAGTTCTATGACCGGGTAGTGAATGTTAAAAAAGAAAGTAACACGGATCATACAAAACAGAAATAGTGAGAATGAAGACATCTTAAAAGACGCCGGATTTCCCCTCAGAATTAGGATAATATGGGAAAGGAGCAATGGAGAAGCTTCACATTGGTTGAATTTACCATTAGTTGCCTAAGAATATTTAAAAGGGTATGAATTCTCTGTGGTGCAAGAAAATTAGAATTTCTGCTTCTGGGAAAAATATGGCTATTTTGAGAATAAACGCAATTATAAAAATGGATATGCTGAGAAAATGTGTGCCTGCTACATTCATTTTGAAAAACAAAGGGACAAAGGCCACTAACCTTAAGCTGGAGTTGCCCGTTTTGGGGAAATCTTTCAAATAAATAGCAAATCTTCTCCCTGGGTGTGTCTTTGTCTACAGCAGAAAGAACAGCACTAGAAAGAATACGAGTATCTCCCATGTTCACTGCAATCTCAGCCTTCCTGTTAAAAAAAAGAAAAGGAAAACACCTGCTTGATATAAAGGAAGAATTACCAGTTTAGCAGACGGTACTTATATTGAGTGCTACATTTCCCACCCTTCAAGGTAAGGAGTTATCCTCAAAGTACTAGAAAGACAGGCAGACAATAAAGTGAGTTCTTTCACTCTACGTGGTCAAGCCTGAAAACACAACGAGACAGCAACGATGAATAGAGTACCAATTGCTTTCAGACAGGTAGAAGTTTACAATTTTGTAAGTAAAGGGTAGCTTGTACAATGATTTGTTTCCAATATTTCATTTGACACAACAGTGCCATGCAGTGAGTGGAGGAGGTGCTCTCATTCCATTTCACAGACAGAAACATACTGAAAGACATCAGTTGCTTTATAGTATGCCCTGTGCTCCCTTTGGGATGTGGCACTCTGAGTTTGGTGCTGTTAGGTAATCTGTGACCTCCATGTTGCTCATCCTTTCCCTAGTAATGCTCTGGAAGCCTCAGCTTGCAGCAAGACGTCTCATCCCAGCACCAGGACTTTCATCTGGTTAATTCCTGCAGCCTGACCTGCAGACTGGGGTAGCGAGCAGACAGGCAGGGGTGGCTGCTGCTTCTACCCTGACACTGCTCCTACAGACCCTTACCAAGGCTGCGACATTCACGAGTGATTCAGCATTTTCTCCAGTACCAAGCAAGTGAGCAATGGATCTCTTTCTGCAAGTGAGCAATGGATCTCTTTCTGCGAGCGTTTCTAGCTTTGGGCTACGGCTGTACTCTGTGCCTTGACAGCTTTGTTTCTGGGCCATATTGCAGACCTGGATTTCTTGGGGCCCAGATCAAAAACACTGAGCAGCACCAACTGGCTCCAGCTGCCTTCTGTTCCTTCACTGAGAAGCCAATGCCTGCCTGAACATCTCAGTTAACAACTTCTTCACCTAGAGAGGGGGTTGGCCCTCCCAGGACTGACTTTTTCCCAGGAAATAGGAGACTTTCACCTGCCACTTTACTTGAAAATAATAATCCCATTATTCTAGGGGACTATGAGTCTGTTTGTTGGGAGCTTTTTGAGACTTGTGGTATGATTTATAAGAAGAAACAGATTGATGGAAACGGGAAGTTGATATGCTGGAGAAGATAAATGATTTGGCAGGAAAAAGTATCAGAGTTAAATATTGGAGAAAACAAGGGTGTCATAATCTGGGTTACCCTGAAAGGGACCCTGGGACAAGGTATTTATTAGAAAGCAGTCCCAGGAGTCCAGCTAGAGGGAACAGGTAAGACAGAGAAAGAGGAAAAGGCTGCAAAGGGTGTTTTTATTGCTGTGGGTAATTGGGGTTCAATCTTGGTTAGGATGTTTTTTTTAATTTTAATTTTTTTTTTTTTTTTTTTTTTGGTAAGAAATAGAGTCTAGCCAGGCTGGCCCTGACTTGTGGGCTCAAGAAATTTTTATTCCTCAGTCCCCCACGTGGCTGGGACTACAGGTGCATGCCACCGTGCCCAGCTGCTGAGGATGCTGTAAAATGCCAAGCAGAGCGTGACCCGGATGAGGCTCCCGAAGCCCAGGTGTTTACTTTATCCTCACGTTCCCAAGCTTAAAGGCAGTCCTCACAGTCTACTATCTCTGCATGGGGACCTGGCGAGTGCAGCGACAGCCTGACCCCTCGAGGTAGCTCGAGCCAGAAAAGTGCCGCAGGGCACGGCCAGCTTCTGAGGCTGATCCCTGACCCTGTGCAGGACGCATTCCTGACCACGCCACTGGAGTCAGACGTGGCCCAAGGGAAGCACGAGCTCTGGCTGCAGCATCTAAAAGAACTAACGAAGGAACGGTGTCAAATGATGCAACAAGATGCAGTCTGGGAGGAGGGCCGCGAGCTCTGGCGGGAATGCAACAGGGAATTTCACAGGAAGAGCTCTGAGGAAGTGGGCAGAAACGCAGAGGCCCCAGAACTACTCTCCCAAAAGATTTGGTAGTGAAATGAATAGGGACTGGGCCCCTCTGCATTTTTAAAATAAGAATAGCAGCTTGCGATTCTTTCACTTATGACTGCTCATACGCACCAGCTGGTCTTTCTTTTGAGCAATTTTACATATTTTGATTCACAAATAGTCTTTGCAATACCTCCAAGAAGAGGACACTGGGATTGCCTCTGACACAGAGGTGTACAGAGATGTACCCGGAACTGCTCCCCGCTTGTGTTCAAGGTCAGACCACTGGTAAGTGGCTGAGTCAGTCTGATTCTAGTATTTGCTCAGTTAACCACAAACTATATCCCTAACTCTATCAACAGGAGGAACAAAAAAGGGAGAAATTAAAGATGCAAGAAAGAATCACGTAACACATTTATAGGAGATGAGGACACACATGGAAGAGAAAGAGAAAGCACTTTCCCTCCACAAGAGAGGAGGAAATAGAAAGGCAAAGAAAGGGGAGGGATTTGGGGGGAAAAAAATAATACCTGAGGTGATAGATCTGCCAATTACCCTGACCTGACCCTAAGACATTGTAGAGGTGCACGGAAACAGGACACTGTACTCCACAAGTAGGGTCAGTTCTGTCAGTAAAATAAAAGATACATTTGTCATGCTTTGACCTGTTTGTTACGTCCTCTTTTATCTCAATCTCCCCCTTATTCATAAAAAATTTATTTATTTTATTATGTTTTTAATTAAGGGAAAAATATCAAAAAAATTAGCAGAATATATTATAGTAACTTTTTTTGATTTCCTATTAACTTGATTTGAAGCCCTGTATTACTCCCACTATCTTGTTTTGACTGATTAGATTCTGTTCCATTCTGTTTGATAGTATCAAGTTTGAGTGTAATAGGTAACTGCTTTGAAGGCAATAAGATTCACTATGATGCCCATTCTGGTTTGACTATTATCTTCTTTTGAAATCCTGTAATGTTTCCAATGTTTAGATTTTATAGGTCTTGTTCTGTACTGTTTTGTTCAATTTTATTATACCTAATTATATAGGCAATTCATTTTAAGGAAGCAAGAGGCATTATGGTAACCATTGATGATAACCTTGTATTCTGTTTTTACATCATGTGCTGTGTCTATCCTTTGTTTTGACTGACTGCTTTGGTTTGTCATATTTGGTTTTATTCTCTTCCAAAAAAAAAAAGTAATAAGAACTAAGGGAGTAATAAAACCCAAAATGGGGGGCTGGGGATTTAGCTCAGCGGCATAAGCGCCGGCCTTACGAGCAGGCAGTCATGAGTTCGATCCCTGGTACCGATAAAAACGAAAAAAAAAAAAAAAAAAAAAAAAAAAAAACCCAAAATGTGTAAATGTTGTAAAAAAGAGAGGGAAAAAAATGCTCTAAAGGACACAACTGCAAGTGTATTTAGGTGTGTTAAGATAGATGGCCATATTACTGAATTGTTGTTAGATCTTTGAACACAACTGTTTGTGGTCTCACTGTTTGAATGTCCACTTTGTATGCTTTAATCCTGTAACTTAAACAACTATTTCTAAGATGACAGTATGTAATCTATTATCTAGTGATTTCTTACCGTTTTTTTGTAATTCTGTATTACTTGTACTCTTATACTGTTTTGTTTTGGTTTTCCCTTTAAATTAAAAAAAAAAGAAATAAAAAGGGAGAGTTTTAAATAATCAAACTAAACTTTGAGTTTTTATAATCCTATTTCTTATTTTGAATCATAATACAAATAACAACGTGAATATCATGTTTAATCTTTTGGTATTAAGTGACTAACAGTCACTGGTTTTTACTAATGAACTTCATGACTGAGATTGTTTCCATATTTCAGAATGAATAGAATGAGTTACTCATTCAGCATATGTTATAGTTGATACATTGTATCAATTTGAGAAGTTTAGTTTAACTGAGAGACTCAACAGGGAGCCAGGATCCTTACATTGTAAATATCCTCATTAAATGCAAGAGAAGGCACAGAGGTTTTGCGAGTGTTATACCTGCCCTGGGAGAGGGGGCTGTGTACAATATAAGGGAGAAGAGGCTTGTTCCTCTTTTTTCTCTGGCTGCTGCTTTGAAGTGTTGCCCCAGTGCCGTACCACCTTGCCTCGGAGCCAGCTGATTATGGACTGAAATCTTCACAAACAGTGCTAAATAAACCTTTCCTTCCTTCATTTTAGGTGTCTAGTGTTTTGCCCCACCAATGAGAGAAAAGTAACCAGGACCACTATTACATACAAGCTTACTAATGAAAACAATGCAGCTCAGAAAAAAGTTACATTAGAATGGATAATAATGTCAGAAAGGCCTAATGATGAGCAATATTACACTTACTGAGTCTACTGCTTTCTTTAATTTTTCTTTTTGTTTTTAATAGCTTGCCTATTATTTTACTGTGGCTAGTTTAATACTCCTTTTTTCTTCCTTAACCAACTAGATACTTAAAAACTATATGCAGAAATGCACCCAATTGTAAGTAAGAAACCTGTCAGGAAACATCTATTGGTGTTTCCCAAAACTAGGAGAAATATTTATAGTCATTTTAAAAATAAGAATTGATTGATTGCAAAAGAAAATCTACCATGAGTTTATGGGGGCTCCTTGAAGGACCTTTTTGTCATTTTGTCACAGTAGCTCAGAATTGACCTGGTGACTTTGTATGATGTAGGAAAGAGATGGCTATACCATCTTTTAAAATTATTATAATTATTTAATCAGATTAATTGTACTAATGAATGGAGCTCACTGTGACACTTCCATCATGTATATAACATACTTCGATTGCATCTAACCTGCCTACTCCATAAAAAAAGAGACTAATCATCCTCTTCCCTTCCCTCTTCTCAATAGCCCATCATCTATTTCAGGTCAGACAAAAAGAGATTTTTGAGATGAAGACTTGGTGATTTTGTAGGTTTAGCCATCTCAGCAAGTTTAATAGCAAGGACATGAACTTTGGATTCAGTCAAAGTTGAGGAGTCCCTGGGCTGAGCATTTTACCATTCTGATCTGGTTTTTCTCAGTAAGGATAATAATACCTACTCCTTCACCAATTTGGGTAAGGAATTAATGAAAAAATATGTGAAAAAATCTAATACAATATCTGTCATACAGTAAGCACTTACTAAATGCTGGTTTTCACTCCTTGGCCTCTTATAAATTAAGTAATTAGAAAAAGGATTTGCAACATTGCAATACTCTTCATATTTTCATTGATATAAATGAAGGCCAACCCAGTCTGGCATTTTAACTAGGGAATAAAGACTTAGAAGTTTCTGGTGAATACCACTGGTCAAATTGATGCCTGTGGGACAATCCTTATCATCAGTATTTCCCGTAATGCTTTTTTGGTTTTGTTTTTGTTGTGTCTTCCTGGGACTTGAAGCCAGGGTCTCCTGCATGCTAAGCAATCCATAATGACTTTTTAAGAACCTACCTGCTGGCCCATGAGGGAAAATGAAGTGAGCAGGCATGATAAGGAAGGGACTTCTCTGAGACCCCCTTTTCTCCAGCATGCAGGAAATTTTGGCATTTTACATATTTTCAGGAAGTTGTTCGACTCCTGATAAAAACTCAGATTGTCCCCACTAATACTTCTCATAGATACTTCAATAAATACATCCATAAAGTTATCTAGGAGCCAGACACTTACCTACACCGAGGCCTAGAGAAGATCAGGGCTTTCTAACTTTCCATGCAGTTCAGTGTACTTGTACAGTTCTGTACAGTTGCTTGGTGTAAAAGAAATGGCCAGAACTACGCAAATGCAACTGACAAAAACTCTGAACCCTATGATCAAACTCTGAGAAGCTAGATAGTGGGTTCATGAGAAAGTATGCAATTATTAACAGCAGAATACTTTAAGGCAGTAACTGAGTGGTAGACGGTATTCACTCTATTATGGAATATAATAGAAATGTGGTAGATCAAGGAGTAAAGGATGATGAAGGAAGAGTGGTTATCATTGCCCTGCGTCCCTCGGTTGAGAGTCTGATCAAATCCATTGTGAGGTCTCACTACAGATAACATGATCACGTTTTAGTCCATTTATATATTGACTACACTTTGATGTCTATGTGTGTGTGTTTAAATGGTTATTAGAATGCACATTCTGTACTGTATGCTGAGTCAGTTTTACTTTTAGTATCTAACTAGACATTTTAGAAGAAAATCACATAATTAAAGGAGTAATCACCAAAAGTGGTGGTATGTTCCTGTAATCCCACACTTGGGGGGAAAAGAGAATTATAAATCCAAGACAGGCCTGAATAATTTAGCAAGATTTTGCCTCAAAATAATAAATAAGTAAATAAGTTGGGATGTAGATCCATGCTCCTGGGTTCAGTCTCTAGTGTCATTCAAAAACTAGCTGTTAAAGAAAGACTATGTTAAGCAGCATTTGCACTAAGGGCTCCCAGTGTTTAGGTGGGCAGAGCATATTGGACACATGGGGAGCTGTGGAAGAAGGGCTGCTTCTTACAGGACGCACATGCTTTATCTCCATAATCCATAGGATGCTACAGAAACCTGAAAGGAACTCTTTTCAGGAATCTTACTTGCTCAGAGTTGGTTTCTCATCATTCACCGGGGTAACCTCTACTGAAATGGTTCTAAGTATCTCATGCTTCCCGTCTGACAGCTGGATGGAAAAGTCATCAGCAAGGCTCTCCGAGTCATCGTGCACGTATGTCAGCCTCAGTCCTGGAAGAAGGAAAACAGAAGTGAGTCTTTCTTGTGATGGAGCCATCCCCACACATCACAAATAATGTTCTAACTCTGAAATTGGTTTATGAAGTAAAAGAGAGACTTCATCGCCAATCTAAGATTCTTTAAGTAATCTAAAATATCATAAGATCTTAGTTTAAAATTAGTATAGAAAGAATGGTGTGCTTAAATGAAAGTCAGAAAATGAATGACTCGAGGAAAACTTATAGAGTCCTATCTTGAGCCAATTACCAACTGCAAAATTCTAAGTGGATCAAAATCTAAATATAAAAACTATATTTAACTATATTTTTAAAAGCTACCTAATATTTCTACAGAAATGCAAGAAATCCTGAATAGCGAAAAAGAGAAAGAACATAGTTGAAAGAATTGCATTTCCTGTTTTCAAAACATACTACTTACAAACACTAAGATTTGCACCAAGATTTATGTAAAACGTTGACACGTAAAGTTTAACACCAAGAAATGGGAAACTATCTGAAAACAACAAAATAAAAGGTAGATAATGGGAAAGTGACAATAGGAAAGGAACACTGTTCTTTTGCAAGAGAGAAGGGGATCGAGAGTGGTGAGATGGGAAGAGGGATCAAGGAAAGATGAAACAGAATGAAGATGTGTTATGTACAAGGTACCAGTCCGCATGCTGAATGCAATCATTATGTACTACAAAAAGGTGTTAATAAAACTTTTAAAAGAATCCATTAAAAAAATAAAATTATAGTACAGGACACCCACAGAAACACTGTAAAACAAAACCAGAAACTATAGATATTAAAAAACTGTATTTTCAATTAATATTCAAAGTATAAGAAAATTATTGTATTTCATAAGAAAAAAGGTTGCATGAGATGGCAGCAGTTCTGTAAGTTCTGTATATTTGTTGTTTGGCAGTGTTGGAGAGAACATTTGTTTTTTTTTAATATATGCATAAATGAATTGAAGATAAAGTAGAAATGAAAAAATCTAATCTCTGGAAATGTCACTAAAATATTAACCTAAACATTAATGTATATGAACATTTTAAAATTTCTTTTCAAAGTAACTATGTAGTCTACACTTTACACAATGAGGATGAAATACTTATTTAATCTAGTAATAAACAAACCACTTCTCCAAAAAGTAAAATTTGATTATTATTTCTTTTTCCCTTGTTATAAATTTCAAATTAAAGTATATTTGTAACAATATATCCAATTTTTTGCAGCATGCAGTTATTTGGTCATATCACCAAGTAAGCCCCAGAATTGACTTTTCTGTAATTGATAGAAATTAAAAATATATGCCTTAGCTTTTCAAATTCAATCATGAAGCGATATTGTGAAACTACAAAATAAACTTGGGGACAAAAGCCTACATTCTGATTGCAGAAACAAGTAACTGAGAGACAATAGGACAAATCCCAAAGGTGCTAAAATGAAGCCAGTCAGAGAAGTGGTCTGAGGAGGCCAGATGGACCCCAGGAGGACCTGGATGGACAGCTGTGTGCCCAAAGGGCTGTCTTGTAGGACAAGGAGGACAAGAACGTTCCAGACTGGGAGGATAAAACAGGTGGAGAAGAGAGGAGCATGAAGCAGGCAGTCATTCTAGAATCACACACTTTGATCAAAGTTTTGAGTCTTTATAGATGTGGAAAATGAGTTAAGATCGCTTTTTTAAAGGAGTGATTAAGAAATAATTTAGGCTGCTATTTCAATATGTCATTTCCCTCAAGAGCAAATTATCTTCTCAGAAGCTAATGAGTCTTTATTATATGTGCTTCTATGTTTGCTTCCACTGTGGACATTTTGGCAGACAAATCTTTAAAATTTCGTTCAGTGATCCCAATAGTTTTAAAAGGAAATTTTTCATTATGACATTAAAAACTTTCACTAAACTACTGAAATCACAAAAATCATTTTATTTACCGGAACTGTAAAAGTGAAAGAAACATGCCATTACTTTTTAAATTGTCTATCATTTCTAGCTTCATATCCTATGGTAATTCAGCCTTTTGACCAGCTTCTCCCATCAGCCTTTGATGCCTCCCACTCTACTCTCTATTCATGTGAGTCAACTTCTTTAGGATCCACATACAAGTCAAAGCTAAATGATTAAATCAACCACAAATGATTAAAAGTGGGACATGAAATACCAGACTTGAAGAGGTCCATGGAAAAGTTGTGAACTACTTCGTGTTTCTGGTCAGGGCTGGCCAGCTGCTTATTCTGAAGTGAGTCTTTGCTATTGACCCTGTCGACCAGGAAGCCGTGACGTGGCTTATGAAGAATGCTGAACAGTAAGAAGTCCTTGGGGATGTCAAGGTCAGCAGCCCTGATGATGGACGAGTCCAGCTCCATCATCTGACCCTCACACACCTGGATGGGGGCAAGTCAGGAACATCAGCTTTATGTGAACCACAACTTCTCCACTAGTTTCGTTTGACAAACTGCTAAAATTTTCACTTGAAGATAAACCTACTTCAGTTTTTCTAACGTATTCATATATATAATGAGATGTAAGAGAAATTGCTGATTTAATAGAAACATAAAAAGAAATCTCAAATCTCTTAATTGCTTTCACATTTTTCTGAAGACTTCAGATTGTGAAATTGGATCTAGAATCTGCACTTTCCAATACCAATCTGTTTTTTAATCTCCTGATTGTCTATGATTTTTAATGTTGTTAACTGCTTTAAAAATAGCAGAAATATCTGCTCTGTACACCAAGTATATTTGGTGGGTTTAGTTTTTATTATTACAATAAAAACTTCATTGCAGTCAACAATTGGGAAGCATGCTTCTAACATATATTTTAATTCTGGCTCCTTTATGCCCCTAGTCTCCCACTTGTAACTTCCCTGAGCCACTTCTACTCTCTCTCTATGCCTCACTTCAGGTTGCATAATCCTTCAACCACAAAGAGTGGAACGCGTATCACGCCATGTAGGATCTAGTCATTCAGAACTTGATGAGGTCGTATTTCGCTGTCTTGAACTTTTTTTTTCTTTTTTCCTCTTATAGTAAGACTAGAGAGAACAAAGGAATACTTTTGTTTCCTATTTTAAACTATGGCAAGATCTAAAGAATAAAAGTATACAAATGCTATACATATTTCCAGGAATCGACACTGTGATTGTGCTGCATGCTGTGTTCTCAGGAATCAATGTCAGGTGAAGCCATGAAGGACTGCCCACCATAACACAAGGAGGAAAGTGTCTACATTGCTAGGTGTCAATAATCAAGCACATTAGGATGGAGGATACCAGGACGTCTTCAGGACTGATGTTACCACTACATTTTGAGGGATACATGTGACTCAGACTTGTGAAAACAACCTTTCTTTTCAGCCTCTCTCATTGACTTGAAGGGAACCTTCCTATAAACACTCTTCATGAAACTTCCTAAAGAATTATTCACCACAAAACATAATTTGGCTAAACGATGCTGACTCTTTTTAACTTAGTACAGACTAAGTCAGCATATTGATTAATACATAATGATACAGGTATGAAATTATCTTTGGTGGTAACTCACCTTTTTCTACAAGACCTTTACTAAGTCCACTTAAAAATACATTGTATTATTCTTCTTTGTGAAGCTTGAGTATATGGCATTTATCCACCTTAGCTCCCTGTATGGCAGTAGTTCTCATTTATAGAACACTGAGTTTTTTCACAAAATTACTAGGAAATGTTATTGAGAAAACTGGGATGGGAGGATTACAACAATAAAAAAAATCTTGATCTTGATCAATATCCATAAGATGTAGCCATTTACTAGGAGATATGTTTAGAATGGATTATAATAACTAAAACTAAAATGTTAAACTTTTTGTAGCACAATTTTATGGAAGTCCAACTACCTATCTAATACATAGATTTTCTCACAAGAAAGCAAAATATAGTTATTATAAAAAATAAAATCCTTTGAGGCTGCCATTGAGACCAGGGGCTCTGTATTTGTTAGTCTGAAAACGCGTTTCTAAGAAACACACAGGAAAGAAGCATGATTCCTTCCAGTGGAGACCAAGGGACAACTTCCCAGTGGTCTAATTATTTCAGAAGCCCCTACCCTAGACAGATACAAGACAATAAAGGTAGGCACAGAAGAAATCATTTGTAGTTACACACACACACACACACACACACACACACACACACACACACTACTAAAGGGCTCTCCAGAGAAACCCTTGTGCCAACAGCAAGGAAAGGCAGGAAGGAGCTGGCTCTGAAACTTCATGCTGAGGCGACTCTCATATACCATTAAGCTTCAGTTGAAAATTAGAATCAAATAAAGACTCTCACATTTAGAATATGGCTGTTTTTAATTTTAAAAAAAGGCAAAAGAGGGCTTTGGTCAATATCATAAAAAAGATGACAAATATAACAATGATGGCACATATTAACTGTGGATCCACTCTGCCTAGCCATGTTGGTCTTCACAGCTACCCTTCAGAATGACTTCATAAATATTCTGCAGGTGAGGAATTGAAAGTGCATAGAGAAATAACCTGACCAAGAGCTTATAATTGTTAAAAGCAACAGCCAAGTCCTGCTGTTTCCAAAGCCTAAAGTCATAGAATTTGCTAATACATGTATCTGAACCAAATAATTACAAATATGTTATATAATTGTTTAAAAAGAATTAAATAATGATCTGTAAAGATTTCCGTTATACATAAGTTAGAGGTTTTTTTTCAGACAGTAAAGGACTTAGTAGTGTATATTATATGGTCCCTTATTTGTAAGTAAGACACAGAGAAATCACAGTACACATAGACATATTACTATAGTGCATAAATTACTTAACTCCCTTATGCCTAATTTCCTCAGTTATGAAATGGCTAAAATATAATACCATTCATCTCCTTAAAAGTCTAACGTGAGAGTTAAATATGAATACATATAAAGGCTTGGAACCTACAACCTAGTAAGTGTTCCATCCTATATATAGGCAACCTAGTAATTGCACACATGCAGTTGCTATAAGCTAGCAGCTACTTTACCACTATTGCTATTATGAAATTAACAGTTTCCAAGTGATTGCATTACATTACAGAATGTGCCTTTTCCACCCTTTAGCAACTTAAAAGTGCTAAGTGCACCTGCAACAATGCAAATGGATTAGGTGAAAATAAAAATCAGAAGACAGTAAAAGAAATGGAACATTCTGATATGTTTCTTACACTGATATTCTGTACTACGAAGTCAGGAACTTCATCATTGGTGGGGTTGATCACAACATAAAGCAGTGCCTCCCGGGAGCATCGTTTCCCATCCGTGACATGCACCACGAACTGGTCGGCGGTGGGTTCTATCCTCAGATGCCTGGACTGCACATAGTTAATGTGCAAAGCTTTCAGGTCTTTCCACTGAAAGGATGCTAGAGCACACCAACATGGAACAGGTAAACAAATAAAATATCAGAGTTGCTGCAACACCTGCCCAACGTCAACATAAAAGCAGAGGTCCACAGATCATATGGGAGGATTCAAATTTGCATGGAAGACAAAAGAACAATGACTGCGACCCAAGATGTGCAGGGGCTTTGTGACCGCTCTCCAGAGTGCTGGAATGAACACTAGAGACACTGTCCCTTAATTAAATCACTGCTTCTTCACCGCAGTACCTGCCGTACTTGGGTAAGAAAGGGACCACCTCTTTCACACAAACGCAAAACAAGAGTCAGTTAATCATCCGTCTACTTGACAAGCATATCAAGCAACTGATTGTGCTAACTGGGACTAGCTGACCTGATATTTAGGTATTGTGGTGTAGCCTAAAATCAAAAGAGAAAAAACCTACTCTAAATTGTTGATTAAATCACAGGAATAATTGAGTAACCTTTAAAGCAATTGATGTAAAATCCAATTATCTCTCATATTAAAAAAATATGCCTCAAAATGGACTGGCGACTCACTTATAAAAAGGTTGCCTTTGGAAACTTTTGCTTTGCTTTCTGTTTTTGTTTTGGTTGTTTTGTGTTTGAAATATAAGAGCTATTTAAATGTCAGACACATTTTGGTTTCAAAATTAATGGCATCTGTTCCAATGTCTAGAGCTTTCTCTGTTGTAAAAATCAGAATGTGTTTCCCAGTCTTTTGTACCAATATATATGAAAAATGCTAAAAGAGATGTGAGCCTGAGACTTTGTGAGCTCCCACTAGCTTAAGTCTATCAAAGTAGAATTATGCTGCTATAGGAACCTTTAGAAAGTTTGTGTGTGTGTGTGTGTGTGTGTGTGTGTGTGTGTGTGTGTGTGTGCCGGGATCAAATTCACAACCTCACGCTTACCAGGCAAGCGCTTGAACCACTGGACTAAATCCCTGGCCCTCTTTAGAAACATTTTATTCTCATATTTTTCACAAGTGAATTTGCATTTACTTTAGTATAAACTTACGTGCATGGAAAACTCAGAATAAAAATTAAAATGAAAAATAGTAAGATGCAAAGTAATCACTTATAATAGTAATTTCTTGAATGTATATGGTGCTAATGACACTTTTGATCTCCCTTCAATCCCCTTACTGAACATGGTCTGACCAATCACATCCATGAAAGTTGAGTCATCCATCATTGGTTGTGAAAGCATGACTTACCAATACTTATGCCTGTATTGCTTTTCTCAAACCCCACAGAAGGGAGTGTGTTTTCAAGGTAGCCAAACTGAGGAGGAGAAATCAAAACAAATTCCAAGTCATCTGCAGCTGTGTCGGGGTCAGTGGCAGACAAATGGTTAATGGTAAGTGTGGCTGAGGACCCCTCATCTACAACAAACGTGGAACCTGGGTACAAATAATAATATAATTATGGTAGCATGTAATCGGCTGACCAGAAAGGTGAAGAAAACGGGAGTGATCAAAATTCTAATTCAGAAATGCCTCCCACATGGACATCCATTATTTCTACAAGAGATGTTCATTTCCTTTGGCATAATTCTCTTTACAGTGAAAATATTCAGGGGTAATGGGTAGACTTTAATTTGACTTACGGAGTTGTTTTTCTTGTACAAGCAAGCCAGATAATAATTGTGAGACAGAAAAAATACTGAGTGCTCCAGTACAGCCCTTTACTCATTCTCAAAGAACTCTGATTTCCCTCGTGTCTCCGCAGAAGTGACAAATGAAAATAAGAATTGCCAAACTGTTTTAATGATAAGCCACTAAATGTAGTTTATGTACTGTTCAAGATCAGTTGTTACCTCTGTTTGTCAGAGTGTTAATTGCCTGAGAGCTATTATGAATTGCTCATAACGAACATTTTTTCATGCCTGGTGCTTAATTATTCTGCTGGGATAATGCTTCCTTTCCAGAACATTGCTTGGGAGATAGTTTGCAAATTACAATAACATTCATACATATGCTGATTTTTTTTCTGAGAGACAGAACATCTACATAATGCTTATGAGGAGATGACTTTCTCAAAAGCAAATAAAGTTAAATGTATATAAATGGTCTCTCTGTTATACTCATTCTAATAGAAATTACTATGGATAAAATAAATCACTCTCCAGCAGGCAGCAAATTATATTTTCCCATGTGAAATAAAACCAGATTATTTGAGAATTCCAGTGTTGTCCTTGTCCCAAAGCACACATGCATCTCTCTCTCTCTCTCTCTCTCTCTCTCTCTCTCTCTCTCTCTCCCCCTTTCTCTTTCCTAAATATTTAAAGAAGTAAACTCTTTTGCCTTTCCCTTGTAAGCTTCTACAGATTTGGGGTTTTCTACAAGTTTCCTTTAAGGCAATTATTAGAGGGTAACTGTTTATGGTATTTTGTCTGTAAATAAAGTGTATTCTTTCAATGATCCACAGGTACAACAGTAGGTAATGGTACATTAACAAAAAAAATCATCACCTATTGCAATTGAAGGTGGCTGATTGTCTACTGGATGTATTGTGATGTTGAGATCATACACTGGAAAGGACTCATGAAGAGGAGCAGATGGATTAGTTCCATTGTAGCAACAGCCATTTACAAAAGGGCCAGCTTCTTGATCCGAAACCACCAACGTAATGGTGTCCAAGCAAGGCACCAGGCCAACTTCACCACCTGGAAGATAAAATGATGTCTGAAACTTAACTTTTTTAAAATATAGAAAACTAAGATGAAATCTACTTACACCTCTTCTGCAAGCATAGCATGATAAGGAAAGGAACTTATGTAGATAAAATGTAAAATCCAACTTTCTCGCTATGAAATTAAATATAGTCATGAAAATAATTCAGAAATGCCCGTCCATCTGTTGCCTCCAGTGAAAGCTCTGCCAGCCATCTATCAGCATATGGAAGGGCAAGCCAGGGCTAACAAGGGCTTGACAGTTCACAGATGAACAAGGAGATGGCGTGAAGCTTGACTGGTGATGGTTTCATTCTTCCCTCATTATCTCTTAGCATTAGGACTGATCTTAGGGAGAAGCAGAAGACACCCTTGTCATACCCTTGGCCCTTTGGGAATTGTCTTTCCATTTGCACCTTAAATAAATAACCGGCAACCACACAGCAGTTATGCAAACCAGAGGACTCTGGTAGAAAAACAATGATAATCCACCTTTGGATCATTTATTTCCACATTTCCTTTACATATAGCCAAGATTTTTTTTAAAGTAGCAACTATGTCTGGATGAGAAGGGGTGTATGCTGTGCTTTTCTTTGCTTTACTTTTTTTTTTTGGTCCTACTGTAAAAGATTCATAATGACCCCAGCTTGAACAGGGAGAGGAAGAAGGGAGAAAATGTCAGAATTCCATAGCTTACTGGTGAACAGGACAGTACCCTGCCTGCCAAGAGCATGGTGTAGGAGTGCTTGTTCTTCAGGGGACAGGAAAGCCCCGCCCCTGTGCTCTTGGTAATTCTCTTGCATCACCTTCAACCTGCCAAGAGGGGACCAATTAATTAGTGCTGTGAGCTGCCATGAACCTAGGCCCCAAAGGTCAGTGCCCTCATGTCTTCTCACCGGGTACACCAGTCAAATCTGCAGAGTATTGTGCTTGGCAACATTTTCCCTGTTTAAAAAAAAAAGACGACGAGGAAAACCCACAGGTGATTTAATTGAGCAACAAAAAGATTAAAGGATGATAAACTGAAAAACAAGGTTGAATCTCAGAGTTAGAAAGAAACAAGCTGCCTTCAACTCTAGGAGAAGTCAAAAATAAGAGGGCTCTTCCTGTTCACATTAGTAAACAAAAAATGGCTTAAAACATGTACACACCACTTATTTACTGATAAACATTTACTTAATGACTACAAGAAATATTTAGTATCTTGTGTGCTTCAGGAGAACAAAAGGCAGGTATTTTATAACTGTCAAAAGTATTTCAAGAGAATTGGAAATGTCAAAAGACCCACTGTGTGTCAGACAGTCAGGGATGGAGAAGGACACAGTGTGATCGGAACATCACAGATGGATGCATGTAGTGGGTTGAGCCGTATGAAATTCTACTACTGAATCTTTTAAAAAATCTGTTAAGTAGCAATTTCATTTAGTAAAATTCTGATAACTAAAGAAACCATTCCTAAGACTATGTGCAAACAAGAGGATAGAGAGACATCACTTAAAGAAGTGATGTGTGACAATGTGAATAAAAGTTCCCATTTTAATTACTGACAACTGGCACCCTAAGCAGACACTGTTTTCCAAAACACACACGAAAATATTATATCAAAATGTTTTTTCCCATTTCCAAATTAATCCTTAGTACCACCTCACATCAGTGCTTGAATTCGATCTCTTCAAATAAAAAAGTGATTTGAATTCTGACCCTTTCTTCCTGTATCACTCAGCTGACCTACTACTGTGCTCCACCCCAATTCCTCTGTGGAATTTTCAGTTTAAAGAGGTACATGAATGAATAACAGGAAGTTGTACTGGTGTGTAATTAATTCCAGCAAGAGGAAATATCTGGTGTGATTACTGAGGAAATGTCTCTGCCCCTAGACCTCAGAGGATGTGCAAGAGGGGATCATATGATGATGTGCAGATATGTTCTGCTGGCATTTTTGCATATGAATGGGTTTGTTAGCCCATTTAAGGCAAAACCTTTCACAGCAGGGCTGGATTACACTCTATCATAGATGCACACTTTCTAGTGCTGTGCTTGTAGATATTTAATGCAGAGTTAATGTTTTCTCTAGCACACATGGAGAGCAAATATCACCTGGGTATCGATATATTATGGTGCCGGAAATGTAAGTGTGGCTCTGGTAAAGCACTTGTTATGGATCTATCTATTCTGTGTTCACACTGTCTTATGCTACAGGAAAGTCACATGAAATAGAACGTACCTTCTTTGCTTCTCAAGAACTCAAAAAGCAGACCACTTTACTTCTTAGGAGCTACTGATGTTTAGAAAACTTTGAAACTTAATAAAATTTCCTTGAGGAGAATTACTTCAAGCATTTCTATCAAGATTTGTAAATCCAGTAGATGCAATGGCCAAATAAGTCTTCTTCCAATTGACCAAAAGAGAAGCATCAAGAACAAAGCAGTTGACAACTGTTCTTTGTCCTACTCTTTGAAATTCACTATAATTGAGATCAGAAGCACTCCTGTATATGATGATCGTACTTGAAAAGTGAGACACAGGCTGCAGCGGTATCAATTTTGATGGAAACAAGCATGAATTACTGTTGCCAGATTGGGGGACCCCATACCCAGGAGTGAGTTAGGGTTCTCATGCTCTCTACATGCCCTCACTCTCACTATGCTGTCACTTACCTGTGTGCTTGTATGTCACAGCTCCTGAGATAACATCTCCCTGAGAGAAGTGATCCACTTTGACTCCTGCCTTTCTCACTACCCCGTGCTGGGGTTCTCGGGCAATCAAAAACATCAGTTTCAAGTCATCACTGTCCATGTCAGTAGCCAAAATGTATTCCTGAGTGATGATCACCTCTCCGCCCTCGGAGCAATGCATGATGGGGATGAGGCCAGTCTTTAGGACTGGTGGCTCATCATTTACAGGCAACACCTAAGCAGAAAAAGACGCACATTTTCAAGGAAACAAATGAAATGACAAACCGGTAACCCAAAGCTTATAGTCACAATGACAGGTATTTTCAATCTCCCAGACATAGAAAACAATAGCCGTGGAAAGTGGCCAAGCAGCTGCCTTTTCAAACTTTCCTCCTAGGTACCATCATGTAAAGAACAGCCCAAATGAGGGTAATTTGGTAGGAATGGGAGAATCTGGTTATGGTTTGGGACTCCACATTCTCATTCATTTCCAGACACACTAAAAATAAAATGCAATATAAAGTGCTCCCCGCCACAGCCCCTACTTTTCATCGTTAAATGCACATGTTTTCATGAAGAATTCTCTTCCTGGTGATCTGATGCACAAACATTCACAGCATCATGTCTTTTTATTTCAAATACTTAGTGATTAAAAAAGCTTTCCGCCACCTTCAACTTAACTGCCACCCACACTGGGCCTCACACTGGGCCGCAGCAGCATTTCAAATGGTTTGAGCTGCATCTGAAATTTCCTAACCAAGCTTCAGCTTGACACTCAGCCTAACAACTTGGTGTGTGCGGCAAGAATTTTGCTTTGTGTCAAGTTAGTCTCTGAGCCTCTCTATCTTTCTTTCCCCTATATTTCAGCCAAGGATCTTTTTAAAATGTCACTGCTCTGCAGGGCCCTTCAGTGGCTTCCCAGTGCTCCTCCTAGGAGTCCTGGCTCATCCATTCCAGCTGGTACCTTTGCTATTGCCCGCCATGTTCACTTCTGCGCAGTTCTCAGTCTCAGACTTTGGGTGGTCGCTTTCCAGCATGCTTTCTTTTTCTCAGCTAAGTACTGCTTTAGGTTAGGTTCTATGTGGGTTATTTGACCACTCAGGCGAATTTGGAGCTCCTAATATTTACTCTCTTTTGGCACATACACTTATATACTTTTTAATGAGTTAATTATTTTGGTGCTGATTTGCTGAATTTCTGTCTTCATACTTGACCTGTAACCTCTGGAACAGGAGGGACTCTTTGCCTTGCTTATTATTATAATCCAAGCACCTAGTCTAAGACATGGCATAGAAAACACACATAAACATTGTTGAAATAGAAATAAATGAGTATAAATTTGAATAGATGCCGTAAGTATCCTTCTGTTTAAAAAGGCCAACAACTATACAACAAATACAAATGAAATTATTTTGACAGTTTCCTTCAATAGCTAGAGGAATGGACTGATAGAAAACTCAGCTTAACTTTTTTTGTCTTTTTTTCCATTTTATTAATAATTTTAAAAATACATAAAAATACAACATCCAATGTATGAATAAATATATTTAACAAGTTGTAAGATAATTGTCAGAAACTTCTCCCATTTTTTTCATTTTTGTGATACAGAAAAAGAGCACTTAGCAATTTTAATTTGTATAGTAAAGCTACCAGCTTAATTATTTAATCAAAAGTATAAAAACACTAATATTCTCTTTTTTTGTTGACTTATTATATGAACAGTCTTTGTTCCTGTCTTTCATATGAATTCATTGAAGACTTCTATTACTGTTTTTGACTCTAAGGAATTCCATCAACTCAACTAGATAATAAAGTTCAAAGAAAAACAATTAAAACATTTTTGGGGGAATAAAAGATCACAAACACTTGCCCCAACATTGTGCCTTTGGCTTTCACAGACCATGCCTTTTTATTTAAAAATTAGCAATAAACAGATTCCTTTCCCAAAATGAATTATATATTATAGTTAATAGGAAAACATTCATAGATAGAAAATAGTGTCAGAGCTTTTTTGCCTTAAAATTTGTTTTTCAGGGGAAAAAAAAACTCACTTTAGTTGAGCTTTCTATGTAGTAAAAGTCTGCCAAAAAAGAGACTGTTTTTTATGAAGCCTAAATAACATACTGCTATTCATCAAGACCTCAAGAGTATTATGAGGATTAAGTCGGGAAATAAAAGGAACAGACTCCATACCATGGTGGCACAGAAAGGTGCACAGAACCTGTTGGCATTTGAGTCACCTGGCAGGGTAGAAGTGTGGCACTGGTAAGGAGGATGCCGGCCTAGGTATCACGGGACGGAGACACCAACCCAACTGACACTATCAAATTCATGACTTAGGACAAGTCATCTAATCTGCTGGGCCTAATGTCCTTAGCTATGAAACAAAGATGATTCCTTCCTATCTTCCTCTTCAAACAACAGAGTTGGGACTTCCGGGAAGATGGAAGAATAGTGAGCAGCAAAGAAAGAGTCCCACTAAGATTTGTTGGTCCAGGCAGTGGAATCTAGCAAGGTGAGGAAACGAAGGAGGTAAGTGGGTCTCTGGACCCAAAAAGGATCTGAAGTGAGAATTAAAGACCCCAGGGAAAGTAAAGAAAGGCACTTCAACAACAAAGAAGGAGAAGCCAGGAGACACTTTCTCTCTAAGCCTGAACTCACTATGTGGGAAGGGCAGATCAAAATCACAGGTGCCAGTGACTGTTGGCAATCCCCACGGCCTTCATGGAGAAGCACAGCAGTAGAGTATGGTGGTAGTCTGCATCAGACTGCAATGGCTGGTAAGTTGTTCCCTTTGGGACTTTATCCAATAGAGGGCAATTGGCTGGGAGACCAACTGGGGTTGGGACTGAGTGGCTCCACATAGTGACTCCCAGCTGAGTTCAAGACCCCAAGGGTCCGGGCCTGCTACTGAATGGGCAGGTCTGATCCCAGCCTCGCTGGGATTATCCACTACCTGGCCATGGAGCAGTTTGCTGGCATTGAATCTGGACTCTGTGTTGTCTACCCATAGCAGCAGACATACATCTTGAAGTGGACAACTGTTTTTCTTTTCTTCTTTTCTGCTTTTTTTCTTTATTTTCTCTCTCTTTTGTGGTTTTGATTTTTTTGTTGTGTTTTTTTGTTTGTTCTTTATCGTTTGTTCTTGTCTTTATGAGTGTGAACATGGTTTCCCATTTTTTTTGTTGTTGTTCTAGCCTATGATTGTTTTTATTTTTTTCTTCTCTCTTTCATTCCTGTCTACTGCAGCAGTTTCCCAAAGTTTGCATGACCATCCTTTGTCCTCTGGCCTTGCTTCTAATCTCTTCCATTTCTTCTATTTCTCTACATGATCTTGCTAATCTCTTTTAAATATTCTCCCCTGATAATTGCCACACTGAGGAATAATGTACTGCATAAAATTCTCTAGTTCATTTTGGGTTTTGTTATATAGTCACAAATGTAGTTCATCAAGCAAACTAATAGTTACCTCAGTTTATCATTTTCTAGGCTGTGTTCGATGTTATTGCTATTGTCGATTATTCTGTTTTAGCCAAAGTGACTTCATTGTTCTAACCAGTTGCTTTTCCTGGTATACCAACACTGAGATTGCCTAAAGATCATAAAAGTATTACATATTACAGGCCAGTGCTAAGGAACTAGGGGCTGGCCCAAGAAGGCAGTAACTTCTAATGCCCAAGGTATCTTGCAACATACTCAAAGGTAGGATCTTGGAACAGACCCAAAACCCAAAAGCCAACTACACCTAGAAGACACCTAGAGAAATAGTTATGTCCTAAAGGTTCTAAACAGTAGCAATAAAGATACTCATCATAGGCAATTTAAAGTAAAAACTTTTACACTTTTAAAACTTAAAAGTAATTAAACTTTTAAAAAGAAAAAAAATGACAAGACACTTGAATAAGATGCAACCCCAGATATCCCAGACTAAAGGAAAAACTTCAGAATCACAGCAGACTTCTCAACACAAGCCCTCAAGTCAATGACAGCTTGGAGTGAAATATTTCAAGCTCTAAAAGAAAACAAAACAGACTGGTGTACTCTGAAAAACCATCTTTCAAAATTGATGGAAACTAAGATACTTCCATGACAAGGAACACCTCAGGAAATTCACAACCACCAAGCAAGCACACCAAAATGCTCTGAAGGACATTCTAGAAAGAGATAACAAGGATTACAATTCCATGAATCCCTACAGAAAGAATCTACCAGGCAAAGCAAACAATTAAACAAAGGAGGAAAAGAGAATCAGCAGAGGAAAATAGCATGAAAAAGTCAAAACATACGTTATAATGATCAACATGAATGATCACAATTCACCAATCAAAAGAAACAGACAGGAAGGATGGATCAAGAAGCAAGATCCAGCAATATGCTACATACAAGAAACACATTTAATTCAAAAAGAAACTCACAGACTGAAAGTCAAAGGATGGAAAACAATACCCCATGTGGCAGGAAGCCCTTCCCCACAAAAAAAAAAAAAAAAAAAAAAACCCAAACGATGGATATTCTATTTTGCAAGCAAAGTTGATTTCAAGCCAAGGTTTAGTAAGAGAGGAAAAGAAAGTCACTGCATCCTTGTAAAGGGAAAAATCCAAGAGGAAGAGATAACAATCATAAATATATATGCACCAAATACCAGTGCACCCAACCACATAAAACAAGTATTAATGGATACGAAAAATGAAATAAGCACTAATACAATTGTAGTGAGGGACCTCAATATCCCATGTAACAAGTAGACAAATCAACTAGACAAAAATCAACAACAAAATATTAGAACTAAACCAAAATTTTGAATGATGGCTTTCCTTTAGTCTGGGACATCTGGAATCGCATCTTGTTTAAGTGTCTTCTCATTTTGTATTTTTTTTTTAATGGACATGATAGATGTCTACAGAATGCTCTACCCTACAACATCAGAATACACATTTTTCTCAGCTGCTCATGGGGCATCCTCCAAAATGGACCACATATTATCTCATAAAACATGCTTAAGTAAATGCAAAGAAACTAAAATTATCCCGTGCATATTATCAGACCATAGTGCAATGAAATTGGAAATCAATGGCAAAAGAAACCACAAGAACTTCATAAACATATGGAAATTAAATAACACCCTCCCAAACAAACAGCAGGTCACAGATGAAATTAGATAAGAAATTAGATATTTTCTACAATTAAATGATAATTCCAGTGCAGCATCGTGGAACTTATGAAACACAGTGAAAGCAGTGAAAGGAAATTTATAGCAGTGAATATCCATATCAGGAAAACAAAACATGCTCAAGTAAACCACTTAATGTCAAACTTCCAGCTTCTGGAAAAAGAAGAGCAAGTCAAATCCAAAGCTCAGATGAGGGAAGAAACCATTAAGATCAGAGTAGAAATTAATGTAATGGAAACTAAAAAGAATACAAAGAATCAATGAAGTGAAGGGTTGGTTCTTTGAAAGATTAAATAAAATCAACAAACTCTTAGCCAACTTTATCAAAAAAAGAAAAAAAGAGACACAAATCATCGCAACCTTAATGAAAAGGGAGAAATCATAACAGATCCTGCAGAAATCTAAAAGATTATCTATACGTCCCACCCTCATTGTGCTCTAGAAATTTTGTATTTGTAGTTCCATGGAAACATTATTGGAATTCTGGTGAATTAATTCCAGTCTACCACGTCCAGTGCATGATGAGAATAAAGGCACTATGACATATTTGTACTTAAAGGCTATCAAGGGATCCTGAGTCCGGTTCATATTAGGGTTCATAAAACAAAGGCTATGACCCAGGGCCTAACCCAGATTTTATTAATTCGTGAAGAAGGAAGTGGCTAGAGGATGAGTGACTGTAAGAATGGAGGGAATTATGTGAGTACTGCGAGCTGAGCTAGGTAGGAGGCCAGAAAGAACCTTTGCAATATGCAGAGAGAAAGATATGCAGAAAGACCAATCAGCATAACACAATTGAGGGAGCATTTATTGTTTGGAAGGCTGGTGCTTCAGTTCTGATGTGAAAATCTTTTCTGCTCTTGAAGTCACAGCCTCTTATTCTGAGGCTTGAACTCAATTGGCAGCCCTGGAGCTGTGTGGCTCTGCCATCCCACTGAGCTCAATCTTGTGGAAGAAGATACTGAGGTGAGGAAAGGGGACTGTCCATTGGCTTAAAAGATTATGCATCAGTACTTCAGCTAGCCCTATTTACACTGCTTAAGCTAATTGAAGGTTAAAGGAAATAGCTTAACCAGCTCTGTACACATAAGTACATGGAGCTAGGGCCCAATTTAGCCAAAGTAGAGATAATTGCTCTCTATTCAAAGAGAATCATCCATTGGTCTTCTACATCTACTCTGAAAACTTGTATTCTAATAAAATGGAAAATACAGAAGAAATGGACAGATTCCTAGATAAATATGAATTACCAAAGTTGAATCAAAAAGATATAAATTTCTAAATTCCATACAAACCAATGTCGGGCAATGAAATTGAAGATGTTACTAAAAATCTACCAACAAAGTAAAGTCCTGGATCCAACCAAGAAAGAGAACTGCAGGCCAGTCTCCCTAATGAACACTGACGCAAAAATCCTCAATAAAATACTGGCAAACAGAATGAAACAAATCATCAAGGAGATTATACACAATGACCAAGTGGGATTCAGTCCAAGCAGGATGTAGGGATGGTTCAACATTCACAAATGAATAAACTTAATGCACCATTTTCACAGAGCCAAAAACAAAAACTACACAATCATATGTTTTAACAATCATCTTAATAGATACAGAAAAACCATTTGACAAACTCCAATACCCATTCATGATTTTTAAAAAACCTACAGAAAATTTGAATCGATGGTCTTTATCTGAATCTGATAAAAACCATCTATGACAGACCAACAGTCATCATCATATAAATGGACAAAAACTGAAAGCTTGCACTCTGAAATCAGGAACAAAACAAGGATCACTATCACCACTACTATTCAATATATTTCTGAAGGCATTAGCCAGAGCAATTAGACAAAAGAAAAAAATAAAAGGAATAAGGATACAAAAGGATGAAGTTAAAGTATAATTATTTGTCTTAGCAATGAGAAACAAGTAACTAAGACAACATAGAATCTATTACTTTAAAAATTAAGTATATGATTTTGAGGTGTGAATATTTACATCCTTACATGGATTAAAGAGAGAGAACAATATGCCTATTTCACCAGTGTAACCTTTGTCTTAATATTGTCTCGCTCAAAATACAAGCAAAAATTATTTTGCTTTGTACTGTTTTTTAAGTTAAATCAGTTATAAATTATATTTTTATATGACACAAGGACAAAAACTTTCTACTCACCTCAACATGTAGAACAAATTCTGTCCAATTTGTGCCATCTGTGACTTTTAAGCATATGTCATCCTGAAGAATCTCAGACCCATCATGTCGATACCTGTGGTGACAATATTTGTAACCAATCTTTCAAGAACATTGTGAGAGTAAATTGAGATGATGCATGACACAAGAGCTATTCCCCATGGCTTTGGAAATGTGTTCACTAAATTAATTAATAAGAAAAAAATAGCATAATCATAAAGTCACATTTTTACCTACATAAGTAACTATCAATGTAAAATTGCTCCACCCTTGGAAAAGGTATTATGTTTGGTGATTTGTCCCCAAATCAAAAAGCAGCTTGTCAATTACCCTGTGAAAAGGGGAACCATTTTTGCAACTGTGCCTACTTAAAGACTGGCTAGGGCCAGAGAGACCTCAAAACCCAGCAACAGACCAGGAAAAGTGGAGTGCTACGTGGATCTGATGAATCCCTCTCTCACTTTCAAAGATAATTCTTCTATCTGTACTCTTGATCTACCCAGCTCTTCTCAAAACTTTGATCTATGAATTATATATTGTCTCCCTTCTACCATTTCCCCTCTTCCATTTATTAACTCTTCCTCTCAGTCTAAGACATTCTTGAATCTCTCCCAGATTTAAAAATACCCTTCCTTGGTCTAGCCTTGCTCCTCTCTTCCTTTAATTCTCAGCCAACTCTCTCTAAGGCATTGTCTAACTCGGCTTTCCATGGACTTTCCAGCCCACTACAGAGATGCCCAGTAAATTCTAAATAGCTACTGCATTAAGCCAAATTTTCAGTAATCTGCTCTAGATACAAAGAAATGGAAATAATCCTAAAAATTGAAAATAAAAGTCACATTAAATACAGTACAAAATATTGAACATATAAGATACTGATCAATGAGAAAAAATCAAGACTAAATTTTCCTTCACCAATAGGCTGAGTAAGGAGCTCAGGTTTGGGATTTCGTTCCATTTGTGGGAACCCTCAGTCCTTTCACACACAGACTCCTGTGCTCTGTTTTGCTACACTACCTGCTGTTTTCACCAAAGATAGACTGATGAGTGATCTTATTTTACTATATTAATATCCCTAAATGGCCAAGCAGAACTCAGAGTGTACATCCAAAGGCGTAACTATGGAATCAATGAGATTTTCTTTTAAAACCTGACTCTTTCATGTGGATACTAAGAAACCCTGGGAAACCCTGTGGGCTCAGTTTTTACATGTAATAGGATAACAAAATGCTTTGTCTTGCCAGGTTTGATTACAGTGAAAAAATAAACAAATAAAATTAATTATAAATTAATTAAGTGTACTTTAACATATAGTTCCACCAAGTTTTGATACTTTTTTTTACCACCTCTCATTTACTCCCTAATACGAAATGCTTGAACAGACTTCTCTGTCTTAACATGTAGCTAAGACTTAGGAGCTCAAAATGAAAAGGAAATTTTAGTAGAAATAGGTATGTGGTGAAAAGGTCAAGAAATGAGGAACTATAAATCAAGAATGTAACTAAACTATCAGGATTAAAATTGTGCAAAAACTTTAATTCCTGGTCTGTTACACCTAATCCTACCACACTTATCAAAAGTCAAAGTTTCAGTTTATAATTTGAGTTTATAATTGAAAAATCAGATTGTCTATCTACCTGATCATTTTTTAATAATCTGCATTGTTTTTCAGAGAAGATGTTTTACTAAATTTGTAGATAAAAGTCTTGCAGAACTGCATTAGATGCAGGAAATGTAAAACCTTAGGGAAGGAAAGCTGTGTAGGACCATGAGGCAGAGATCTCTCCAACTCTGGCTCTTAGAAACCAGAGTCCTACTCCATGGCCACCTACTCAGACTACCCTTTTTGTCCACCTATACATCTTTATCCCTAAAGAATGAAATAGCACATTGCCCTGATCACATCCATCAATCAAGTTCTATCCGAGAGTTTCCAGAGTTACAAAGTTGGCTATTCCTACACCTCAGAGTTCAATTTCATAGATTAGCCTCCCAGATTAGCTCAGTCTCTATTCATTTTGTTTGATTGTTACCCTTTATGATATGTGAAGTTGCAACAAAATTAATATTCATAATAATTCGTTTTTTTGTTCAAATATCCACCGAGTATCCCCACTGGCACAACAAGCCAAAGGAATAGCAACCGTCTAGAGGAAAAGAAAAACTTCACCATTTCCGGTTTTCTATTCCCTGTTGAAATTAGTAAATGGCATACTGATACCCCTGAAAGAACTGTACAAACGTCTTTCTCCTCACCCTCCCTTGTGATTGATCCAAAGAGGGAACCAAGGTAAGTAAAGAAAAAAGCCATGAAATATTCTAACCTAACTTTTAGTGTATGGAGGTCTTCCCAAGAAAATGTATCCTCTGTGTTTAGAGGAAATCCATTTAGCTCTAGCCTTCCATGCAGAGGCACCCCCTGCAGGGAGAGGTGGATGTTGTCCAGCGTGGTGTCCACATCGGAAATCAGAATGTGCTCTGTGCTGATGATGCATTGGTCTCCTTCAGCCACTCTCAGGTGGTTGGTGAGCACCTAGAGAGAGGGAAGGAAAGATTCAAAGACTTGCTGCAGAGGAATCCTCAACACAGAGCTCACTGGGTCACTATAAACCTTTCAGTACCATCTCCATACAGCAAAGAAATGTTCAAGTGACTGGTAAAGCGACAAGTTCACAGTTTCACAGTTTGGTCATAGAATTTGTCTCCAATTGTAAGCATTAATGTAAGCAAATAAGCAAGGCGAATTTATAAATGTGAGAGTCACATTTCATTTATCTCAGAACCTCAACAATAAAATCAGCGATCAGATAGGTTTCTATCTGTAGTGCCAAACCAAAGGAATAATAACATTTTTTTATTTTAAAGAGAGAAAACAAAACAATACAAAAAATACATGAAAAATAAGAAACAAAAGAGACAAATAAACAACAATAACAAAAAATCCAAAACAATAATAACATCAGCTTTCAAAACAAGGTGGTAGGAACTTAACAAAGTTGTTATTTTGCATAGTTATCTTCAAAAAAGTTACTCAGATTACCAGATATGGACATACAAAATTGATCTAATCCTATGAATGCTGTTTGGTTCCAAGAACTGACAGAATTACTAATCTTAAGTATATCTTAGTAATCTTCAGTGAATATATATACAAATTTACATCTTTTTTTTCTCTTCCTTCTTTTTTTCTTTTTTTCTTTTCCCTGAGTTATTTTTCCCCTTTGAGCAGTTTCTTACCCTTTCACAGTATATCCTGAAGATTTTGGATCTTACTTACTCTTTCAGTTTCTTATACTAGGGAGACAATACGTTATTTACACATGGGAGTTTGATGTATTTCACTTATGAGTGTGGTCTCAAGTCACTTTTACCTATAAAAGCCTCAATGTGATCCTTCTTTACAGCTGCCTAGCACTCCTTTGCATTAAAATATCATCTCTTTTTTATCCATTCTTTAGTTGCATTTGGGTTGTTTCCAAGATCTGGCTTTTACAAATTGTGCTGCTATAAACATGGGTACACATATGTCACTGCGGTACAATGTTTTCAGTTCCTCTGGGAATATGTCTAGAAATGGAATAGCTGGGTCAAATGGGACCTTTTTGAGGAAACTCCACACTAATTTCCAGCACCAGTCTGTACTCCCATCAACAGTGCAGAAGAATTCCTTTTTTCCCCACAGCCTCTCCAGCATTTGTTATTGGTTGTTTTCTTTATCCTGGCATTCTTTCTGGAGTAAGATGGAATCTCAGTACTTTTATCATCTTGTGTATTCCTATCACCATTTAATACGTATTTACCTTAGCCTGTGGTATAAACAAACTATCCCAAAGAAGAAACAAATATTCCTAAAGACTGAGAAAGTTAATTAGAGTCTCAACTGTGGTATTTTGGAGATGAAACTAGAATAGGAAACTGAATTTTAAGATGAAATAGGAAATAGACTTAGTCAGACACTAAACTTAAAACCCTAAGGACCATAATAGGAAAACCTAGTGTTTCTCTTATGTGTAAGTCAAATGCAAACTAGAGTGCTTTGAACTATTTTATCGCCACACTGGAAGTGGGCACTAAGTGTTCTGTGATCAAATAAGTCTAAAACACAGTTATATACAACATCGTTATCTTGGATATTTATATGGCGTATATGTGCATTCTAGGCTGTGAGATTTTAGTGGGAAAATCTGTGAACTTTGCATACATTTACCCAAATTGGTACAACTACATGGAAGTCAAAGAAAGCAGGGTACCAAATCACAAGCTCTGAGGATCTCTCCCGGATGTTTTGGGGTGAGCACCTGCTGATGTGCTCTCCTCCCAGCACCTGCTACTCCCAGAAAGGAGAATGCACCTGGGGAAGGAGTCAGTAAAAGGGAACAAGGACGTGGGAGTGATGCCTCCTGGCGGAGAAAAAGGAAGGTAGTGAGATGAAGCTGTAGCAGCCTTCACTCGGGACTCTGCTCTTCCCTCCAGCCCACAGGGCCACAGTGTGAATAGAGAGGTTCAGTCCGCTGCTGCATGTCCCAGGGGCAGACTTTGTGACTCAGAAGTGAGGAGAGTGCAATTCTGAGACCCAGTGCTCTTTATTCTTTAATAAGTTATCATCAAAAAGGGAAAATGAAAAGGATAGACTTCTCTCCCTACAATCACCCTCACCTCAACTCAAGTTATCACCTTCACTGTAGGTGGGAGGAAAACAGAAAGAGACTTCTTATTCAGAAAGGAACATGAACCAAAGTCCACATTTGCCAGCATCTTTTCCTGAGCGATACCAAATTAGTATCCTAAGATGGGACTTTGTCACAAAATATTCTTTACTACATCAGATGATTTTTAAAATACCACTTGTACAGCAAGTTTCAAATAACAGACAGACTCCCAATTATTAATCATCAGGTCTTCAGGCCCAAGTCTCGGTCTCAGGACGTCCAGCAAGCACATCTGACCAACACGCCCTCATGGCCTCTGCCTACCTCTCTGTACTATCTGTACTATCACTCCCATGGCTGGTTTCACTGAAGCTACTAATTTAATTTTATTTCTAACATTTTTGGTTCTTTACAGTACTATTTCATTTGCCACCACACTCTAAATAAAAGAGAGATCCTTATGCAATTTTAGCCCCAAGTCTTCTCAACTACTCTATCTGCCTTCAAGTGAAGCTAACTGTTCCCTTTATCCTTTATCATTCCCTCACCAAGTCATTCTTCTCTAGCAAGAGGTTTGGACTCCTTCAAATAAAATATTTCTCCATGATTGTTCTGGAAAGAGCTTTGGCTTCTTTAGATGCCATGCTATTTCCTGCCCAGAAAAGGATAGCCTGACTAAAATCTGATCTGGCTATTTCCTGAGATATCTGAGCCCATTTCACCACAAGGAATACAACCTATTCTCTACCAGGAACAGTATGAGTGAGTGGAATGCATTTAGATTCCTTGGCGTGAACTCTTTGGTGTTTCCTCCAGCAGATTTTACAAGCTCACTGAGAAGTCAGTGGGTGACACAAAGAGTGTGGTGAGCTGGTGGCAACACAGCCCCACTCGGTGTTGTGAGGATTTCCACATTTTCAAGACAAGCCAAAGCCAGACTTGATAGGAAATCTCTTAACCTTGAACAACAGTAATTGTTATTTTATAATAGTGTTTAGACTCATCTAAGTAAGGCCCTGAGGCCCTCAGATAAGCTCTCTGTGTCACAATCTTAAGCAGGGATAAGGGTGGTGGAAAATTACCAGGAAAGAGAACTCAGGGCTGGCTGCAGTTCAGCTCGGTAGAGAAGCTGATCTTGTTTCCTGGGATGAGGGTTCATGTAGGTTCTTGGCCTTTTTGGTTCATAATGAATGGGGACTTTTCTTGTTAATTTATACTTCTGAGGAAAAATGATTCCACTAACAGCCAACTAATAAAGTGTAGCACTCTGAAAGGGGAGGAGGGACAGCAAACAGAACTATCAGTGCGAATCTCACCCTCAGAGAGAAGATACACAAGCTAGTATATGTCATCTTTACAGTCTGGTTTTAATGAAAGACCCAAGTCCTTTAAGATTTACATAAACAGTGGGCTGTAGGACAGAGCAGGGCAAAAGTGTACTTCCTAATTCATTTTGGAAATTAAAGAGCTGCTTTGGATTACATAGTAGCATGGTTGGAGAACAAATAAGCCCTTCTGGTTGCTAAGAGACCTCTAATTTAATCCTCTTCCTCTGATCAACATATGAAACTCCGCAGAAAAAAAGGAAATGAAAGAGATTTTGATAAAGCTTTGAAAACAAAGCCAAATTCAGAAACTGGAAAAAATCTTACTTTTTAACTTCTTACTTTTTAAGAAGTCTCTTGGGAGGTGAAGAAGTCCCTCCCCTCAATTTGTTTTTCCTATACAGTGCCATGCCTGACAGGTGAGGCTGTAACCAGCAGGCACCAGCAGGAAATCCAGAAGAACAAAGCCATGTCCATCTCCACAGTCCATCCTGAGGAAATAAAACCACACTCTCTCTGCCCCCAAATTCCTCTAGGCAGCAACTCCTCCCCTTCCTTTAAATCTACTGTTCTATCCTGCTTCCTGCTGATCCAAGCTCTGAACTCAGCCCTCTCTCACTGCAGTGAATTAATAGCCATGGTTGCTTACACAGAGCTTTCTCTGGTGATCGCTCTCCCTTCTGGGCCTTTAACATACACCAGCTGCAAAATTTAAAAAGTGAGTCCTTTCTTTCTTTCCCTTCTTGTCATCCTCCATATCAAAAACTGTACATACCTTAGGAACCTGATTGTCCACTGGGAGAATTGTGATGTTAAAACAGATCCCATGCAAAGTGCCACCGTGTTGGTTACTGATAGAAAATGTGAACTGGACCTGTCGAGGATGGGGGCCTATATCTTCCATGGGTGGCATGTAGGCAACTTTCAAATAGTTTACAGCATGCTGTGAAGCAGAGCAAGACAGACGTGAATGTTGATTTGCAGGGATCAAAAACTTTCAGAGACCTAGGTCCAAGAGAACCATCATGTTAATTCATAATAAAAATTATAAATGCCACCATCAATTTAAAGATTTTTATGAATCTTATATTCTACCTATAAAGAGGAAAAAAGATAAAGAGATTAAGTAAATACATCACCTGTCAAGGAGGCACACACTTGTATTCCTAGTACTCTGGGCTGCTGAGACAGGCGATACCACCAAGTTCAAGCCCAGTCTAAGGCAGTAAATTAGAGATGAAACTAAATGCTGAATTTGTGTAAGTTCATGCCTGACCACTAGCAACTTAATGAGTTTCTGTCTTAAAATAAAACATTTAAAAAGTGCTCAGGATGTAGGTAAGTACAAAGTCCCCAGGTTAAATGTTCAGTATTGCAAAGAGAGAAAAAAATAAATATATCAAGTGCTTGAAAACCATCAACTTTATAAAATACTTGTATTTCCACCCAGCTCCACCACAGAGTAGCTATGTAAGATTGGTCAAGCTGCTTAAAGTTGTTAGATCTCTGCTTGTAAAGTGAATAAGATAATAGTAGTTATCGCTTGGGATTGGCATGCTCATTTACAATCTCTAACTATGGAGAATTTATACATAATTAGCCACAAACCACAGAAGTATCTGCTGTTTAAACGCTCATTATCATTACTGTGACTTCCATGGGAAGTAGAATCCACTGGAGTAGGCAGAGAGACAGTGAAGGATTTTGGAAGGTAGTAAATGCAGCAAGTTGTGTCTCCAGAAAAGATAGGCTGAAGACCTAACTCTTAGGATCTAGTAATATGGCCTTATTTAGAAACAGGGTCATTACAGATGTAATTGCTTAAGGTGCTAGGGTAGGATGGGCTGTAATCCAACATGTATTTTGTGTCCTTATAAGAGGAGAGGCATACAAGGAAAAGACTGCCACATAATAACAGTGCTACATTATATTACCCATATGTATGCACAAGTTAAGAAATGCCAAGGATCGCTGGAAAAGCACCAGAAGCCAAAAAGAAGCAGAGGAGTTGCCCTTCAGGGTTTCAGAAGAAGTATGACCCTGCAATACTGTGATTTCAGACTTCCAGCTTCCAGAATTACGAGACAATAGTCTTCACGGTGATAATTTTGTTATGGCAACTGTAGGAAATAGTGTAGATTACTGAATGAACTGAGTGTAGTGGAACAAACACATAAGCATGGAAGCTCCAGATCACAGACCTGCTGCTGGTAAAACGATGCAAAAAGATGTGCTGAATTACAAGAATTTGACCTTTTATCCACCTTGATAAAACACTTTCAAATAAGCTAAATGCTTATGAGAAATGTGCAAGCAGAAAGGATGAAGATATCAAGCAGTTTTTGACAGATATCAATGGCCAATATTATCAGGGAAATACTAGCCCTATCTTCTCAGAGAATTTTTACGTTTGTCAATATTTTAGCAAACCGTCATACCTGAGTAAACGACTTCAGTCCTAATGCTGTAGGATTTTTAGCTAGCTTTGGTATGCTGTCCACCATGAATAGCTTCCCAGCATCCAAATGTCTAAAGAGAAATACAGAAGAACACATCAGCTAATTTCCTAGCTAAGAAAAATCAAATAGCCCATCACCAAAACTGCAAAAACTGAAAACCTCATCATGAGAGGAAATTAGATGCTCCACCCTTATATTCTGCTTTCTATTGAGGGCTCCTAATATTGCTTGGAATCATCAATCTCATTCCTCATCATGACTGCAAAAAGCATGTCCAAAATTTTTGTCATGAAAAGGAATCATAATCCTAAAGGTAATTCCTTGTTATTTTGTATGTGAGACTAGTCTGAGGTAGTCATTCCATCTTTCTGAAATAATATCATATCATATGGCTATTTTGTGGTCTATAATACCTAAAATAAGGTTACAAAGACATTAATTTGTACTAAAAATAAAATTAAGCATTCTCTTTCAAAAACGGGAATTAAACTGATTTCAGCTTTCCTATATTGAAAACATTACAAGCTACAGATCGCTAATTCCAATAACCTTTGAAAGGCAGTATGAAAAAATCTGAGATGAAACTAAATGTTGAATTTGTATAAGTTCATGCTTGACCACTGAAGCAACTGAATTATAGTGCTGTTGACACAAGTGACTCTCTAGCCCTAGAACTAATAGACTACATGAGGACTTTTCAGAGATACCTGTGCCTGAAAGAGAAAAATGGAGGAGTTGTTATTGTGTACAGAAGCTCCCCATCATGTGATTCGGTGTCTAGGAAGTGTAGATGTTTCTTAGTTATGTAGGCCACCTCTGTTTCCTTGACAATCAAATGCCGAGAAACTCCAGGAGCCTCTTGTGGGAGCTGGTCATCCACAGGAGTGACTTGGATCATCACTACCTGGAATAAAAGTATCGGTACTATTCATTTCAAATACAAGAAAACACCGAAGAGAAAGTCTTACAACCACCCCATTATCATTAATGTAATTTTCAAAACCTGTCATTTATAATACACTTCTGTCAAATAATTCAGGAGCTATTAAGAGTCTTGCTCAAAAATGGAACATCCTTCACTTGGTATCATATTCAAGAATATAATTATCACAATTGTAGTTAGTATACAGTGGATAAACAAAATATAGTGTTACTGCTTTCATTTTTCCAACATCCCTCTTTCCAACAGCAGTGCTTCGAGGCTACCCTCTACTCCATCATCGATCCTAGACACCTTGACGTAACTCGGTTCCTCCTCCTCTGCTCACATGTACCCACCACCAAGTTTCCACTGTCAAACATCCTACCCAGAGATTATGTCAGTCTTTGGGTGTCATTCCTACTGCTCCTGGTCTAGCTCTCATACTCTCTTCCTTACACAATGACAGCAGCTTTCTGTTAACTCCACTCCAATTGCTAATTTAGATTTTTATACTTATAGTGCTACCTCTAAAAGAGTAAAAATCAAGTTAACTCACCTCCTCAAAAATCTTAACCACCCAGACAGTTCAGAATTACTCCAACTCCTTAGAATGACAGCCAAGATCTTTTAGAGTTTAGATATACTTTATGTGTCAACTTTATTTTTTTTACTATATTTTAACATTAACCCCAACACTTTAGTTGCACACCATGTTGTGGACCTCAAGAACACCTCAATGCTCGGTATCACGTTGGTTGTTCAGTCTAGAATGCTTTTCTCTTGCTTTCTCTAAAGGTTTTTCTCCTCCTTAGACATTGTTCTTGAAACATCTCCAATTACGCATTAGAACTTTTCTGAATTTTGCTTATCCCTTGCTGTAGGTTGAGTATTTGTCAAGATTCACGTTGATGTTTAATCACCAGTGAAAAGTATTGAGTAGTGGGGTTTTCAAAAGGCCATGAGTGCCTTGTGACAGGGCTTGCAGTGGGAAGGGTGGGGCGTGAGCTTGTCCTTATATCCTTCTGCTTTGTGAGGACACAGTGCTAACCCCTTCCAGAGGGTGCAGCAACAGAGGCCACCTTGGAAGTAAGAGCACAGCTCACCAGACACCAAGACCGCTGGTGCCTTGATCCTGGACATTCCAGCCTCTAAAACCGGGAGAAAAAGCGTCTCTTATCTGTGAATTACACATCCTCAGGCACTATGCTAGCACTGTATGAATGGGTTAAGAATTCATACTTGAATTCTTGAACAACATACTTATTTCATCGTCGTCACGTCAATCTTTCTCACACACTGAACATTCCATGAGGATAGGATGATAGTAAAGTATAAGCCATAGAGACTTTGAGAGTAAACAGTTAAAATCTTGGTATGCACCATGTATGTATTAGTAACCTTTTGATCTTGAACAAGATGCTCAACCATTTTGGTATCAATTTTCTTGTTTGCAAATTAAGCATAATACTGGTAAACCCAAGTCTGTAAAAATCAAATATTATTATGTAGATAAAATATCTGGTACTTCGTCATTGTTGCTGACTGAACAAGTCAACAGGCCCTGTGTGTGGATCCCAAGCCATTATAAGGTAGATCAGCTACACAGCTTTTCTCATTACATTATTTCTGTAGAGTAATTCATAAGTGATTTACAAGGAAGCTAATACTCTCTCTCTCTGGAAATGGCATACTGTGTGGCATCATGGGTCTTTGCATAGTTTGCCACGTGAAAGTATTCCTATGCCGGTTTTGATTTATTTTGCTGTTGTCATCAAAGTACAGAGCAGTAATGGCAATTTTGTCTACCATAGTATTCACAATAACCAATTTGAAAATGAAGGAAATTCCTTTTCAGTTTTTGACATACAAAACAGAAAGTAAAACTAAGCTTTTGCTATGATATAAAAAAAATTAGACCAGCACTGTGGAAATCAGTGTGGAGATTCCTCAAAAAACTAGGATTAGAAGTATCATTCAATCCAGCTATTCTCCTTCTAGGTATTTTTCTCAGAAAAATTGAAAATATCATGCCATAGTGATACATGTGCACCCATGTTTATAGCAGCACAGTTTGTAATAGTTAAATTTTTGAAATAACCAAAATGCCCATCAACCACAGAATAGATAAAAAAGGTGTGGCATTTTTATACAATAGAATATTACTTACCTATAAAAAAGAATAATCAAGAGACTTTTCTAGGTAAATATAGACAACCTGAGACTATACTCATAAGTGAAGCAAACTCACATTTGTAAGTACCATATTGTCTCCCTAATGTAATAAAAAATTAAAAAACTGAAAGCAATAAAATAAAAATGCACAATAGATACTGTAATAATGAAAGGGAAAGAAAGTGCTCAAAAGGAAAGAACAACTGGGATGGGGAAAGGAGAAAAGGAAGGAAGAAAAGGATTCTATGTATGTAGGTCTACACATGTAACTCTATGTAGGTATATGTGTGCAAGATGGATGACTATACTACTAATCTCAAGTTCGTCAAAAAGAATGGTCTGTGCTATCATTGTTTGATTGTTTGATCATTTTTTTATGGCTAGATCTTGTAGCCTGAACAACTACTTCTAAGATAACAATATGCAATATATTAAGTACTATTGATTTCTTACTTTTTTAAAAAAATTCTGTATTATTTCTATCCTTTTTTTCTGTTTTGCTTTTTAAAATAAATAAATAAATAAATAAATCATCTTCCTAAAAAAGTTAGGCCAGGCCTAGAGGCTCACACCAGCACTCAGGAGGCTGAGGTAGGAGGATCACTGTGAGTTTGATGTCAGCCTGGGCTACAAAATGAGTTCAAGGCCAGTGAAACATTGTCTCAAAAAAAAAAAAAAAAAAAAAAAATCTGAACTCAGCAACCTATAGGCTGTGCTCCAGTTTTTTTAGCACTATTTTTTAAAGAAGCTGTCTTTCTTCCAGTGAACAAATTTGTCTCCTTTGTCAAAGATAAGGTGGATAAGTATGTGTGAAGTTGTTTAGAAATCTTGTAATCTGTTGCACTGATCCTCAGGTCTTTTTCCCCTCTGATATAATACTGTTTTTATTATAGTAGTTTTATGTGTATGTCTAATTCTTTTTCTATGCTGTGAACTTCTTTCATTACTTCTGAGAACAGGCTTTTTAATGTTGTTTTTGCTGACTCCTGCTTTTTCACGGACTCTAACCAAGCTTATGTAATTTGCATCATGTTTCAGTGTTGCATTATTTTTTCATAGTCTCTTGCTGTTTTTAAGAGATCTTTTGTGTTGTGATCGCTAACTGTGATCTTGTCTTCTAAGTGTGACATTCTTTCTTCACTTTGGTTCAGTTGATTTTGTAAACTTTCAATGGAATTTTTAATTTCCCGTTTTCATTTCTTTCCTATGTCAGGTGTTCATAGGTTCTATCATTTTCCTGTGCTCCTCTATGTTTTAATGTATGTCTACTTTAGGTTTGCTGAGCAAGTCCATCATTATGGTCACTTTGCATTTCTCATTTTGCATCCTGACTCTCTGCAAGTGTGTCTGCATGTGCTCATTGCTGCTGTAGATTGGAGGGCCTCGAGGGAAGCCAGAGAACAAAGAGCCTAGGGATTTCTCCAGCCCTGCTCTTTCATTCTTTGCCTGGGAAGGTGTGTTTAATGTCTTTGTTATAACCAGGTTTTAGCACAATAAGAGTGCTTTATTTCTCTGTGGAGTTTATTAAAGTAGGGTTTTTCTCATCTATAGACATAGACAAAATAATTGTTTGAACATGCATAAATATGTAGAGTCACATCAACTAAGACAATCATAAAACATGTTGAAAAATATGCCCACCAAGAATTACAACAGGAGTATAAAAAAGCATGCTTCTATATTCTTTTCACATAAAGAACACATTAGAGAATAAATTAGCATGGTAAATGGTCTCTTTGAAGGCACAATAACTATTGTTTCCTTATTAAATCCAGTTTTTCAATTAAGAAGAGACTCACTGATCCACACTATGATTGGAAGGTCCCATGGAGAATTTCTGAACTTTGTAGATTAGCAAAATACTACGATTGGGGGAAAAAAACATGGCACAGATTCCCAGAGACTAGAAAAATAACTGTTACTGTGTTCCTCAGTTTTTGATAACTAGCTATAATTTTTAATTATCAAAATGCTTCATAAAGACTAGTAAGCAGGCTTTTGTAAACATAATGAAAGAATAAAGATAAGGATTTAATTTATTGAGCACCAATGAAATACTAGAACTCACTTTACTACTGCCTATCTTGTTTGGTCAAGACAACCTTATATTTCATTACAATAGCCATTGTTTTTATGCCTAATGAACAAAAAAAGAAAAATACTGGGGCCCAAAGGCCTCATTTCCCCTTTGGAGCTGAAGACTAAAACTAGACCTATGTCCATCAGCATGCACTAAACTAAAGTCAAAAGGGATCAAAGACATAAATATTAAAACAGAAACACTAAACTACTGGAACATAGAATAGGCAGTACTCTTCAAGACATAGGTATAAGCAGAAACTTCAGGAACAAAACCCAGACTGCAAAAGAAATACTACAAAGTATCAACAACTGGGATCTCATCTTGTTAAAGAGCTTTTTCACAGCAAAAGAAATTACCAACAGAGTGAAAGACAATCTACAGAGTTGGGAAAAAAAGTTAGCCAGCTATTCCTCAGACAAAGGAGTAATATGTAGAGCATTTAAAGGATTTTTTTAAAAAAATCAGACCTCCTAAATTTAAGATCCAACCCAAAACTGGGCTTCTGAAACTAATACATACTTGTCAGATGAAAAGTAAAAACATGCCAAATAAATATTTGAAAAAATATTCAACATCACTGGTCATTTGAGAGATGCAAATTAAAAAAATGCTAAGATTCCACCTCACTCTGGGAAAGTGACTGTTATCTAAAAATCAACCAAAAATTGCTGGAGGAGTATGTGGGAAAAATGGACCCTTTTCTGCTGTTGGTGGGAGTGTAGACTGATACAACCACTGTGGAAATCAATGTGGAGATCTCTCAAAGAACTAGGATTAGGAGTGTATTTGACCCAACTATTCCCTTTCTTGGTACTGCTAAAAAAGAATTAAAAGCATCATACCACAGCAATACATGTGCACCCATGTTTATAGCAACACAACTGGTAATAGCTAAATCTTGGAAACAAATTCAAATGCCCATCAATTGATGAATGGATAAAAAAATGTATTTTTTCACATGTAATGTAATACTACTCAGCCATAAAGAAGGATAAATGTGAGACATTTATAGTTAAGTGGATGGACTTTGAGACCATACTCTTAAATGAAATAAATTGTACAAACATGCAAATATCAAATTATTTCTCTGGTGTGAGAATCTGAAAATGTGAATAAGAACCAAAATGCATAATGCATAATAGATATTGTGAAATAGGAAGAAATTGCTCAAAAAGAAAGGGAAACTAGGAAGGGGTAAAGGGGAAAGGAAGGAAAAAGAAAAACAAGAAAGAAGGATAAAATAGAGACAAAGCTTTGTAAATAAGGAGGGGAAGAGGGGCTGAAGGCAGGGAATGGTGACAGGAAGAAAAGAAGGGTCATGATACACCATTTACAGGTACAAATTCACTGTAACGAACGTGATCAGTGTATATATCTACATAGTACCAGTAAACTTAATAATAATTTTAAAATCTTATGAATAGTTACCATTTGAATTATCAAGTCAACTAAGGTTTCAAGAAAAAACATAGCCTAGAAATGGTACATTGAAGACAGTCGGGGTGGGGGAGCTATTTAAAAAGAAGTTGACTTCTTCATCAACAAGCAGATAAATTCAATTTTCTCATTCATTCTTTATTCTGCCTTAAAAGGGACCACTGACCTCCTTCAGTTTCTTCCCAATCGTCCTTTCTGTATTAGTATCCCTATAGCTGAACACAATACCTGACATTTCCAACCTAAAGCAGGAAAGGTTTAATTTGCTTATGGTTTCAGTCCACGATTGGCAGGATCCCAGACAGATATCCTGATAGACCTGCAGAATAAAACTGCTTAGGGGCTGGGGATTTAGCTCAGCGGCATAAGCGCCTGCCTTGAAAGCAGGCAGTCGTGAGTTCAATCCCTGGTATCGATAAAAAGGAAAAAGACAAAAAAAAAAAAAAAAAAAAAAAAAAGAATAAAACTGCTTAGTTCATGGTGCCCAGGAAGTGTAGCACCAGAAAGGAACAGGCTAGGGACAAATAATACTCAAGGCCATGCCACCACAACCCACCCAGACACGTCAAGTAGCAGGTTTTGCTAGTCTGTTAGGTGTTTCCCAATCCAGTGAAGTTGACTTATCAGGATTAATTGTCACATCTCCCATTATATTTATCTTAGCAAACAGAGGAAAGTTCAGTCATCAATACATTGGCTCAAGCCAGTGATGGTGACATTGCAAGAAGACATAGGATAAATAGGACATCATTTCTAAGTAGTCGTTCTAGAACAGGTTTGAGAATGTTGCATTCATACACATATTACTTGCAAGACAATAAGTATAAAATAGCTAGCAAAATAGAAGATCACTTAATTTCATCGTAGATACATAGTATGTGATCATTTTATATGCATAGTAGATGATCACTTAATTTCAGCTGCCTTCTTTTTAAACCCTTGATATTAAATATCCTCTCTTTGCCAGGAGTCCGACCTTCTATAGTTGTCCAGATACTCCATTGACTCCATTTTTTTGTACTTTCTGTAAGACAGTGTTTTCTTCCACTTATTTTTTGTTTCTATATCTTTAAACTATATCTTCTAGTGGTAGTAAAACTATTAGATCTTTAAGAACAACAATCAGTAATAGAAAACTTATTGTGCATTTACCATGGACTAGAAAGTTCAGCGCTGTGTAAGTACTGTGACACTCACCTTCACACTAGCTCTACGAGGAAGGTTTTTTTACTCCCTGTTTTATAGGGAAAGAAAGAGGTGTGCAGGTTGACCAGTTAGTGCCGCGATGAAAAAGAAAACTCAGGCACAGATCTTATACTTTAACCACTACGTCGAGAATAACTGCTTTCTTGAATGCTAGAAAGCAACCAAATTGTGTGGGATGTTCTATATAAAAGGATTCCAGAGCTAAGTAACCTCAAAAACACACAAAAACGCCCATAAAATTCATAAATTTTTTTAGCTACAATAGCTTCCAGACCTGATATCTGTGTGTGAGCCTGCAGAGAAGTGCTCAGAAACAGTCTCCTACCTGTGGCTCCGAGAGATTTGGAGGTTCGTGGCTGTCCTGCATGACAAATTCAAAAGAATCTTCAAAAATTTCTCCACCAAAGTGACGATAGTAAATTATTCCATTAAGTAAATCCCTCTGAAGGAAGCCAGGGACAGGATAGCCTATTGGGTCCACAAAATATCACCGTTTAGATTATATTAAACTGATTTGCAAAAATTTCCTGTGATTAGCTTACTGTATGTATTCAAGGAATCTGCTTTAAATGTTTTAAGCAAAACATTTATAAACAATAAAGCAGAGGCTAATATTGATATTTACCCCATCTTAATAATGTAGAAAAATTAGAGTTGGAAAATGTTTCCAAGAAGCATCTTATTTTAAATATATGATGTCACACTAACTACTTGTTTGGTCCCTATTTTGTCCAACTCCTGATCTACCTACTTTAAAAGTAGTCATGAAATCATTCTAGCAACAGATAAACAAATACTGTCCATGAAATTGTTTTGTCAGTCATCTAGAACAGGCCAAACGTCTCCCTTTATCTTGTAGGTAAATCTACATTTTCATAGTGTAATGGTCATTTTGAGGCTCAGCTCTAGAACTTTTTGAACGTACAGTCTTGGAGAAGGCAACTCAGCTTATCTGAATCTTGGGCTTCCCATCTATAAAATGGAAATAATAATCTCTTACTTCATAAATATGGTGTCTACCTTAGCACAAATTCTGATACAATTTCAGTCAACTCACCACTGCATAGAAAGTTCTCAGTGAAAGAATCCATTCCATTCAAACATTTGTAACTGCCTAGAACTTACCAATCAGCCCTGGCCCTGGCTTCTTCATGATCTCTCCAGCCCGTGGGGGTTTTGTGATATTAAAGAAGATGTAGTCATCACTGGAGTCCATGTCTGAGGCTCTCAGCATGGACCCCTGGATGGAGATGGTCTGCCCCTCCTCCAACTCAATCACAACATTAGTTATAAGGAAGGGAGGGCTGTCATCTTTGGGCAAAATGTTGATAGGAAACTTGTGACGGATGCTGTGATATCCATCGAATATCCTGAAAACCACAAAGTCTTTGGTGGAGTCACTGTCATCATGGTGATAGCGGACAGCGCCAGCCTGAAGATCTGACACAGTGAAGAGAAATCCTTTCCCTCCTGAGAAGAAAGCAGAGGAAGAGCAGCTTGAGCAGGGCGCATCACTCCGGGAAGGGGGAACAGGAAAGTGGCACAACTCATAACTCCCCTTCCTCCAGAAACTACACGAGTACTCCCCCACATACAGCGGGGTTGGGGCAGAAAAAACCATCATTGTCTGCAAATATCACCAGTCAAAAATGGATTTAATAGCCCCGACAAACTCCTCATAAAGTAAAAAAATCATAAATTGCTTGTAGATTGCTTAATGGGCTCTGGGACTTCACAACTCTGGTTTTTAACACTGATTCTGCTGCTTAACTGTGCACACTGAGGCAAGGAATTTATTAGAGACTCATCTGTAAAACAGGAATAATCATACTGTGATAGTTAACTTCATATGCCAGCTTAGCTGGATTATTCTCCAGCACCATAAATAAATAAATAATAAAGAAACATTATTTCTTAATGATCTGAGGACAGTATTTCCAGAAGAGATTAGCATTTGAATCATTACAACTGAGTAAAGGAAGACTACCATCAATCTGTTGATGGCTACGAAGGACAAAAGTAGGGAGAAAGGATGGATTCTCTCTTGAGCTGGAACATCCATCTTCTCCTTCACACATCAGAGCTCCTGGTACTATGAACCCTGAAACTCATACCAGCACCCCTGCAGCCCCAACAAACCCCCTTGTTCTCAGACCTTTGGCCTTGAACTGGGAGTTACACAATCAGATGCCCTGTTCTCAGGCCTCAGTCTTAGGACCAAATTACTCCACGAGTTTTTCAGTTCTCCAACATGTCATGAGACTTTTCAGTCTTTATAATTTCATAAGCCAATTTCACTAATAAATATCATCTATATTTGTTTATATCTTCTTTGTTTTATTTGCCTAACACAAAGACCTATCTATATTCCATAGCAAAGATAAAGGAACTTGAATAATAACAAGCCTATAATAAATGCTGTTTCTTCTCCAACTCATTGGCCAACATGGCCAACTTCTTAGGTGAGCGATCTTGAATAGGTGTCATCAATCCCATCTGAGTATCTGTTAGAAAGAAAGTTGTCAAGCCCCATCCCAGACCTACTGAATCAGAAATGTTCTTTCCAGCCTTTCAGGGAAGTCTACTGCATGCTAGTGTTTGAGAGCCACTGACATAAGAGACTAAAGCTAGAGCTCTAAAATAAAACAAACTGGATTGAAACCCAGTTCCACCATTTTCTAGTGTATTACTTAGGCAGGTCAGCTTCTTTAAGTCTTAGATTCCCTACTTGTAATATGGGAATAGTGTCTTGCTTCATAAAGCTAAAATAAAAGAAATGAGATAAATGATAGGCACAAAGTAAATGGTTAATTAATGCTACTAGTATTTTTTTTACCTCTCCTAATCCCAGAACAGCATTGCTTTATGGTTACCTATTTCACTTCAGCAGTATTAATAAGCATTGATTCAAATTTTGATTAGAACATTACAATTCTTAATGGCAGGGGCACCCTATTATTCTCATACCATCTAACTCCATGAAAGACCTCAGAAGAATAAATCACTGAACATTTACGTAACAGGCACTACTATTTTGTAGCCCAATAGCCACTTTCTACTTCTTCCTTACTAAGAGAATTCTGGTTTTCTTTGGCATGGCACTGTAACCGATTAAAAATATTCCAATTTTCAGACTCCCATTGTGCCACGGCATTGTAAGTGACAAATTAGATAAAAAGATATAATTGTAAGTCATTGTACTAAACTCCTGGAAAAACATGTTAAGAGAGCATGCTTAGCTGGGTATAATTTTTTTCTTTGTCCCTTCTATCTCTTTCAGTCTTAAAGAGATTTTTAAAAATCTCTATTAAGCCCACTAGAGTTGAATTGCTTTTAGATATAACTGGACATCTACCTTGACAAATACCAGTTTAACCTGGCCTCCCGCTGTCCTGGAATTGAATAGAAGAATTTATCATGTTTATCTTTTTTTTAGTTTTATAATTCCTTGTGATAAATAATGATAAATGAGAGTTCTCTTTTTTTGCTTTACAGTTAGGTAGACTAGGAAGAAAATTGGATTATTCTGTTACAAAGAATAGATTATTTCATCCTAAAGTATGAGTATTATATTTTAGGATGATATCTTGGTAATTATCATCTATGTAATTATAATTATAAATTCATTTCATGTAAATTATGGTAACTAACAATAACATCATAGCATTATCACTGAAGTGTTAAAAGTAAGTTTTTCTATTTTAAGTATGTTTGCTGAAACCAAGAAATCAGAGAGAGGTAGTTTGTTTTCCAAAGAAAAAGGATAATTAACTAAGGATTATATCTTGAAGATGTCCTACATGACATCCAGAAAGCAAGACTTTGCCAAGTACAAGCCACTGTTCACAAATCATCACACAATGCCTTGAGTATCCTACACAAAAGCAGATAATTTCAAGATTGCTTAATTTTCTGCATATGACAACTACATTTGGAAATCAAGCCCAAGAGACATCATACATATCCTGTTTAATATGACTTGCTTCTGAAGAAAATATTTCTTGGGTTCTTTTGTAAAAGGTTGCTCAGGTAGGTCATTCACCTCTAACTGTAAGCCGTCCATGCTGCAGGCCATCAACGGTGACTAACTGGACAGCATCAATGTTATCGTTGTCAACAATCTGAAACTGCTCCCAAGTGATGGCCCGAGACTGCCCCTCCAGGAGATTCAGACCTACAAGAGGAAGCAGAAAATGTCATGCAAAGTTGTAGGGCATCTGACATGTCTGCTTAAGGAAAAGATTAATTCATTTTCATTCATAAAACTATCTGAAAGTAATTTTTCAGATGCTTTTCAAGAAACTTGAATGTAGCTTCTGTTTTTAGTAATAATTTTATTTTAATACTATTGCTTCGAATCTGACAACTTGAAAGCTATGATAAATCCTTAAAAATCAAATTGAATACTCAAGGAAAGAACGTATGTTATGTCCACAGTGGTCTGGATTTCAAAATGTCCACAGGGAAGCTACATGCAGATATTTTAAGTGGACAAGAGTCATAAAGTGTTTTTTGTGTATAATTTATTGAAAGTATACATAACCTATTAATGTTAGTAGTATTTGGTTCAGTATACTTACACAGAGCTACTGTGTTCAGGCATGTTTAACACCATTAGATGTACTTAATGTAGACTCCACTAAGAAACTAAAGTCTGTAATTAATGGTCTGAAACAACACCTTTTGCTTGGAATGTGCATGCCAGAGGTATAGAGAGATCTGTGTGCTTTTCACAGCAAGAATACAGATTGGATTCAATGATCAGGATTCAGTCCATAAGCTATAGCATCATCAAACATCTTCACTACCAATAGAGTTGGAAAGTGACAATTGTTCACCTTTTAAACACCCCACTGTCATCTCCTCCCAGACCTAATGGCTGCATCTCCACCCTGGAAACATCAGCACTACAGCACTTTAAGTTAAATAAAATCTTTCTCAGGTGTTTGTTACAGTGATAGAAAATGGACTACACAGCACCTTTTTCTTCTTTTTCTCCCTGCACTTCTTTCCGTACAGCATTAGTACATGTGATCTGCCTCATAGTCTGTTTCTAGGGAAATGGGGTTAAGACTTTCAATATGGGACTGGGGATTTAGCTCAGCGGCATAAGCGCCTGCCTTGCAAGCAGGCAGTCGTGAGTTCGATCCTTGGTACCAATAAAAACGAAAAAGACCAAAAAAAAAGACTTTCAATATGTGAGTGAAAGAAAGTTGAAAGTTGTTCTTTTGGCTTATGTTCTACCATAGAAAGAAGGTAGCCTCAGCACAAAGAAGGATACAACAGCACTGAATTTAAACTTCTTAACTTGCCACTAGAAAAAAAATAATAAATAAAAATAAAAACAAGCAGGAAAGATATTTCTGATGTCATTAACCTATAAGTTTCAGTTACCTCAATTGTAAAATGAGATTACAACTATCTTTCTTTCCTGACTTATCTACTTTCTTACATTCCTGCAGAACCCTGTGGCTTGACACCTGCTGAGCCTCACCCGTGTTCCAGGACACTCGAGGAGCATTGGTATCTGCTGTTCTGATGGAGATGTGGACTGTGATGGGTGCACTTTTTGCAAAGAAAAAGTCATACAGCTCCAGTTCCACCTAGAAGTAAACAAATAGATGTGAACCACACACTGACAAGTTAAAGCACCACTTACTCTCATTTTGTGCAAGCAGATAGATTAAGGCTTCTACTGTTCTCAGATACTTCTCTTTTTTAAATTTAAGTTTTTTTCTTTTAAAATAAAAAAAGAATGAGAACAATACAGAATTTCAAAAAAGTAATAGGAGATAAATAATGGTATTTTTGAAAAACATTTATTGTTATAACCAACTGAGACAAATTTACATGTTATATAAATTACTCATTTAAGCATACATTTCATTTTTAAATAAATTTGCCAAAGTTGTAGAAATGTCACATAAATAAGGTTAAGTCATTTCCACTGTACCCGTAAAATCCTCACGCTCATTACTGTTAAGCCTCCTTGCTACCCACTCTATTCTGATACCAATAATCTGCTTTAAGCCTCTGGATATTTTTATTTAAATTCTTTTTTTCAGTTTTTTCTGAGGGGGGTGTTTTGTTTGTTTGTTTGAATTTTTGAGACATGGTTTCACTACACATTTCAGGTTGGGCTTAAAGTAACTTTAGAGCCAGGCTGGCTTCGAACACGTAGCCGTCCTCCTTCCTCAGCCTCCCAAGTGCTAGGATTATAAGCAGGCACTACCACGCCCAGCTAAATGAACCTTTATCCCATATCCAGTTTTGGTAAGATACTTTCATTAAAGTTTGTTTGTTTGTTTGTTTTTCCTATAAGGAGTGAATCTTTTTTTTTTTTTTTTTTGGATAAAGTATTTTATTCTGAAGTATTGAACTTGATTTTTTAAAAATCGACTCATAACTGCACATATTCATAGGGACCAGCATGGTATATCAATACATGCATACAATGTGTGATGACCAGATCAGGGTAATTGGCATATGTGTCACCTCAAATATTTATCATTTCCATGTTTGAAACATGCAAAATTCTATTAGCCATTTTGAAGTATCTAATGAAATTTGTAACCATGGTTACTGTATTATGCTATTCCTTCTATCCACCTGGCCCCTGTACGCATTAACCATCCTCTCTTTATCCCCCCTCCCCTCGGGCTCTAAATTGTGTTCCTTAATTTATTGAAACTTTTAAATTTTCTTCTCCATAAAAGAATTAATCTGAAATTGGCAAGTATGACGTAGTGTTCCTTCATTTGCTAGGGCTAGCTCTCTAGAGTATTAGTCTACTCAAATCTCTCTCCAAGGGAAAAGCTTTATACCAGTGAATGTCAAGAGTAATTTTGCACTCACCTCTACCTTAAGGGAATATTTAGGACTGGTAATATCTTTTTGGTTTCACAAAATATCTATTGGGAATTGCAAGTAGAAGCCAAGGATGCAAACATCCAAACACTCAAAAGACCACTCCCACCAGAAAGTATTATGTGATCCAAAATGTCAATGGTACAGATTTTGGCACTCAAAATTTTTTTTTTTTTTTTTTTTTTTTTGTCTTTTGTCTTTTTCCTTTTTATCGGTACCAGGGATCGAACTCACGACTGCCTGCTTGCAAGGCAGGCGCTTATGCCACTTTGGCACTCAAATTTAAAGGCATCTGTCCTACTAAATATATTTTTAAATACCTAGAATTTTTTGTTCTCATGAAAGCTGTACCCAACAAGTTGAGAATGCATGATAAAATTTGAGCTTTATTACGTGCAATATGTATATCATAGCAGATATTGACAGAGGAAGGTAGGATATAATTCATAAATATAAGGCACATTGCCTACTTTTGAAGAATGTGGTGTCTACTTGAAAGGGTAGAAAAAAAGAAGACAGATTGCCATGGGTCTACAAATATTAAACAAGAAAAGAAATAGTTTGAAGATGCCAAAGTAACAAACTAAAAATGAAACGTGACAGAGGCAGAAGATACTTGTTTTGGAGGTATAATGTAAAATACATATTAGATTGGGCCACGGGCCCTGTTCTTTCACCCCACGTGCTTAAAAAGCACATAAAACTCCACTGAGAATATTAAGAGTCACCTCTAACAACAATAAAATCACACATTTGGTAGGCTCTTCCTTAAAATTACATTATACAATACTAGAAAATATTCCAAGAAACAGCCAAAATAGAATGCTTTATGTGTGAGCTCAAGGTTGTTATTGCTCATATAATGAGAAATTCCTTCAGATTCCAGAAAAAGAGATGAGAAAAGGAAAGAAAGACTAGCTGCTAAATATATACTACACAAAGAGAAGACATTACAGCAAAGGGCAAAATACAGCAGTTCTAGTCTGAAGTCTTTTGACTGCCCTTGAGGCTAAATGCTGAAAATGCCTAAATTACACAGAGGACAGTTTGGTTACCCCAGGGACACTCATTTTCCTTAATAAACCTCAACTCCAGTCTATATCAATCTGCTCGTTTAAATTTTCCATCCTGTTCCAATCAACTTGCTGGTGGGTCTTTAAAAATGTGAAGTGTTATTATGTGCAAGCCTCTAAGCAGCTGTTCCACGGAATGCACCACCACGGAATGCAAAACAAGAGGAAAGAGGCTGAATCTATAGCAAAAGGGATTTAGATCAGATAGAAGGAGGACTTACTACAGGAAAGTCTGACAATGAAATTAGCTACCAGATGAGACTGCTTCCCTGACTCAGTGTTATTAGTTAAAACTTGAATACCCCTCATAAAAAGTTTTTGCAAACAAAAAGAAATAAAAGAATTTGTTATTAAGAAGTCACGAACAAACTCATTTCTCACATAAATGGTTTACCTTGTAGAAGGCTGGGGAAGGACGTCAGAGCTCCCAAACTAGAAAGCCTGGGCCAAACGTGGCCCTCTTAAATATTTTTGTAGTTGGCACAATATATTTTATTGTTTTAAATTACTTTTTTAATTGAAAAATTAAGAAGCAATTTTTTTAAAAATATGCTTCCCAACTTCCCTAGACCAATGACAGTTACAGCACTCTGGGTCCACCAGAGATCCCATGTGACACTGATGATTTGGAGCTGAGTTGCAGCTACTTGCTGAGGCTGTAGCTCCTTCAGTTTGTCACATCACGACACTTTGGTGCAGGTTTGCTGATTTGTTTCACCGGCTGACTTTCCTGGCACTTAGTTTGCACCCTGATTTATGGTAAATGATTCTCTTCTGAAGCAACAAATATATACAGGAATCTGAACCTGAGGGTTAATGAATGTGAACTCATAAGTAATTCTGTGAGTACCAAGTAGGCCGGATGCCTTGCCTTCCTTCTTACCTCGTAATGTCTCCTCTCCGAGTGGCTGTTGTTTGGTGGCTGATAAGCAATCTGCATGTTGCTGAGATCTTTCCAGGTAAATGAAGAGATAGGCTGTGTGTGATCCATCAGGTGAGTGACATAGCCCTGGAGGGGGGCTTTGGTGATGTTGAATACTAACAATGGTTTAGGGGTCTCATCCTCTTCACAGTCCAGAACAGATGTAGTCAAAGAGGTCAGGATGAACTGATCCACTTCCAGAATAAACATGGCCATGAATGCAGCCCTTGGAATCTGGTTTGGAATGCCAGCTCTGATATAGACAGGCAACCACGCACTCTCTGACTTTTGAAGGAGAAATAAAACACAAAGGAGGAGATAATATGAATGAAACTATAATATACAGGGTTAATGGCATGATACATAATAAAGCTACAGCCCAGCATGTACCCAGCTGTGATCTGAAGCCTGGCTGCACATTAAAATCACCTAGGGAGCATTAGACACATAATGTTAATCAGGACCCATCTCCAGGCATCTAACTGTTCCAACGAGGGGACAAGAAAAATAGTATTTTTAGAACTCTTCAGAGACTGCAATATGCAGCCACAGTTAAAAAGGGGGCATGCATTTTGATATCAAAAAGAACTGTCCTTGTGATCCTGTCTCCAGCCCTCATAATTTGTATAAATGTAGACAAGTTATCCAACTATTAAGTTTCATTTCCTTTATATCTATAAATGGAAATTTCATACTTCAATTATTCAGTAAAGACTAAATGAAACAACCAAAGCAAAGGAGTTGGTAGTGGTTGGCACACACCAGTAACCTCTGCTTGTCATCCTGCCCATCTCTTGCAAGGTGGTTTTAAAGGGGGAAGGAAAAGTTGAAGCAAACATGTCTTTATAACTCTACTCCTGGAACTGAAAGAGAGTTGCTCAATTGTTTAGTAGAGCAAGGGCCTCACAAGTGAAACTTCAGGTTAGAAATGCATTCTCCCAAAATAAGAGAACTATGAGTAAAAGATCTCCCAAAGAAGCCATGCAATGACTTCATGGAACCTGAGGTCTCAGAGTTGTGCATCAGAAGAATCCCTGCCGCAACGTGAGCCCCTGCTGAGAGAACCATTGTGGTTCATCTGTACGGCAATCACTCCTAGTCTAGTTTCCAGTGTTGAGCAGAATGAAACAAATATGGCTTTGATAACTAAGCCTCCAACCATGGAGATGTCTGAACCCAGACAAGCTGTATGCAGAGTTCATACCCTTACCTAGTAACAACAGACAGAGGAATCTACCCCAGCTGATCTACCCAATCAGTTAGAATGAACCACCTCAAAGGGTTTGTCCCTCCAGATCTTAAATCTAAAGTCCTATGATCCTGTTTAATCATTTCCTTATCTTTCCTTAAATGATCCACTCTTTGGGGTAATAATGTTCAATATTTGAGTAGGCCTTTTTGGAGAAATTCTAGTGGAAAGATCAATCATAAAAATGGACTTTCTAAGTTCATTCCAGATCATCTTTACATCAGCCCAAAATCTGAGCTCTTTCTACAGATGCACTGTGGCACTAGTTTCCCAAATAAACAAGTTATAGAGTACACAAGTCAGTAGAGTAGTAGGCCAAATATTTCATAAAAGTTGACTTCACTTTTGGTCATCATTTCAATATAAAGAGATCAAGAGGAGAAAGAGTGAGAAAAATTGAAAGCTATTGGAAGATGGAGGGAGCTTTTGGAATCCTGTTACCTTGACCCAATGACCCAATCCTCCATTCTGAAGTGGGAAAGAGGGAAAATAATATTAAGTGCCACAACCATGAAAGTGGCACTTAGATACTCCTCCCTCCTAGTTTCCTGTGGCCTTGCAGAGTGGACTTTAATGCCAAGAGAAAAGGCAGCATCAAGAAGAAGATATTACCAAGAGTCAGTCAACAATAGAAAAGGCGTTCAGGGAGGTGGTGCTGGGGTGCAGCTCAGTGGTACAGTGCATTCTTAGCATGTGCAAGGCCTTGGATGCAGTTGGCAGAACCAAGAAATGTAAAAAGATGTATGCCAGATGTGGTGGCGCACACCTAAATCCAAGCACTCGAGAGGCTGAGGCAGGAGGAGCCTCATGAGTTCCAAGCCAGCTTGGACTACATAAATGAGTTCAAGGTCAGTCATAAAGAGACCCTGTCTCAAAAATAAACTAATAAAATTAAATTAATAAAAAATTTCTGGAGGGGAAGAATAAAGAAAGTAAACATGTACATAGCCCCAGTCCTTCCCAAGTTGGGATGTACAGCTACAAGGAAAAAGAGAAATTTTGGGCTAATATTGCATATGGAAGCTACTAATTTAAGTACTTACTGACAGAATAAACGAGACTGCAGTTCCAGCTACACACTGTTCTGCTCCACCCTAATACTCTTTCTGGAATAGGAGCCAGCCTGAGCTCCCCCTTAGAGGTGGCTCTCTTCCTGTGAACCAGGTAAGGACAGCAACACAGAATTGGATTTACCTTGTAAAGAATTTTACTCCTGCTGTCTGTGAGGTCGAGCTGGATGGAGATATAATCGATGTTCGGAGAAGGGGGTTGCATGTGTTGATAACGAAGCCCCATCAGCAGGAACTCCTCACAGCTCACTTTGAGACTTTCTATTTTCTTCAATCCCAGGGTACAGCTTCTGTCTGGACACTTCAGTTCTGTTCCCAGTTCTAGAATGCACAGTGTTGTATGAGGATTGCCATTTGAACACAGTTGTTGTAAAAGTTAAATGAAAGACCATTCTCCCACGGATGCTACACTTTCTCACTGCCCAGGCACACTCATGTACACCTCCTACCACTCACTGAGTGGGCTGCCATTCTGTTGAAAACTGTTAATTTCCTTTACAGAAGAGAGGAGTTGTCTCTCCAAACCTCACCACTAAAACTTTGAGATAAAAGATAATGAAATGTGTTTTCTGGTATGTGAACATCTCTGAAGCATGGGACAGTGATCTACTGCAGGACTTCTCCAGCCCAGCTATGATCTTTTCTTTGATGCATCAGCCTGATGGCTCTGTCACACGGTGTCTCCTGTCCTGCTCTTCTCATCCAGATCCTCAAATACACTCAAATCCTTGTGTATCCTTCTACATCCAATGAGTCTTTCACAAATCCTTTCTTAAGCATTCTGTCACTGCTCAAGTAAACCTTTTTTGTCTCACTGAATCTCACAAGTATTTCTCAGGTCAAGGAGTCCTCATGTCTCTTACCAATTGGATTTCTCACTCTCGTTGGGTCTGGGATACTCACAGACAGCTTATTCTCTGATTCTCATGTCCGTGATGTATAAAATAGATAATCTGTTTCAAAATTGTACAGTTGTAAAAATCAAATGAGATCATTTTTGTTCAAGCACACCTTCAGCTGTAAACTTTCATCCAAATTCAAGCCATTATTTACAGTCATGAATATTCCTTACATTTCTTGGCACATTTCCTATAGAACAACACTTTAATGTATATAGGAAGTGCCTAAAATAAATTGACTTAATGAATAACAGAAGGAAAATTATCCATCAATTCTCCTTGAATTAAACTATGGCTGTTACCTATCAGCTCTGCTTCACATTAGATCATAATGCAATAACACATAAGGACACATAAATAAACTAGCCTTACTATTACTGCCATTGCTGTTAGTAACAGCTAACAACCGATTAGTACTTACTCTGAGTCAGACACTATACCATGCTCTGTGTGTGTGCGTGTGTAATTTTATTTACTCCCATCTTTACATATCCCTGTGGTGCAACTATATTATCTTCTGCCAACTTACAGTGTCTCATAGCAGTTAGTAACTAAAATAATTCAGGAAATAAATAGCAGAGGTTGTTTTCAAATCTAGGTCTTTCTGCTCCTAAAGTTTAAGCTCTCCTACTTTTCAACCAGACAAAAGTTACATTCATTCATAGAACCCTTTGTCATAGTGGAAAATGACTGGGGATATTTTGGTCAACATTAGTAACATTCTAATAAGTATTGAAGGATATCATACGGGACTCAGGAAAAAAACTGTGTGGCTGATCTCCACGAGGTCCTTCTGGTCGAGGTTCTACCACAACCATCTGGCCACGGGCTGGCAGATGAGTTCTCACAGGGTCCAGCTTTACTGTGCACTCCAGGCCAGCCGTCCTGTCATAATCGAATTGGAGCAGGTTCTTATCAATCGCTCGGGACAAGCCATAGAATTCAGACACCTCCAGCACATGGCTCCTCATCTGGATGATGTGACAGTCCGGTTCCAGGAGATAGACCCACAGGAGAAAGGTTTCTGTGAAGGTGTCTGTTTCTGTAAATCTGTGCACAGAACAAAGCAAAGGCAGGATTTATTGATGCTCAGATACTTCTGAACCCTGTGCACTGAGCTTGAAGCTCAAAGATGGACCTTCACGAAATTTGTACATGAGATGAATTTTGAACTTTATTTCATGTTCTACTCCTAACTCTATTCACAGCTCTTTTTCTCTTTTCCTGCCACTTCTCGCTCTGAACACCTTTCTTGCAACACCTGCCTTCCACTCAGCATCCACACTGCTGTTTAGTGACTGCTGAGAGCTTAGCATCTGACTTCCAGCACACATGTAATTTAAGAATACAAATCCTGTGGGATTTACAGTTTGAGTGTTAACTCAGGACTGAAGGGGAGAAGGGTTTCTGAGGTATCAAACGAAGTATTATGGCCCTTTTGTTCTTTGGAAACGCCACTAAATGGGTGATCATTTAACTAGTCTGGGTGCTCGGCTCAGAACTTAAATGTGTAAAGTCAATCAGCAATGGTTTACAGCCATTGCTTCAATCCCCTCGGTGACTGTTCTGAGTCCTGAGGGTGCTCTGTTCTCTACAATTGCATTGTTGATAAAGATAGGCCACTATTTTTTTTAAATCAGTGATAAGTTTGCATTAATAATGCAATCTTAATAAATATGCTTTTATTATGGTCCAGGCATTATGCTAAAGTTTACAACAGAATCTTTCTGATCCTTATAAGAATCTATAATAGGTATTGTCAATTTCACTTTACAGATGAGGAGACTGGAGACAGAGAGGCCCAATAGCATTCCAAAACAGTTACCATAGAGATAAGGGAAATAAATATGCTCCCTGATCCTCTCTCTGCCTCCAATTCTTCCAAATATTCAATTTTATTGTCCTCAAAACCAAGAGCAACCCTGGCTCCTTCCACCCTGCATGTGTACTTTTCAAACTTCCCTGTCCCTAGAGTTTTCAGAAAGGAGTGGGATCAACCAGAATTTATTAGCTTTTCAACCTTTCCTGGCAAACTCTTTGAAGTCAATTTTGTTGTTGTTGTTTTAATTCTAGAGTTTTGAAAAGACCAAACAACCCCGTCCGACAATTCTGTAGGTGTCTAAGGACTCCTTGCCACTTTATTTTCTGTGCTTTTCCTTTGGCATTTGCAGCTCTGCTTCCTAAGTATCTGCCCATCTATTGTGCATTGGCTCATGAGCACCAAAAGAGCCTGTGTTTCTTCATTCTTGAGGTTCTTATGCCCAACATAGACCCTTACCTACAGTAGGTGATCATAAATGTTTTCACAATGACTCGAACTATTAAGTGTCTTCTTCAAAAGACTTTCACATCACTTTGTGCTTAAAGGAAATCCACACCAACATACTTTAACAAAATATTCTCAAGAGTAATAAAAGACAAGTAAAAAACTATATAAAGGTCTACTCCACCTATACTGAGTTCTCAGTTGTTTCAATTAAATCAGTAATACTATAATTATAACCTTAAATTTAAGTTTATTAATATATGATCCTATATTATGAAATTCATTCTTTTACACGGCATAATTCTGCAGCCTTTGCTATATCCATAATTTACATAACCATTATGACTAATTTCAGAACATTTCGTCACCCCAAAAGTAACTCATTGGTATTCACGCCTCACTTGCCTCCCCTTCAGCCTCTGCCAACTACAGTTCTAATCTACTTCTGCCTCTATGGCTTTCTGGACACGCCATGCAAATAGGACTACACAACATATAATGTTTTGTACCTGGTTTTATTTACTTAGCATAATATTTTCAAGGTTAGTTCATGTTGTAGCATGGATCAGAGCTTTATTCCTTTGAATGGCTTAATAATAGTCCGTGGCATGAATATAACATTCATCAATGGAATTGTTCAATATTTTAGCTGTTAAGAACAATGCTGCAATGCACACTTCTATACAAGGTTTTGTATAAACTTAGAATTTTATTTCTCTGAGTTTATACCTATAAGGGAAATTACTGGATCATATGGTCACTTCTATGTTTAACTTTGCAATTGATTTTAAACATATTTATATTATTTAATGTTTTAAAAAACTGCACTACTTTAAGTAGCCAGTAATTTAAAAGATTTCATTTAATTTTGGAGTATTTTTTACCTGATTCTCATTCAGGATTTGTAGTTTGTAATTTCTATTTCCCATTACAAATGATGGGTTGGCATACTAGAGATATCTGTGTAAAAGCACTAAAGGGGAAAAGAACACAGTTAATAATTTGTGGAAAAGCCAAGTGAAGGTGATGCAAATGAAAATGATTGAAGGTTGGCTGCATTCTTGTATCACCCACTCAGGTTCTCCGATTTCACTGATTACCTTCTTGTTTGCAATCTATTAGCTGCTGTCATGATAATACATAGTCCCAGGAAAAGCCCAGGAAGTCACAGGATAATTGTTTGGCAAGAAATAAGTAATATTCCTGCGCCCCTCACCTGTAAAGTCTGAGCTTCACGGTGTCTTCATGAAGAATCGGGCAACCGTTGTGAGTATACCTTACTTCATTAGGAAGGAAATGGCAGTCAAAGACCTAGTTCACATGAAGAAACGGATAAATATCTATGAGAAAATTGGTATGAAGTTTCATTTTTCTAGCTCTAGGGTACTGTCCGGAAAAACAGTGGTGCGCATGTGTGTGCCTGTGTGTTTTAAACACCAAAAACCATACCTGTCACCACCCTGCTTGGACAGCTGTGCCTTGTTTTGAGAATATCTAATTTATAAAAATACAACGGGATCAAGAAAATAAATTAAGGGGTGACTACTTCTCTAATTATCTTTTCTCAGACACACTGCTTTTAAAATATGGTTCCATTTATCAAAGTTTTATTTTCTCCCTTCTGGGGATTATAGTAATTGAGTTAGGTCTTTCTGTGTGTCTGCATGGCAAAACATCCATCACAGCAAAACATCCAACAAACACCACAACCGTGCTGTGTTTGTTCTGTGTATTTTTGCTTCCCTTCTATTTCTTTCTTTTCCTATAGCATTTTCCTATTAAAAATGAAGTCACTGACTTATGGACACTATTCAGAGTCGAACGTACTCTACAATTGTTATTAGTTATTGCAAAGTACTGGCACAGATGGCCAATGAACAGAGTTTGAAGGACTATTTCCTCTGTTTGTATATAGTTACAATGAACTACATTACCTCACTCAAAATTATTAAGGAAATTGCTTATTTATTTATTTATTTATTTGCTTTTTTTTTAATAAGAACCCTAGTTTTCTCTTTTTTTTTTAAAACCTATTTTGGAAATACTAGTTTTTGGAGAAATCTTTCTTTCCACTCACTGTGACCCTCATTCTGCCCAACCTGACCTGGTAGTTTTGAGAAATGCCTTTGAGATCTTTACATACCCTCACTGTACAGTTCATGGTGTTTAGTCTCTTCCTTTTCCAGCTTCAAGCATTTTCAGACAACATAATGTACCCTGAGAAAACGTTATCACTAATACAAATTATTTTCTTGTCCCATAGATAGCACTGGATCCTGTTTTTAATTGACAAGTAGGAAGGAGATCAAGGAAAGTCCTTTCCCATATCATTGACAAATAGTTGTGGTAATAAAGAGACAATCTGCTTTGTTAAAAGAAACATCTGTTTTATGTTTTGTAATATGTTTCCCTTTTATAAAAGGCGACAACCATAATTGTCCATAAATTTACTAAATAAAACAAAGGAGAGCTAAATCCTTTTCTAATTACTGTCTAGCTTTGTTTTTTCCACTTCAACTGTTTTTCAATTACAATTTATAATTAAATTGTCACACATTCCTAACTCATTACTCACTTTAATGACAGTAAATTGGTTCAAACTAGGGAAATTTTCTTATTGCTGCATTTCCTATTTAAAAAGGCCCACTCGGTGCTAAACTGAGGTGCTTTTCCACCTAGGAAACCTCTTACTCTGGGACAGGCGTGAGAAGTGCTGCTGAGAGGAAGTCTTGTCCTAAAACATGAGGAAACATGTCACCAGTGACCTTGTCTAATGGCCTATTTCAAGGGGGGTTATCTAAACAGAAATCGCGGGCATGTACCCACTGAAGTCCCTTTCTAAACATCCAATAGGAAAATGAACCTGTTGATTCTAAAATAAACTTCAGTAATGAAAAGAAAATACTAATTGAACAGATGTTAAACAAAACATTTTCTGTGCAAATCACACAAAAGTGTTCATTACACAGCAGGATGCTGTTAATGCTGCTGTCTCACTAGGAATGGGTTCACATGAGCCTAGCTTTTGGTTTACTATTAAATTCTATTAAAGAATAATGTTTAGGTTGTGTGTGTGCATGTGTGTGCACACAGTGCACTTACCATGCTTAAAATTTCAAAAACTCTGTAAAAAAATGAATCTCTGGGGAGAAGTTTAAGCCTAAAAGAGTTAAAAGTCAAGCTAAAATCCCCCCACACCCAGGCCTAACTACTTGGGAGTTTTATTTTTGTTGAATTTCAGGACTTAAAAAAAGAAATGGGATGATTATCAAGCTATTTGAGAAACACAGTTCTCCCACAGTGTACATTTTTCCATAACAAAAGTTTAATATTTGGTAAAATGGTGATGAGATTTCACATTTTGATGGGCTCTCCTGCCATAGAATAAATTTTAGAAGATATAAATCACATGCCCACTTCAGATGATGCACATCAGTTTGGGTGATACTATTTAACCTTTGGAATACGAATGCTGAATATCCAGGAATAGGTTCTAGTTTTTTTAAAGGAGGAAAAATAAACTAGCAGATCAGTATGTAGAGGGTATATCCTAGTTCAGAATATCCCAAATCAGCCAGGTGTTTTGTTGTTTCTACTCCATATTATCTTCCTAATAACTAGCGTTTTGCCTTAAAATCAGAGAAAGTTTAAGATGGAGATGACTTGGAAGTCTAATGCAATCTTTAGACCTTGTCATCACACTTTTTCTTTTTACTAAATTCTAGTCACTTGGAACCCTTTTTGTTCCCTACTGCCTCAGAGCAGCCCAAACAATCAGAACATCAAAACATCACTAAAAGTATATAATGAAGGTAATTTGTTGTTTGTTACCCTCAGAGCGAAGGTCACATGTGTTAAGAAGTCACAGGCCATGTGGAGTAAGGAAAGTATCACCCTCAGAGGCTGGATAGTTCCTCTCCAAATTGCCTTCTCTGACCAGAAACTGGTGAATGACAAGGCTTTGCTCCCATAGGATCCCAGGTAAATATACTGGATGACAGCTTAGAGGACTTGCCCCCGCTGGCTGCCAGCAAGAATTTTGTTTTTACTTTTCTCCAAAGTAATACTATTCAGCCTCACCTCTAAATAAGTGTTGAACACCTGGTAAAAAGATATTGACTGGGCCACTGTCTATCAAAGTTTCTAGTCCTCTAAAATCAGGATGAAGTTGAAACTACCAAACACTTGCAACTAAAATGTCACACTACCCTCCAACATGATTGTATTCTAATGCTTTGGAACCCTTCTGAAGCTCTTTAACTCTTCAAAAGTCTTAAAACTGGTAGAGAAAATCTAACAGGAATTTGGAGGGACACTTCTGGCTACTACCACATCAGAAATACCCCTAATAAGGGACTACTTTCCATAGAAGTCTGAGGTTTCAGAATTGGACCATAACTTTAAGTTAGGCAAATAAAATGCTAAATAAATCACTGAGCTAGTATCTGATTCTTTTTGTTCAGTCTGTAGCATAAAGTGCTTCTTTACATAGCTGTATGATGTATGTGTCTGTACTTAAATGGAGAAGAAATAACATTCATAGTTCAGCAACTGAACTGGTGCAATTTTCCAAAAGCAGCAGCAGCATCTAGAATTGCATATTCTCAAGACTGTTTGCCTTGGGAGCAAAGTGAAGCCACAGCAAGATCAAGCAGCAAAATCAGAAGCAACTTTCTACCATGTATATATTAAGCAAAAGCAATATATAAAAATACAGACTTAAGGGCCGGGGACTTAGCTCAGCGACGAGCCCCTGCATGGCAAGCGTGAGATCGTGAGTTTGATTCCCAGTACAAAATATATATATATACAGACTTAGCAGGTGACTCTTTACCCTGCAAAACAAGTAACCATGTAATACCCTTAAATAAGAAAATCCCTGGAGTTTTGATTAAAGGGGGAAATATTTATGCAAAATTTTTTGAAGAACTGTGAATGCTGAGAGCTCTTCACACCTCCCTTTCTCAAGTGAACACCTAAGTGATATTAATAAATGAAAATGCCTTCATGTTTTACCTTTGCCGTTCTGAGGGTCAAGAGAATGTCCTTAAAGTCTTGACATCTTATCCAAAGGTACCCTGACTGTCAATGATTTGAGGCAGGAATAATCCTATAAAGACTGATCACAGTAGACCCTCCAATAACTGCCCATTCCAACCTTTGGAAGGCTGCCCCACCCCACTTTCTCTCTCTCTCTTTCTCTCTCTCTCTCTCTCACACACACACACACACACACACACACACACACACACACACTACTGAACAGAGTGAACAGAAAATCTCAGAAATGACCCACCTGTGGGGTGAGTTTCCCAACCCTCTGCGTTATGGGCTCATGCATCACAACCTCCACTTTGCATACGTCTTTCTCTCTGGGGATGGCAAACTTCAGATCCTCTGCAGTCAGGAAGGCCGAGCTGCCCTTCATCACCCTCAGCCCGCGGTTCACGCTGATCAAAGTGGGTGCAGCACCATCCAGAAGCAGCAGAAGCAGCAGAAGCAGCAGGGCTCCGGGCCCAACCCCACCTGGAGAGCTCATGCCAGGGCCAACACACTTCCGGCCAACAAAAAGTCCCTTCCACAAAGGAAGGCGCCTGTTTCCCCCACGGTTGTCACTCACAGACCAAGGGGCAGGGCCAGGGTTCCGAAAGTGTGACCCCAGATCTTACCGGTCCCCTTTCATGTCAGGCTCAGACAAGGAGGTCTTTCAGACAGTCCCCGGGCCTTTAATAAAACTCGCTGATGGCTCCTGACAACAGGGCTGGCAGGATGAATGTGCCCCCAGAGCTTCTCTAATCCTGCGAATGGGAGAAGAGGTTGGCGGAAAGTCAGAGAGACCCCAAGGCTTGTGCAGCTATTTTAAAGACCCCTACTGTCAAAGGGATCTTTCAACCAGTCTATAATTTCAGCTAAATTAAAAACAAATAAACTAACTTGACCCCGGGCCTCTCTGAAAGGCAAGACAACCATTCATTACCCGGTTGTAGCTCTGCTTCCGGATGGGGTGACCCCATGGGGTGTCACCTGTGTGGTCCCACAGGAGAGGGAGAGAGGGGACCTTGCCCAGAGCAACAAAGGCCCAGGCTTTGAGCTCAGAGAGCTGCTGAGCTCTTTGCCTCCATTTCCTCTTTTGTTAAACGGAGATTGCATTCTGCTTTGTGTCAGAGAACTAACAGGATTATTTGCACACTGCTTGAAAATTAATTCTAAATCAATACGCCCCGACTAAGTAATAATTTTAATATTTGTCACAGGGACTGACTTTGCCAGTGAAGACACCTAAGAAACACTTGATAGGAACTGGGGGAAATATTTCTCTCTTAAGCAAACATACAAGTTTTTATTTGCTGTAAAACGGCCCATGAACCCAGTCACATAGTTTCAATATACACGGCTAGGACAGCATATCTATGTGTCTATTTACATTATCTATAATGCAAACTATGGGATAATGTACGCAGTTTAGACAAATGAAGGCTTTGTTTAGACTTTAATCACTCAGATCTCTGTGATTATTTTTCTGTGCTATAAGAACTGAAAATATTTATGCAAAGCCAAATGTATTGAGATATAGTCTTAAATCCCAAGTATGCAATGGAGGTTTATTTGACCCACAGAAAAGTCTTACATTGAATGACTTTAGTAAATTTCTCTACATAATTAGCAAGACTAAAGTAAATTTCATCATATGGTGCTCAGAAAAACGCCTCTACAACCCCACACGCCTCCCCTAGATCCTGCTCTGCACACACAGCTGGCAGAAGATGACAGGAGAGAGAGAGCAAAGATGTGAGTGACCATGTAGGGGGGTACGCATGGGAGTGGCTTTTGAACAAATGGGGGTGATGGCCAAATTTTGCCATCTCTTGTGGCAGCAAAAACCTCACCAGGAAAACTGAGAACACTTTGAAGAGTTCAGTTTTCTTATACCCTAGAGGAAAGGTTTAAAGAAACTACAGTTGACAGCAGGAAACTCAGACTACTAACAGTTTTATAACCGTACAGGGGTCCAACACCAGGAATGAGATGAAATGGAATGCACAACAGCAGGAAAATTGGGAGATGGAAAATTAGTGTTATGAACAATATCCCTCATACTCACATCTATGAAAAATTAGAATAAAAACCCCATCATCACTTTGGATCAGAAGTAATGATGCTCAGTTCAAGCAGTCTCCATACTGAGGAATAAATTTCTGATATTTGAGCCACCCAGCCTGCAATGTTTCTGCTGTTAACAGCACAGGCTGACTAAGGCTTTGTTTGGCTAAAGGCTTTGTTTTGTTTTTAAGGAAAAGCATACAGTTCAAAACTTTAATAATAAACTTAGGACACTGGGAAGCCAAGCAAGCACCTCCCCTCCCTGGTAAAGGGGAAAACCAGCAGCAGCTCCTGAGATCCACGCCATGTTGGAACTGAGGACACTGTAAAACCAAACAACCAGCCTACCTCCCTGCTAAGCAATAGTGAACCTACTGATGCATGGCCTAGAGTCAAACATCCCACTTCCCCTGCCCCTCTTCTCCTGTCCCCCCTGTTAGCAAATGGGAACCAGAAATCTGAGCGTCTCCTGGGAGGTTGACCATAGCAAATAAGGGGGACTTACTTCTACTGTCTCTTTGAAGGCAAATATTTTTATTACTGTTTTGCTCTATTCTGATTAATGGTACTACTCTATTCAATATTCTGTCTTGATAAGTTCCATAATGTTCTGTATTTCATCTCATTTTGATATAAGTGATTGAAAGAACAACTATTATAAAGATAATGAAATATACTGTGATACCTATTACTGTTATCCCAGTAACCTGCTGTGAAGTTCTGTACCAATTTCACTGTACGATCTTAGTTGGCTTTATTCTGTCTTGTTCTGTTGTATTTTACCACTTTCAAAATAAAATTTAAAAAAAACTTTAATAATACATTTCAAAAACTACATATGTGTATTTGTGCAAAACTACATTTGTATTTGTGATATAAAGAGAAACAAAAGCAAATTTGATTATATGTAAAGATCTTTTAAAAGTATGTCCATACAGAACTTGAAAATAAAAATTTTTATGAACAAAATGTTTTTATGGACAAAAAGTACACTAAGTAATTCTCTGACAACAAAGGCCGTTGTAAAGTAAACCTCACAGGTAAATTGTCATTGTGTCATTATGTTGTTTAACAGAAAATAAATTTAACAATATTATTAGCAGAGCTGGGCGTGGCAGCACAGACCTATAATTCCAGCACATGGAAGAAGAATCCCAGTGATTCAAGGCCAGCCTGGGCTACACAGTGAGTTCAAAGCCAAGGCAAACAAGAACTATGTAGCAAGACCCTGTCTCACAAAAACAAAGAACAAAAAATATCATTAGCTTAATTAGTGACTTGGTATTAGCCCTTAAAGGACAAAGAGACAAAAGGAAGATCCTCTGTCTTTTCAGGTGCTGCCCTTCACTGTGAATGCCAAATGAAACCCAAGCAAGAGAGCCCCTGGGGTTTCACCCAGATGCTGTCCCCAAAGGATTAGGCAGCAGCCAACATTGGCCTCTACTGAGACAGCCCTTGGCAGAGGTAGATATATGCATACTGTGCTGGAATTCTTGTTTCCGGCCACCCACACAGTCAGTAGCTGGAATAAATTCTGTTTGAAGCCCCAGGGATATCTTTCTTTCTAGGAAAGCACATAAAACAAAAGCTTTAGTTCAGAGTCAAGTTTCTGGTCTTGGCACATGTTGTGACCCACTGGTTAGCCTGTCTCTAGACCAGCCTCACCTCCTACCTCCTGTAACAATCATAGCTGGGTTCCATGTCCACACTTGTAGAGCCAGGTCTGGTTATAGCATGGAAGAATCAATGTCATTGGAAAGAAAGCTATCTTAGAGGCTTTACCATATTCACAAACTTGTGCTCAGTAACTTTAACATACTTGCTTTAGCAATGCCTTAAGAAAGGCAGTGTGAACCAAAATGAAACAAATAATTAAATCTTCTGTTCCATTGTTAGCACATTAGAATACTAAATAAGATCATTTCAGGCCTATTTTTAAAATAATACAGTGAATGTTTCCTTCTTTTCTTATGTGGTAATGTACCACCTGCTTTGCAACATATATTAAAGGTGAGAATTTTGTCCTGCAATATCCACTCTCACCTTTATAGAGATAGAAATATTAACCAGGTACCTGCTCACCCAGAGCACAATCTTTCTTGCAGTTATTTGTGGCTGTGTGACCAGATTCCCGCCAACAGAATTTAAGAAGAAATGGTACATGGCAGCCCTGAGAAGCCTTTTCGGAGTATTCTTTGCTCTTGGTCCTTTTGCAAGGTGTCATGTGTTGTTCATTCTTTTTTCCTTATACCCTCACATACCTTGTTGCCCAGATTGGGGAGGCTGCTTTGCCCAAGAGAACTGTTCCATGCTATACCAGTTGGCAGAGCTGCAGGTGAGAAGGAGCCTAGGTCTCTGGGACATCTGTAAAGCAGTCACCATATCCACCTGCTTTTTCAAAATTTTATGTAGCAAAAAATAAACCTTCCTACTTAGTTCATTACTTGGAGGTTTTAATTATTCTTATTCAGGACTAAATATGACTATCCATTTATTTGTTTGTTTTTCATTACTGGAGATTAAATCCAGGGTCTTTACACTGAGCTACATCCCTGGCCTTTTTTTTTTTTAAATTTTGAGACAGGAACTCCTGAAATCACTAAGCTTATGATCCTCCTGACTCATACACTTTTAATAATCACCTTATTTTTCAAGACTTTGTATTAACTTAGTTTAGTCCTCCCTCAACTAATGATTGCAATATCTTAGGTAATAGCCTGTGGGGTTTAACTAATGGATAAGGTAAAATTCACATCCTAGTGCCCATCCACAAGGAAGAGATAAGAGAATAAAAAGAAACTCTTTCTGTGTTTGGCTCCCTGTAGCAAAGAGCTGTGGAGCGATTACTGTTAAACTCTGAAGATCTGAACTGTAACCCTGATGCTTATGAATATCTATTTCCTCTTTCCACAGTGGATCACCCATCTTCCCTCCTCAAAAGTTCCCCTATGAAGTCAAAAGACATAATCAGTGTAATCCAAATGTAACATTATTGTTATGAAAATATCAAAAGAGTAAGATAGTAAAGCTTTTTTAGGAAAAACAAAATGTCAAGAATTGGACCTTGTAAAGGTGGCAAAATTAGGCTCAATAAATATCAAGCCAAGTATGCTTCATAAATTCTGATACTTCAAAAACAAAGCAACACAGTTGGAAAGAAAAAAAAGAATGCAAGGGTAGCAACTTACAAATTCAAAATCAAATAAACTTCACCTTTCAATCAATAGAGGCAAAATGATGGCTGCAGAATTAGGTGCCACAAGGATTTTTTTTTTTTTTTTTGTACCAGGAATCAAACTCAGGACCTCGAACTTGCCAGGTAGGTACTGCGCTGCTGAGCTGTATTCCCTGGCCCCAAGATTTTTAAGTGTGCTTTATTTGTGTTTTATTTACTTTCTAACTTTTCTCCTGTATTTTTCTAATTAGGAAAGAATTCAGTTGAATTGACAGAAAGAACAAGGAAGAAAAATAGAACAGTAGTAAAGCAAATCAAGATTATAAATCAAATGAGACTTCATAGGTGATGGGTTTTTTTTTTTTTTTTATCTCCCACCAAATAAAATAACAGTATCTAGTCTCTGATGCAGAATTAGGAATCCAGTGGCAGCCAACACTTACTTGACAAAGGCTTAATGGAAGCAGAGCACATCTTGGAAATTTCATTTTCTTGATCTCAACAGCTGGCCAAGTCAGAGCC